ATATCAGCAGCAGCCTCTGCAAGAACAATCCCAGCAATATCAACAATATCAACAATATCAACAATATCAACAACCACAAGCTAACTCTAGTAAGCTAGCACAGCAAGCTCGCAGGGCATCTAATGCTACAGGAGCAAGACGTCAAGGAGCCTCACCGCCGGTCACTTATTCTCGGCCTATAAGTAGATACTCCATGCATGGAGATTATGAGCATGATTCAGCATCACAAGCATGGGACTCTGGATCAGGAGACCATCGCGCAATGCTTCGTGAAGCACACACGGGAAGTATCTATGGTGGAAGTATGTATGGTGGTGGTAGTGTTTATGGTGCTGGCAGTGTTTATGGTGGTAATGGATACCCACAACACAATGGACAAGGAGCAGGACTAGGAGGAGGAGGTGCGATGGACCCCTACCAATATCATCCTGGTGTAACTCAGATGCAATACGACTATGGTCGATCTCCAGGACAGCCTCTGGTGAATATCCCTGACAAACCTGCAGAGTCCCGGACAGGACTTGTTGGTGTCATCTCCCACATGGAAAAGGAGAAGGAAGCAAAAAGCAAGTTGGTCGACACGGAGAAGGAGCGTCTGATGGCCCAAGAGCGAGAACGGATTATGATGGAACAAATGATGCAACAGCAACAGATGATGCAGCAACAGGTAAGAACAGTAGCAAGTACAAGACAATTAAACTTTTCTTTTTTCGGTGGCCTTTTGAACTGATTATATGTATTGTATATCTAAAGGCAATGATGAATAATCCTTATGGAATGATGGGGATGGGTATGCCAGGTATGATAGATCCACGGATGAGCATGATGCAGACCATGCCGATGATGCAAGGGATGCCGATGATGCAGAATATGGGTATGATGCAAAACATGGCTATGATGCAGAATATGCCAATGATGATGCCTCAGATGCAAATGATGCCCAATCCATATCCTCTTTCAATGTATCAACAGCCTGTTTGGAATGGTGGCAGATTTAATGGTGACATTAGAGAAGAGACAGAGGATGATGATAATGTGCCTTTGAGTGCTAAGCCAACAGCATCCTTGAGTACGGGGGGTATAGGACGGCCATCGATACCTAACCGCAGCCGACAAAAGAGTAGTAACCATTAACCACACATACACACACACATACACACACACACACACACACATACATGCTCCATTTTATATATCTTCTTCTTCTTCTTCTCTACCTTATTTCTATATTCTACTTGTCTTATTTTTCCTATCACTCTCTTTATCGCATACATATTTTACTTTATTTTTATTTCTGAATTTGTTAGATTTTACTAATATTCTTTCATATCCACAACTTTCTAGATTCATTTATTTTTTTCTACGGGTGATGAAGCCACTATATAAAAAAAACCAAAACTTCTACTCTATAATACTCCTTGACATCTTTAACATTATCATTATCATCATTACTACTATTAATACTATTACTGCGATAATTTAGACAATTAAATATTAGAGAACCCGTTGTCGAGTGAAAATTCTAAATTTTGACTCACTCTTGATTTACGCGGCTATTGAAATTCCAATGAAAAGATGTAAAATTTTACTGAGGGAGACCATTTAGTGATGAAATGGAATGAAAAATTGGGAGTTTTCTAGTTTTTCACTCCATTTCATCACCAAGTCTTTATTAAGAATTGAGCTTGTTTCTCCATCTTCGAACATAAATCTAATATAGTCAAGAGCCTCCTCTATATATCTACTTAAGAGAATAAGTCTTGGAAATCCAAGTTTATTAAGATGTATTTCTCTTATGTTTGTCACAGTACTTATGTTTTCATCAACTGTGGTCGAGTTTTTCTTTTTTTTGACTGGGTTTCACTAATAATTCTTTTTTAGCAGTCTAGCAAAATATCACATCCCAACGGGTTCTCTATTAATACAATATTATCATTGCTATTATTTTACTTGAGATCAAGGCAAACTATATTCAATCATCAAGTGAACCACTTTTATTACGAGTTTTTCTAGGCCTCTCGTTCTATGGCACATAGTCTCCATAAAAGAAAAATACTTTTCTTCCTCAATCCTAGTGGTAATGAAAGAAGACTTGCCAATTAGAGTCGATTAAAATATTCACCCCTTTTTTTGTCTGAATTTTTAGTCTGTCCATACCAACTGCTGTAATGAAAAAGTAGCTTGTAGTCTGGTCACCAGAAATTATATCTGGTCCCTAACCGTGCATAGTGCTTTCTATAAATGAAATAAATCTTAATTCTTGAAATACTTTGATTCAAGTGGTAAATGAAGCCACTATTATTTTTGTTTGTTTTTTTTTTTTTTTGAAAATGAAATTATTTATTGATCAATGTATCCAATAGACTGGAACTTTACCAAACGCATTTGTGAACATTAATAAAATACGACCAAAAGAAATTTGTTCCTTTTTGATTCAATTTTGAATTATTTTCATTTTTGTTATTAGACTTTTTAAAAAAAAAGGAATTCTCCATCGCGTGTCCACACTCTCCACCCCGTTAAGACAGGTGTGAGCTCTAGCTATAAACGATGTTAATTTTATTTATGGCCTCCAGACTCAATCTGAATATATGTGATTCCGATCTGTAGGCCAACTTGTGGTCTTTATATTTTTTCTAATTGGTACCTTTTGAAGCTTAAAGGCCATTTGGTTAATATGCAAGGTTTATGGGTGGACAGTCAATTGATTTATTTTGTTAATAAACCTAGTCTTTGTAAATATATCAAGTGATTCATTTACACAGGTGTCATTTTTTCTTTCTCCCTTGTCTCACCAACAAACAAAAAAAATTTATGTGTGTGCCGCGAGAGAGGGGACATTAAAACTCGCAGTCACGAATGTATAGATTATTTTATGAGTAGCTTGGTGTACAAATGTATTTATTTATTTATTTTCTTGTCTTGTCTTGCATACACAATATATATATATATATATAAATTATTTTCTCCTTCTTCTGATCCGCTTTAGTGATTATGTATATTTTATAGATATATTCTCTTTTTAAGGAATAAAATAAATATATAGAAAGTATATTATATTATACAACTTTTAATATTAGACATGTCTGGGCCAATCGTGTAATTACAAACTGTAGAGCCTGTTGTAAATTTCTTCAAATTTCCAAACCTCTCCTTCAAAGATAATAATGTGGCAAGGATTCGCTTTTTGAGATTTCACACAAACTTACCCCATATAAATATAAAACAAGAAGTACTTTGTGTTGCTATTATTGTTATTATATAAATAATAATGACGTTTTCTTTTAATCTTTATAAAATGACGGAAGGCTTGTTTGAGAGTCTCTTTTTTTTTTTATTCTTTACAGTACTCTCAAGATCCGAGATTCAATATGGTATATATATGAATAGAATAAAAAAAGCAAGAGTCGTGTTTCTTCTTTATCTATATTGCATGTCGAGGTTTTATTGATTAATTGATTTGTTTGTGTGCTTTGGATTTAAGCTTTGTGATATGGTCAGTATTCCGTCAATGACAAAGACTTTGAGTAAAGTAAGGTTCTGTTGTTGTTCTTTCTTCATTTTCTCGGTGCTGTCATTATGGACGGCCGTGACGGAAGAGAAAAGGGATGGAGTGAGAAAAAGGGTACTACAGATATTCTGGATTTGTGTGAAGTGAAATATATTAAACAAACAAAAATCTATAAATGACTGTCGTACATTACAAAAGAAAGAAAGAAAGCTTTTTATTTATTTATTTATTTATTTTCTTGATAATAATACTTCTTGACAATTCAATTTTGTTAAATGTGTATTGAATAGTAAGATTAAAAGAAAAGCGACATTTATGCTGTTCTCTTGTCATTGATTGATCGATTGACTTTGCTCAATGATATTTTATTTTTATACATGTTCTTTATACTCCGTTTTGGTTGAAGAGTTAAAAAAAAATAACGGCGATCAACCACAAGAAAAGAAAATGATAGTCAAGCCAAGACGGACAAGTAGCTTGTTTATTAGAAAAGGGACATCAGAATGACGCTTGTTATCACTAAATAAAGATGAAGCATAAAGATTCGAGTGTTATTTTGTATTAAATATTAGATGCAGATTTGGTGAATTGAATTTTGTTATAAGAGATTATTTATTTATTTATTCTGGATCTATAAAGGAAATTATCTTGATCGCAATCACCGTAATCTACCATGTTATAAAAGACCAAACCTCTTTTGGTGTGAAATAGGAGGAAAAAAAACGAATAGATCAAATTATAGGTATTTATTGGTTGTGGCCCTTGTCGGACAGAACCTTGCTTGTACAAGACAAGTCTCTTTATAAAGAATGATTCCCGATGAATTTTACACCATTTTCATGGAATTCGGTTAGTTGAATCTTATTCTTTTTTATTTTATATTTTATATTGTGTACCAGTCAGGGCGGACTATAATGATACTAAATGATTAATACTTTAAAAGAATCTAGAAAACTATATAAAACTAATACATACATAAGTACAAGTATTAATACTAATACTAATACTAATACTAATACTAGTATTAAGATCGGTAACAGTAACAGTAACAGTATTATATACATTACATAAATTACATATACAAATGTATATAATTATATATAAATTTATATATGTATCTAAATTGTATGTAATAATCAGTACCCTGTGGTTAATGATAATACAGAAAAATCAAGTGGGGTGGCTCAACAAAGTCTTAAAAGTCAAACATCGACGTTCGGAACTGCAAATAAAAATGAGACTCAAAAAAAAAAAAAAAAAAAAAAACAGGCCTTTCGAGAACGATTTAATTTCTATTTCTATCAGATATATATATTTCTTTTTTGTAAAGAGTTGAATCCCCCCACCCCTTCTTTAAACCCTATAAATATTTATACACCTGTCACTCGGTTCATAAAGACCACCTCTCTTTCTTCTTCTACTTCTACTTCTTTTTTCTTTTTTTTTCTTCTTATATTTGTATATCTCTCTCTTTTTTTATCTTTATACAATGGCACAGCACTACCAACAACAGCAACAACAACAACAACAGCAAATGGAACAAATTCATCACAATAATCTACCAGATGCTCCACCTTTACCAGACCATCAAGCTTACCCTTATATACCTAGCCATTCGTCCTCTTGGTCGTCTACCCCTTCTACTTTGGTACCGCCACCCGGCAGCGAAAAATATCAATTACCTCAAGGTTAGAGCATACCTTTTCTTCTTCTTTTTAAAAAGACATGTAATTGAATCTGCATATTCACGATCGTTGTCATTATGATAAATAAATGATATATAGAAAGTCCTCTGAAACATGGCTTGAATATCGAGCGGTTGGAATCCAACGACAACGACGACAACACACTGAGTCTCGAGAAACACCCAAAGAAACAGCGGCGGATGGCCAACCGGAATTGCTGTGCGCGGTGCTGCTGTTGCGCGTGCTGTCTTCCCGTTTGGGCCACTTGGGTTGTATGGATTTTTATTGTCGCCATCATAATTGTCGTGATCGTTATTGGCTCTATTCTTGCTACCTTCAAGATGCCGAGTATCGAATTCCAAGGCATTGCACCTATCGAATCAGACGAATCAATCATATCATTCAACAACGACAAACTGTCCATCAACTTTGGCCTCATTGTCAATATAGAGAACCGAAATATCTTTCCAATCTACCTTTACGATGTGAATGCCTATGTAAGTACAGCTCAAGTATAATATTAATATAAATAAATAGAAATAGGCAATAGATAAGCTTTTTCTTTTCTTTTTTGTTTGCCACCTGAATGCACCATATTTAATTATTATTTTATAGGGATATTACCCTTATCCCGAAGACCCATCTACCCGGACCTCAATTGGAGATGGTCATTTGGATTACGAACTCGTGCCCTCTCAAACAAACTACAACTTCACCTACCCATTCACCATTAAATATGATCCTGCCTCAGATCCCAATCTATCGATCTTGGGTAGCATTGCTGACAAATGTGGTCTGACTGGTGGTGCAAAGGGAGATCTGAGCATCCAGTACGATATTAAGCTTCGTGCCCGTGTCCTGCTATTCACCATCCCGCTCACCATCTCATCCTCTGCTAATTTCCCTTGTCCTCTCAATGTAAGTTTCAAGTCAATAGGTTACACAGACCCACCCATCGAACCCACTTATTTATCTTTATCTTTATTAGTCGGATACACTTCCTGGTCTGGACACCGATTCACTTGGACAAATCTTTGGAACCTCCTAAACCTTTCTCCCTCCCAAAAAAGAAAAAGAAGTATCTACAAAGGAGGGGATCATATACTTCATTTTCTTTTATATATATATATATATATAAATTATGTAAATTGCTGGCAATGTATATACACACACCCATTCACACCCATTCACACCCATTCACACTCTCACTTATATTAAAGCCCCCCCCCCCCCCCCCCCCCCACTCGCACACACTTTAACAAAAATGTATATGCATGCATATATACTTATATATATATCAAAAAGAAAAATAAGCAACAGCGAAAAATAACAATATATTTATATTTATATTGTGTAGAGTAAAATCGTACACTTCCTCTTCTTCCTATATTTTATTTCTTTGAAATAGTTTGTTCAGCCATGGAAGTGGTGATTATCATACTACTTTTTCTTTATAAAGTACAAAACATAGTGTAACACTTCTTGTAAACCAGAATTTTATTTGACCTAATAAATAAACAAATGATTCATGCTGATGATAATCCGTATAGTCTAAAATAAGGCCCATTCAAGCTTTTAATATTCTGCTTTTATTGTATCGAAACAGACAACGCAAATTGACCTTTTTATATATATATATATCTGTTTTTAAGGTGGCTTTGGGTGTAGTTTTGAATATATATAAAAGGAAAGGCAAATATTTGGTACTTATTGAGCAATACTATTTGTTTATTACACCAAATCCTTATTTATATATACATGTTTGTAAATAATAATGATAATGATACATATTTCTTATAAATATAGGTGGTTTGAATAAGAATCCAAACAAGTGAATAATCAAATATGACACACCAGGTCAAAGACAAGACATTATATAATCAGAAAGCCGAATTGTCTTTAGAACCTCTCGAATACAAGTTTTTGATACTAAATTAACCTTTTTTTTTATAATTATATTATTATGTAGCCTAAAGGAAAGGACCTGTTAGTCTTGGTGTGTGAATGTGAATGTGAATGCGAATATGTATGTGTTTCAATGTTGTATACTACATATGAATACATCCATAAATCTGCTGATGGAACTAAGAAATGCCAAGCATTGAGTTCATTATCGGACTGGGATGGCCCGAAAATAACACACACACAGGTATATATATATATATATAAATTATTCAAAAATAATTCTTTACCCATTACTGACGTCTGTATGTTAAACGTCATATTGTATCCCCCCCCAAAAAATAAATAAATAAATAAATTTAATCCACTATAGACAGATTAATAACCTATAATATTTTACATGTAGTCTAATGCACTGAAGGAATAAATAAATAAAGCTGTAAAGATAATGCTGGTAGTCTAAACTGACAAGTATATGAGATATGGATATGATTTTCTACAAACTTATTGTTGCCATGGAAATATATTTATGTAAAAATAATAAAATATTTCCCTGTAATATCTTTTTTTGGATTTCTTGTAGACTGACGTGAATTTTCCTTTCCGGACAAGGCCAGAAAATATATATTATATAATATATTATAGTATAATATAAATTATTGCTATTAATTATTATAATAATTATCGTCTTTATTCTTATAACTATCATTTCTCCTCACCCTCCCCCCCCCCTTTTTTTTTTAATCTCTATTTATTTATCTTTAAAGCAATGAAAGGGATAGAAAACGTTTTCAAAACCACCTTGCACTCCCTAGAACACCTGGCAATTTCTGCAAACTCTCGGATACAACATACTCAGCTACCAGAATCTGTCACACTCGAAAGTGTCCCTAGCAACCAGCCGCAATGGGCTGACCCCCCTCAAGCCATGTCCAACACAACATATTACGACAACTGCAACGGTCCTTGTTCTAGACTAGTTTACCCAGATCCCGAAACAGGAGATCTGGTATACCCACCTTACAACGAAAAGGGTGATCGCATAATTGATTTCTCAGGTGCAGGTTACAATGAGGGCAGGACAGATCTTCCATCATTGCAAGAAGTGCCTGTTGTCATTGCACTCGAACCCGTCCAGAATACCCTCGATGACTCTGGAAGAATCCAGAATGCCCTAAACGACATTGCAAACTTTCCTGAACTTCCAAACGGGTTCAAGGGAGCCCTTCAACTCAACAAAGGCACATACTATCTCTCAAAGCCAATTGAAATGAATGCTTCTGGGGTGGTTCTCCAAGGAGACCCTAATGGTGGTACTGTGCTGGTAGCAACAGACGCAATGTCCCCTCTTGACACGCCGTATTTGATCAAGGTCTCTGGGCAGCCAAACGCTATGGCCAGAAAACGGGTGCCAATTGCGGATGAGTATGTGCCGGTCGGACATTATCAAGTCCGGGTCACGCAGAGCAAGAGATTCAAGCAGGGTGACACAGTAGTGGTGGGAATCGGATTCAATGAAAACTGGATTGAGGCCATTGGAATGCATGATATTCCAGCCAAACCAGGCCAGAACAGCAACAATGGATGGAGACCCGGTCGGTTTGAACATCACCGCCGGCTGGTCCGCGTCGAAGAAGACGGCAGGCTATTGACCTTTAACGAACCCCTGACGACCAGTCTTGCAAAGGAATATGGCGGCGGCTACGTCGAGGCGTATCAGAATATGCGGGTCCAGCGGGTAGGAATCCAGCATCTCGAATGCGTATTTCCGGCAAACAAGTCAAGAGGACCCGAAGAAATGATGAAAACAGAAAAGAAAAAGGTCAAGGATTATCGATTCACAGCCGAAATGTTTGACCATCTGTTGATATTTATGGATCACGCCGAGAATTGCTGGGTACGTGGTGTGAAGTCTGTCTGGTGGAGAAACTTTGCCAGGCTGGGTACAAATACAGTAGCAATCACACTTCAGGTAAGCTACACTCACCTAAAAAAAACCCCCAAACCAAAACAAAAAAAAAGTGTAAATCACCTTGAGAAGATTAAAACAAATAAAAATAAAAATAAATTGTACTTTTATGCAGCAATGTTACCACACATTTCCACAACCACCACCGCCAAATCCCAAGAAGCCGGCGTTTCTTGCTGGTCAGTTTGCCTTTGAGATATCTGGGCAACTGGTTCTTATTGAACGCTGCCATGCAGAATACAATTTCCACGCTTATTCCTACAAGGGAAGAGTACCTGGTCCAAATGTTGTATATCAAAGCGATGCTGTAGCAAAGAATGGGGATGTCGGACCTCACATGAAATGGTGTAAGTTTCTCTTATTATCATTTAAAGAAAACCCCTCCAAAAAAAAATTAATGAAGGCTGAACCATACTAAAATTTAAAATCGACTAAACCAAAACTTGTATTTGCCACGTTTTTTTTTTTTTTTTTTTTTTTGCTATTAAACTATATATATATATATATATTTTTGTGTGTGTAGCTTCAGGACAGCTGTATGACAGTAAGAAAATAAAAGACTTATAATGAAAACTTTTGACTAGAGCTAATTTGTTTGTTTGGTTGTTTTTAGACTGTAATATTGAAGGACAAATTCTTATTCAAGACCGATTTGACGCCGGATCTGGCCACGGATGGTCAGGAGCAAATTCAGTTGTATGGAATACGATTGCCCATGGAGGAATGGTCGTACAAAAACCGCCACTTGCCAACAACTTTGTAGGCAAGTATTTTTACTCTATTTTTTTTTCTTTTCTATTTTCTGTGTGTTTGTGTTTGTGTTTGTGTTTGTGTTTGCTGTTCTTTGTAACCTTTCTTAGAATTGATCTCCTAAAACAAAAATAAATTATATAGTTGGATGTTCCTCCAAGAAAGCAAAGGCACGAAGGCCCAGTCATCCTTGGGGGTGGGAAGAGTCGCCCGATGTCAAGGTTGAACCACCGAGTTTGTATTTGGCCCAACTGAGAGAAAGGAGAAGGATGAACACGGTTTGACTCGAGGAATACAAAACCAGTAATTTATGTATGCATTGCAAATTTAAAGATCAAGAGAAAAATACCCAACATTAATAAACAAATAAGTATTTCATGAAATCGTATTGTACAAAAACCTCCCTTTAATCTAATAGTTGATTTTAATCTTCTTGAAGAAGTAACAAATGCTTATATATATATATATATATATATATATATATATATATATATAAAATAACTAAATAAATCGTTACAAAAAAGGGCAAAAGAAGAAGAAATTCAATTGCTACCTTGTTGATATTGTATATATATATATATATATTATTGTTACAAAACAGATATGCGAATAAATTATAGATATATAGATAGATATGAATATGAATACATTTATTACTTTAAAAGGGAATTTTGCCATTTCTTTCTATTTATTCTCTTCATCCTCTCTCTCCCTCTCTCTCTTCTTGTTACAGTCTGTATCTCCACTCTAAATGATATTTGCCTTGGCCCACTTAATTCTGTGTCCAATAAACCCACATTGTATTCAAAATCACGAAATACGTGTTTAACAAAATATATGTATATTTTTATTGTGTGTGCCTTTTTATATATATATTATCCATAGTAGATTTACTTTGTATTGATTGGGTACATCTGGAGTTGCTGTATTAAAAAAAATACCACTCAATTAACATTGGTTAGGTTGCATAATTACAATTTTGTTTTTTTTTGTTTTTCTTTTTATCCAGCACATTAAGTTTGCCAGCTTTGGATCAATAATATATATATATATATATATATATATTTGTATGTACAACTTAATTAGTTTCTTTGGCCATATGTTTTCACATAGCGTGCATTAATTGAAGGACAAGTATTCAAGATAAGATCTACATACAACTCCTTGATTTATCGGAAAAAATTGAACATGGATAATAGCGAAATCAATGCCAGTAAAGAGCATGGTAATGCAAGATACTTGGACCTTTGTTTAGACTATATCTTCTTAGCCTCTGATGTTAATTCTTTCAAGCGGCCTAGCTTAATAGCACCTTACACAAAACAATATATTTTCCCATACAAGCAGACAAAAAAAAAGAAGGGGAAGGGGGGGAAATTTTGAGTTGCTAGGAAATTACCCATAGAAAGCAATTCATCTAATCCCAAACAGTTGATTAAAAAAATAAAATAAAATTAGCGTTAGACTGTTTGAGTGCCAAATTCGTGTGACCTTGGCATAAGTGAATACTATTGAGCGGGTGTTCCATTAAGCGATTAAAGAAACTAAATGGAGCTCAAGCCACTATTCACACCCTTTTTTTTTTTCTTTCCTATGTTTGCCCCGCCCAAAGGTCCTTAAACATGCTGGGCAAAGTTTACAAGCCAGGGGCTGATGAGGAAACCGAAAGGGCCGGTACCCTTTCACGACGACAGTCTAATAGACCTCACAATTCTCTCTCAAACAATACACCTTATCCACTCCACACAGGTCCTCATCCTATCTTGCCACATTTACATCGCCTAAGACAACTGATGCTCAATCAATATAATCCTTTGGTGTGGATTACAACCCTTATTGTAATACTTATCATCTTGTACAATCTACCACAAAGATCACCATCACCACCACCTCCGATCAAACCCATCGTCCCGAGTATCAACTATCTCGACACAACACAACTTACTGACTATGCACTGCTAGACAAACTCTTAATAGACAAAGGTACCTTTCTTTATTCTTTAACTCTTTGACTCTTTAATCCTACTAATCCCCCTTTCCTTTTTTCCATTTCTTCTTTTCTTCTTCTGCCTATTTTTTTTTTTAAAAAAAAACTATGTAGATAATATACACCGTCAGTTTAACGGGATCGATCGTACACCAAAGTGGGTCAGTCAAGAGACCCCAAGCTCTTCAGATAGACCGTTACCCCACCACCTTGGGGGCCATACAATCGATGATATTGAACGCTTGGTAGAATCCCAAGAGCTTACTTACATCGATCAGCGGAATAAAATCGTATCTGCCATTGCCCTGGTGTACACAAACACACCTGCACTTCTTCCGCTACAATTAAAAAGTGTTCTAACCCAGTCAGTGACACCCGAGATTATTTGGATTATCTGCACCGCCGAACACTTTGAGGCAGCCTCTGCATTAGTTGAAACATACAAAAGTAGGCGCATCAAGGTCATAACAACCCACCAAACAGGACCTTCCTGGCTTTATCTGGCCTCCCGCACAACCACAGAATATCTCTGGATTTTGGACAACAATGCAGTACCTGGAGAACACTACCTCGAACGTATGCTCAAACTCTCGGCCACCAAAGAATATCGCAATGCACTCTTAGGCACTGATGCTGGCGTGATGCACTCGGGTCTCGAAAACGAATCGAATGTGATTTGTCTACCAGCAAAGGAAACAGTAAGCCAAAGGGTGGATATGGTCAACAATGTGTGGGTATTGCGTCGGTCATGGTTCAACGCAATATTCCATGCCGGACAACCTCTGGAAAGCAATCTCCCGCGGGCGCTTCTTGGGCATTTTATCAGTCATGAAGTTCACTATCACGCCGGAATTCCGTCTGTAGCCCTCCCTGTAGATCCGCTTGATCCTTCAGTCTGGGCAAATCAACAGACCCCAGAGGAACGGGCGACTCAGTGTGAGGTAATCGATCGGCACCTGAGAGAAGAACGCGACGGTCATGTCGAGTACGGTCGGATTGCCGGAGTAGCTGGAACAGCTGGAACTGGTGGAGTAGGTGGGTTTGTCGAGGGTTTTGAAGCTCCAGTGGTTGCGTTTGTGGTAGACGGGAATCAGGAATTACAGGAGTCGATTCCCCTGATCTGCAGTTTCCAGCGACAACAGGAGGTTAATGGTGCAGCTGTGCATGTGGTAATTACTGGAAAGTATCGAGGGTTGACGGCAAAGGATGTGGTGGATTCCCTGGACGCCTATCATCCAACATGCTCGGACTTGCGAATTCACGATCTAGAAGTCCATTACGGAAATCGAGGCGACATACCCCTTGACGAGCATTGGCGCCTACCAAATGAGATCATGTTTAGCCTGACACGCCTTTTGACGCGTCTTCAGCCACGAGTACTTATTCATATCCAACAGCGAACAAACATTGTTGGAGAGAGTATCAAGGCTGCCGGTAAAAAAGTACATGCTACAGTAATTAGTTTACCTGCGCGAGATATCGGACAAGCCCTCTGGATGGCTGATTTACCAGTGAGTTCACTTGAACGTAAGTAACTTTTTTTTTTAAAAAAAAAATGAACTGACTTGCTGACCAAGTTACCTATATTATCAATATCTAATTTCATTTCATTTAATTCAATGACTTGAAACGCTGAATTTGTGTTATGTTTTGTGCTTTATAGAATGGCACTCATTTACGATCAAGATCATGATGGTAACAGACAGACGGCCTCACTCACTGTCTCGACTGATTCGGTCCGCTGCCCGTGCTCACTACCTTGGAGACAAGATTGATCTGACAGTTGTGATGGAACAGACGAGCGACAGAGTTACCCAGGCATTTGTCAACAGCTTACCATGGCCTCATGGTAGAAAGAATATTCGCCACAGAATTGTAAAAGTCAACCGGATGCCGGTATTTGTAGAGGCATGGTACCCGACCAACAATGACGAGTATGCAATCTTGCTTGATGAAGGGCTTGAGGTATCCAGCCTGTTTTATAGCTGGGCCAAATACTCTGTTTTACGGTACCGCTACTCACCTGATAAGAATGCTGCGGCTGCCATGTTTGGAATCAGTCTTTACTCGCCACGCTTGATAGAAACCGACCCTAGTGGTCGTCGATTGTTTGCGCCTGAAGCTACTCTGGAAAGATTTGGCTATCCTCGTCGTTCGCCTTATCTTATGCAATCTCCTAGTAACTCTGGTGCACTGTTTTTCCCCGAACACTGGCGTGAATTCCACGATTATATTACAGTTAGACTTGCAGACCAGGCTAAGAAGCAGCTTCAGAAGATCTATGTTCCAAACGCACGATCAAGTCAATGGACCAATTCATGGAGGAGATACTTTGACGAGATGATTTATTTGCGTGGATATGTGATGCTGTATCCCAACTACGAGGATTACACCAGCTTGTCCACAAACCACCTTGAATTAGGATCTCATGTAACAGACGATTACTCGCATGCGACATTTTTGTATCGTGTACCACTTATGAGTAAAAATATCATTTCGGAACAACTGCCGTCTCACCGTCTACCCCATTGGCACGATCTTCCGGTATTAGATTTGTGGGGGAATCGAGAAGTGCTGGATATCTTACGAGAACGGGGTACTGCATTCCACCGTCAGGTCTCAGCATGTGAGCCAATAGAGCTTGGTCAACATCGGCATGACCCCTCGGATATGCTGTGTCCTTTTGCACAACTCGTTACTGTTGCTGTTGCATCTGAGGACGAGGTTGTACCCGAATTCCCTACTCGTGTAGTTACTATCTATGTTACTAGCACGACTGAGCCAACACCACCTACTACTGGCAGTGATAGTAACAGTAACAGTAATAGTAATAGTAACAACAATTCCCAAAACGATGTGGGCAATCCAACTATTGAAACAGACGAGACCGAGGAGATTGTTGAAGCCAATGAGATTATAGCAGACATGGAAGTGGATTCTTATGTGGATGATAAATCTAATGCAGATGCAAATACAAATACAAATGCAGATACAAATGCAAACGCAAACGCAGACACAGACACGGATACAGATACAGATAAAACTGGATCCGAAACTTATGTAGACCCTGAACAACAAACAGATGGACAGTTTGAAGAAGCAGAAGAAGAAATAGAAGTAGAAGAAGATCCGATGTATAATGCAAACAGTGGCCTTGGAGCTGGTATTGTTGATGATGAGACTCGAGTAATGGCTTTATCGGAAAACCAACTAAAGCAAGAACAGTTTTTGCAAGTGGATCCTAAAGAGGCGTTGGGAAACCTTGAGTCTATGGCTGCCACTGAAGAAGAGGCAGAGGCAGAAGCAGAAGCCAAAGATCCGACTATTCAAGATATTAAAGAAGATGAAGGCGAAGAAGCCGAAGAAGCTGAAGATCTGGAGGGAGAGGAGGATGGTCAAATAGAAGAAGAGGAATCTGAAGATCCAGACGGACAAGGACAAGGGCAGGATGGAGATGATGGAAATGATCAAGAAGGTGTAAATGTAGATGAAACAGAACAAAACCAGGAAAGAGATGCATTTGAAGTAGAAGACATTGATTTTGCGTAAAGAAAAGAAAGAGTAAAAAGAAGGAAAGGGAAAAATGAAAACAAATAAACCAAAAAAAACACACACACACTAATAATAATAATACTACTTACTTACTACACAATCCATAATACACAATCCATAATACATAATCCATAATACATACATTAATTAATTAATAAATAAATAAATGAATAAATATATAATTTATTAATTTATTATATATATATATATACAGACCCATATCAGTACTGAATAAAATTTTAAGATTCCGCCAAATCAAGGCATCACCATTACACTACTTTTTATTTATTTTTTCAAAGCTTTTCCTCATTCGAATCTCACCATGTCTCACCAAAACAAAAAGGAAACTCTTCCCAAACGAAAGCAGCTTTCAGATTATCAAAGAGGACTGATAATTGGTGGTGCTATAGTAAATGGCACTGCTGCTGAAATTTCTGAGAAGAATGGTATACCTCTAGCAACGGTGTATTCCACAATCAATAGATGGAGAGATACTGGAACCGCATTTCCTGATAAGCGAAAAGGAACTTTGAAGATAATGGATGAGCGAGATGAGCGTCACTTGAGTAATATGAAGACGAATCGTGAGACAACACTTGGGGGTCTTACCACCTTCATGTCTGACACCCTAGGGCATCCCATCTCCAAGTCTACCATTCGTCGAACTATTCGTAGATCTGGATTGTCTTCTTGTAAAGTTGTATACAAGCCACTGCTATCAAAAGCACACAAGAAGAAGCGGTTGGCATTTGCTAATCATGCCAGAGAGACCAATCAGAGATGGGATCGCGTCATCTGGAGCGATGAGTCAAGGTTTATGCTTTTCAGCAGAGATGGCAATACTAGAGTATGGCGGTATCCTCAAGAAAAATACAGAGAAGAGTTCATTAAACCAAGACTGCAGTGTGGTGGAGGCTCCATTATGGTTTGGGGCTGTGTATGGGCAGGAGGAGTTGGCCCATTGAAAACCATAAAGAACACGCTTGACCAGTATGCATATATGGACTTAATGAAAAGGAAGCTTCTTCCATTTATGGAATCTCTTAGTGAGAACAATGATGGGGAGTTTATCTACCAAGAAGATAATGCTCCTTGTCATAAGTCTAAGCTTGCAGAAGAGTGGAAGAAGCGTCAGAACTTCCCAGTGATGGTATGGCCGCCGAACAGTCCAGATCTCAGCCCCATAGAGAATTTATGGGCATATCTTACCAGAAAAGTGAAGGCCAGAGTCCCCTCTCCAAAAAATCTTAATGAGCTGGAGAGGGCTATTCATATAGAATGGAAGAATATTCCGGCTGACGTTTGCAAGACACATTGCATGTCAATGCCTAATCGCTTACATGAGATGAAGAAGGCTCGTGGAGGGTCAACACATTATTAATTTTTTTAATAAATTTACTTTTTATTTTTTAAGAGCCATATCTTAGTATATATATGCTTTCAAACATGGGGTGTTAAGTGAATATAGACAAACTAGTGTAAGAATGTTAAAGAAGTTGATGCCTTGATTTGGCGGAATCTTAAAATTTTATTCAGTACTGATATGGGTCTGTATATTATATGTGTATATATGTGTGTGTACGTACGTACGTTGTAATGACAGAATATTTTCTGACTAATGTTGATATGGAAGACAAGATCTTTTTGGTAATTTTGGTTTTTGGTTTTTGTTTTCAAACTTTCTTAGCTAATGGTGTTACAGGCTATGCTGTTGTCTTGTTAGGGAAAGATCATTGGCTGTTGTGAATTTCTGTATTCTATTTACCTCTTGAACTCGCGTAAATCTATATATATATTATATATTTTTACTTTATAAATAATAATAATAATAATAATATTTTATTATTATAAAAAATCCAACAACAACTCTTCCCTCAAGTCTCCTGTATCTTAAAACTCCCAGCAATCATGCCGAATCTCGCACCACCGCCACTACAACCACAAAACGGAAATCCTAACAGCTCAGTACCACCCCTTGATCAGTCAGCTCCTTTGGTAGCTCCAAAGGACTCTTCTACTATGCCACTAGACAGTCCTAAACCTAGCAATTCCACATCCGATGTCACTTCTCAATCGAATCCTAATCTCACACGCCCCGTTCAACCAAAAAGGCAATTTATGAACAAGTTTGCTACAATTCCCACCGACAAATGTCCACAGAATCTATGCCGAGATCTTCTCTTATCCAACTTTGACCGCAACCTAACTGTAGAAAAAGCTCATTTTGAACCACAACCTTTTACGGGCACAGCTAATGGCGTGATCATGGCACCTACTCCACAACCATCCCACTCTAATTCATCCCATTCTTCCACACCAGATCATGACAAGGGAGGAATAGATCAAACTAATCATCCAACCGACCTACTAAAGAGTCGATCTCGTATTCCAATGACCAACACATGCCAGTCTCCACCACACCCACAACCCTTGACAGCTACAGCAAATGGACCAAACTCAAACCAATCTCAATCCTCGACCCAACCTAACATTCAGGCCACACTCTCAATTCCAGCATATGGCTCCAATCAAATGGGTGACAACAGAAGAGGGTCAAACGCAAAGGGAGAAGTAAAGAATTTAATTTAATTTATTACTATATATCTTATTTTTCTTAAATTTATTTTTATTATTATTTTATTTATTTTTTGACTTTCTTCTTTATTGCTGTGTTGGGTTTTCTGTACATTGATATTAATATAACTAACGCAATATTTCCATTAGCCTGATCGCCTTTTGCGCTCTTCTCCATCTCTTAATAAGAAAAAGAAAAGATCGATGGCTAGTCTTGGAGGAACAGCAAGTCCAGCTGAGGTATTCCATCGCAATCTCGTCGATGCAGTCTCCAATGTAGAAGGTATCTAATTACTACTAGTATTACTATTATTCTGTCTTTTGTCTTTTTTTTTTCGGAATAAGGGCCGGTTAATAGATAGATAGATATGCATATTAATATGCTCTTATTTCACTTTTATCGTCTAAATCGTAAAATCTGTACGATTACTTGATAGATTCCGACGAAAACGAACAATACGTTTATCCTTTTAGTGGTACGAAAATATCTTGTATTTCTCTTTGGCGGTCAACCTCCTTATTTGTTGTATTTATCCAGACAATGGTTCACTTCATCGTCCGCACTCTATCCAGTCGATCCCTGGAAATACGCCTGAGCTACAATCGGATCGACCACGTAGAGGAGGGCGACAAAAGGGATTTTTTGGGGACTTATTTAGAGCAACATCGTTATCAAATGAGGCCTCACGGCTAGCAGAAGAAGCAGAAGAAGCAGCAGCAGCAGAAGAAGAAGAAGGAAGCATGACAGACCATTATCGGCCCAGACTGCGGAATCATGTTATGGATCATCCACACAGACCAACAAAAAAAGATCAAACCAAACCAGGTTTACTTGGCAGATGGTATGATGGAAAGCCAACAAATCGTCGGTCTAGAAGAGGTCACCAGAACATACCTACCCATGGTCCTTATGGAGATGGATATACAAGTGACGACGAGGGCATGCCACTCCTGAGAGTCGATCGCTATCGGACCCGCCAAAAGAAGAATTGGTGAGGGCCTCTAATAAAGAAAGAAATAAAAAAGAATATTAAATAATTAATTAATTAACTAACTAACTAACTAACTGACTATTTAATTATTTAATTATTTAATTAATATATATATATATATATATCTTATTCTTATTCTTATTACTGTTATTTAGCTCTCAAGTGGTGTGGAATACATGTCTTGGTATTTTTGCTATAATTTTACTTGCTCTTGTTCTGGTGATCTACAGGGCAAAACCACTTGAGGATATTGAGGTTGAAATGGGCCGAGTACTGGCATCTGATAAGGAACTTATATTTGACCTCCATGTCAAGGCAAGCAACTGGAACTGGTGGACAGTTAAGATTGGCGAAGCAGACATTAGCATGTTTGGATTTAGTCAAATTGTTCCTCTTTCACTCAATGCAACCGAGGAGGACTTACAAGTCCAGGGTAAAGTACACACAATATATGCCAAGTATATTATTATTTGAGGGGGTGGAAGACGATTGCTTTGGGTTTATTTATTTATTTTTTTGGTACAAAAGATGATAATAACAATCTTTCTTCTTCCTCTTCTTTTGATTAGGTGCAGATCCTGCTGAATACCTAGGGAGCTTTTACCACTTTGATGAACCTCTTTCAATTCCTTCTTCTATGTTTACCAGACAAAGATCTATAACAATTAGTCAGATCCGGATAAAATCCCCAGGTGCTGATAAGAGTGGAAACGAACGATGGTAGGCTAATGTTCTTTTGTCTCTTATGGTTATCGAACAAACCAAAACCAAAAACAAAAAAGTCCATGTTTAATTTTCTTGCTTGAAACTCATTCTCTATCTACAGGTCTCGCATCATTCGATACCCCTACGGCTTGGTAGCCAGAGGTGTGTTCAAATACCACCCAACACCTCTACCGGGCACATATCCACAGTCCATTGCTATCTGTGATGTAGCCCAGGTAGACCCAATGACAGGAAATGTTTCTGAAGACCCTGATCAGAGTTATTGTTTGGGCGATTAAAAACAAAAACGAAAAACGAAAAACAAGGAAGGCTGTTCCAATATTTCTTATATAGTAATTGTACATTTTAGACAACTAAGAGGGCGAATGGAATTTATATAAAACCATGAAGTATATTAATTAATATTAATAATAATCATAGTAGTAGTAGTATATATATATAAATATATATATGTGTGTGTGTGTGTGTGTGAGGGCGTTTGTTAGTTATTAATATTGCTCTCCTTTCTTCTCTTGTATTATTATTTTTTCTTTGATTACTCAGAATATGGTTGCATTCCAATAGGTCTTTATTGTTTCTAGAGTGCTTATATAGCATTGATACCAACTTCCTTATACTCTTTTGATTTTAACTTACAGGGCTGACTATTATTTATTACACAAGACATTTTAGACATTAATACTAAGTGCCTCATAAAGAGTAACATCTAATTTGTCTAATGTTTTCGAGAATAGTCTCAATCTCAAGTTGAACAATTGTAATATGATGATTTCATACCTTTTACAAGCTTAATTTTATTTTATTTTATTTTATTTTATTTTTATTATTGATTTTACCTGTCGGGATTCTCATAAATTACGACGAATAACTTTCTTCCGCATTTTCTTCTTCTTTTATTTTTCTCTATTTTCTTTCTATTCAAAAGCCTATCAATCACGTAAAAGTCCCTTCTATCGCCATGGCGTCTGCTCTTCATTTCGAGACCTCTTTCTGGTCTCAGAAACAACCACACTCGACGCTTCCTGATTTCCAGTCTGGACTACAGATATTACACCAGAAATTACAGCAAAGCAAAGTAGAAAACGAAGAAGTCATCACTTTTTTTAAAGATCGCATTTCTATTGAGGAATCATATGGCAACAAACTCATCGACCAGTCCAAGATACCTTCGAAAAATTCCGGATTTGGACGAGACGAAGGTGCTGGACTGCGAAGCTGTTTCGAAAACTTCAAGGTCGCCAGTTCCCAGTTTGGCACACACCATAAAGAGACTGCAGCCACAATGACCGATAGTGCGTTAAAACCTCTGCAGACGTTCAACGAAGACTACAAAAACATGGTGGCCACCAGCCGTCAACAGCTCGACAGCAACCTCAAGCAATTCGACGGGCTATATAAAGACGCCGAACGCGCTAAATCACTTTATAATCGACGATGCCGCGAAGCCGACCAGGCCGAGGAACAGGCCGTTCAGCAGGCTTCGCTCGAAGCTCCTCCTCTTCAACCTCCTACATCTCCCACAGAACAATCCCAGCCACCTGCGGAACCAGCTCCGCCTGTACCTCCCAAAGACATAATTACTGTGCGTCTAGGAAGCCAGGTCTTGACCCCAGCTGAATTCGACACTCTTATCCAACAGATGCGCAAAGAAATCCCCGTAAAAGACCACCGAGTGCCTATCCTAGGCACGTACAAGTCTACCTCTACTGGCGAAGACATTGCGCGTTGGCTCCAGCACAATCTGGCACAATGCAAAGACTCGCCCGCAATGGCTGACATTGTCGGACAGCAGCTGATCCAGCCTCATGGTGTGTTACGACTTATTGCACAACGTGGAAACAAATTCCTACCCTCGGCAACATCATATTACCAGTGGCGCATTCGTGATCCAGAAGAAGAGGCTGGCAGTGTGGGGTCCAACCCAACAACATCTGCATTGGGTGGCATTTTTGAAAAGCTTGGAGGCGGTATTGCGGTTGGTAATGGCGGTGTTAATGGCGGTGCGGGAGCAGGTGGGTCTCCGGTCGTGCCAGGGGAAGAACCATACAAGAAAGCAAGAATGGATGCAGAAAGAGCAGATGAGGCTTACCGTAGTGCAGTCAAACGAGTAGATCGTATGCGCACTGTAATTGAAGAAGCACTGGTGAGTGTATATATAGATATAGATATATAGTTCAAAGAAAAACTAATGCTTATTGATTAGTTTACTCATTTTGCAGAGATGGAAAAGGTTGAGTTGAGAAGACTCGATACATTGAAACAAGGTAAAAGAAGCGATTTTTTTTTAAAAGTATAAAGTTACTAAACAAGTTTTTTTCTTCTTCTTTTACTTTAGTCTTTTCTGCATTCGCTTCTTGTCTTTCGGCATCATTACCCGGAGACAAGGCTATCGTAGATCAAATGCGTTTATTCCTTGAATCTCTGAAACCTGAACAGGATATCCAATACATTGTACAGCAATATTGCACTGCTAGCTTCTCTCCAAAGGCAATGTTGTATGAGAACTACTACCATGGAATTGCACACGGTAAATTAAGTACAAGGTTTCACATAAATAATACAGAACATCTCATGCAAAAAAAAATTACAGATCAAATATTTGGTGTTCCATTAGAAGAATTAGGAAAACAGACAGAAAACGGTGTACCTCAATTTGTCACATATGCTTTGGAAGCTATTACACAAGGTAAGCTTTGTAAAGGGAATGGGATAATTGGATAAAGTTAAATATATGTATATTTAATGGATTTACCTTTTTATTATTCTTCTTATTATTATCAATTAAAATAAATAAATAATAGGTGCCAATGAAATGTCTTTGGAAGGTAAGACGAGAAATACAAATGCAATAAAAAGATTGTGGGTGAAAATGATTGATTGACCAGTTTAAATAGAAAAGAGAAAACTGTGGTCAACGCCACTTGGGCTTGAGAGTGTTCACACCGCAAGAGCAGACATCAATATAGCCAGTTCTAGAATTACAGTCGATCTTTTGAAACAATATGAACCGGGTCTCTTAGTAGCTGTTCTTCGTCTATTCCTCCTCGAATTGCCAGAACCATTATTGACCTTTGAGTTCTATGATCCAGCCCAAGCATTATACAACAGCAATAGTAAGTCTTAAAAAATATGTACTATGTATAAGTTGAGGTAAGATAATGTGTGGCTACGATATTCTTACCGCAAGCTTCTTCTTCTTCTTTTTGATAGGCGAACAAGACGAAAGTATGCGCATATTTCCACTGAGTCATTTGATTTCCAGTCTTCCTGGATCTCACTTCAACACTCTGGATGCACTGTTGACCCACCTTGACACATTCATTCGACAGTTCAGCAAAGCTCCTCTGGAAGAGGAAGAGATTTTCAAGATTTCTCAGATCTTGGGTCCAATTATTTTGCGTTCTCGGGTAGAAACCCTTACTACACTCACCAGTCGTGTTCCAAGACATCTAGCACACGATCTTATCAAATATCACAAAGACATCTTTTCTGAGGTCACCTATCGGGCCCATGCTGAAAGTGAAAAAAGACGCCAGACTCGTCTTGTGGCACTCAGAACAACAGAACAAACCGAAGCAGAAACCAAGAAGCGAGGATTAATGTCGTTTATTAGACCAAGCGAAGAGACCAAATGGGGAGTGAATTCTGTTATGGGTGTATTCCAGCGAAATGGTAACGGAAGTGGTGGCGGTAGTGGCAGTGGCGGTAGTGGCAGTGGTGGCGGTACATCCACTTCTCCACCTGTACCTTCCCCTTCTGACAGTCGATCATTCACACCACCAACATCCATGCACTTTGGATCTGTGATCACCCAAGAGTCTCCACCTTCTTCACCCACCTTGCCACCAAAGGCGGACCCTCCTCCTCCTTCTTCTTCTTCTCCTCCTTCTCAAGTCATGTTTGATGTCGCTGATCACATATCTGATAAACCTGCTTCAATCAAAGAGACAGACAAAAAGGAAGTGGTTGAGGCTCCCCCTCCTCATCAACCAAAGGAAGAGAGTCAACCAGAAGGTGAGCTTGATCCATTCTTTGCTGATGATTAGATTTTCCACTACTCTCTATCTCTCTCTCTTTATTTCTATCTATCATCGTATATACATATATATATACAATATTTCTTCTTCTCTTCCCAAATCATGTGTACATAATTGTCAAGTTTACATACATACACATACATGTACACACACAAATAAACAAATAAACAGAAAAATATATAATTTTCAATGGTTCATGCCATGACACATTTATTGGAGTAAATGAACATGCTAGACATCCAGATTAGACATCCAAACTAGAATCCAAGACCTTTAGATCTCCTGGACGCTGAGAGCGGGGGGGAGGGACTGTCTAAGCTTCAGGGCCTTCTGCTTGTCGTTGACGACAAGGGTGTAGAGGTAGCGAGAGCATCTGACCTTGAACTTGTACTTGTCACCGTTCTTCTTAACGCGAGCAGCTAATTTATTTAGAGTATGAATTTTTTAAATGAGAATCTAAAGTCGAGCAATGAAAAAGAAACGTCATGACGACATTGAAAGTAGCGGAAATTGCTTACACTTGGCGTCCTTTCTGCGGGTGATTTCAAGGAAATTCTTAATGTCCAGAACCTGTTTGGGCTATAGAGAAACATCAATAAATGTGGTTTTTGATTTCATTTGATTTCATTTGATTTTATTTTATTTTTATTTATATATAAATATAAAAATATGAATATGAATGTGCATATGTATATATGTTTATGTATTTTTTTCGTGGAGTGTATCGTCTTGAATCTATTCTATCTATTGTGGTTTTCATCCATATAAAAGTCTTGGGAGGTGGTAATGGTGCTGTGGTATGGATACGAAATATGGTGTTGGATGAAGGATATTTACCATGATGACGGAATTATACCAAGGAGAAGGAGGTTTCTTCGGTTTGCCTGCTTAGGGCTCGACTTTCTACATGCTTGGGATACCTACAATGGAAAAAAAATGAACAGACTGCTCTGGGCCGCACCGTCATACAATTCCGGGTCGGACTAGTTTAAAGTCCGGAATTCATTGATATGCATGCAAGTAAAAGGTGATCTTTCATTTTTTTTTTAAAAAAAATAAATTTGTAGTTGTACAAAGTAACATCAAGGGGGAGAATTACCCGATTTTGTATGATTTTATTTTTATTTCTTTCGAGCGACCGATCGAATTAGTCTTTTTAGTAGTTTCATTTTTGTAATGTATTACTGTTACCTACTATATATCTTTATATACAAATTAAATATGTAATCATAAAGAAGTATTGACAAGGTAGCTAGCCATTGTGGAAGTCAGTAACTAGATAATGGCTATTGTTATTATTATTATTATTATTATTATATAAGTATAGCCCTCGACACTTTAATTCTAAAACACTTGTAAACAGCTAAATATATATATATTAAAAGAAAGACTAGCCTTGAACATTTATACTTTAATAAAGCCATTTATTTTCTCTAGTCGGATATTTTATTTTGTATATTATTTCCCCGGTCAATAAATATGCATTCAATTGTTCTGTTCAATAACGACTCTGTATATTTAGTTATTGATCTTGGTATCCTTCTTTTTGTGGTTTGTGGTTTGTGATTTGTTATAATTACATTTAATATCCAGCCTTTATATCTATATATTTATATTGCTGTAACTATTTAAACTCTCTTTAAGCTGTAAATAAACAACTATAGTCACCAGTAGCTTGGGTTTTTGATTTGATCGATGAAATTTGAATAAAAGAATTGTCCGTGGAACTGGTTTTTATTTCTATTTCTGTTTCATTATTGGGGAACCGATCTGATTCTTTAAGAATATAACCTTACAAGATAACAGCATCTTTAATGATAACGCTCACATATATATATATAATTGCGATATTTTATTTATGGTACATACTTTAAGTATTGTTACTTAAATGACTACATATATAAAGAGAACTTAAAGTATTGTATTATGCTGATAAGAATAAGAATAATAGTTGCTTTTGTTCAATTCACTTTAATTTCTGTTTTATTTTGTTTCAATAGTTCGTCCGCTATTCCACTTTAATACATTTACATTTGCAATTTTTCTTTCCTTCCTTGTTACACTTATTAATAATAAATGCATAATAAGCAAGGGTATTTTTTTTTACGATATGTATACTTGCTATTTTCAGAATATGACAAGGTACTTCATTTGTTCAAACATGACTCACATGATCAATCAAAGTCTAATAATGTACTTATTTATATATATTGCGTGCAGCTTTCAAAGTAATAATAATATTAATGAATAAAATACAATACATTTAATATATAAAGTCAAAAAAATCAAGTTATTTTATGTCATTAACGCGTTTCTTATACACAAGTCTTTATTACTTGCTAGCGAGTAACAGTAATAATATTACACTTTCAACTTGACAAAAAAAAATAACCCAAAACTGATTTATAACACAAATTATATTTAAAATTTATTTTTATAGCAGATATATATATCTTTTTTTTAAAGAAGAAACCAAAGAATACTTTGCTATAAATAGACAACAAAATATAGATATTTATAAACAATAAATAGCCATATATTCCAGAACTATCCCTTGCTCTTTTATTTTACACCTTGTAAACCTTTAAATAAAATAAGAAGAAACAAGTACTGATATTTTTACTGACTTTATTCAAAGGAGTCGTCGTCAAGCTCTTTACCAGCCTTTCTTCGTTTAATTTATTATATCATTACGTTTATTTAACCAAAGCGTCGACTGTATCGAGATCCTATAAAGTAGAATATGCATATGTGCATAAAAATCTTACTTTTTTACAAGCAAAAGAAACGCGGCATTCATACATTTAAGAAATAACCAATAGGTAACAAATAGGTAAAAATCTTCTTTATTGCTATCAACATCTATACATATACATATTGTTACGACTTTTTCCATATTCCTTTCTAGAACAAGTAAGTGAATTTGCTCTCTTGGTCTTTGATTAATCCAAATACTCACCCTCCCCTTTCCTTTTCTTTCCTTCATTAGAGAAGAACGAGAAAGCCTTGAAGATATATATCTCTTATGTAGTTTTTTTGTACGTTTCAAGCCCTTTTACACACGCGATATTTTCTTTTCTTTTACCTTATCTATACCTCTTCGTATTCTCCCGGTCTATCTGGCTCTATTTCCTTTATATCTCTTACCTTCCTCTGTCTCATTCTTACACTTGTTTTGTCAAAAAGGAGCAAATACACTAAAGGATACGTATCGACCTACGTGAATATATATTGTCGCGTAGAATATATTAATTCTACAGTCTAATGGCTAAAAGAAAAAAGAAAACGGTTATGAAACAAGAAATACAAATGGTTGATCTTCTTAACAATAAGGTTATATTGCTAACTATACAAAGACAAAGTCTATTAGTTTTATCTTATCTACATATACATAAAAGAAAGTGGCTACAGATAGTCGCCCTTTCCTACGGAAAAGGAGCTACGGCTTTAAATAAAAGCCACTTTTGTTGATATGTTTGCTTGTAGGTAAGCTGTTGGCTTTTATTAGTACTTTACAACTTACATGGTAATTTAACAATCTATATTTTCTCTCTCTTTTTTTTGGTTTAAAAGCGTTGTAGGTCAAGCTAACCAAATTGGACCTCTTCCGGGTATTGTTTCTAGTAATAGGTAGATAAGTAAACAAGTAAATAAATAACAAGGAGTGTTTTTGTTTTGCTTATCATGCCAAGTATTAATAAGAAGAAAAATATTGCTTTGTCTCAACCTTTTCTTCAGGCTAACAAGTCAACCGTTTATCTTTTCTAACCGGATAGGCTTAATATTTATACTCTAGTACTGTGTATAGTTGGTGTTTGGTATCCTTTCTTCTTCTTCTTCTTCTTTTAGTTTCATCTAGGGCTTCTTATATGTATATATAAAATGATGTCAAAGTGTATTATATTATATCTTATACAGTCTAAGCAAAGATATCTATCCAAAAACCGTACACAAATAGATAAAGAAGTATATTTCATATTAACTGATCTTATAACGCGTGTATGCGATGGTTAGAATTAAATGTATAATACCAAGCGCGTCTATTATTGTTTGTGATTGGAGTTGTAGATAAAATATATGATATGAAAGTAAAGAGGTTTAAAATATTATATTGATTTTAATTGATAATAGAAAGAAGACGAAGGTCGATTTTAGAAAAGACTTTTGCTTGGGAAAGATTTCACAAAAAAAGAGATTGTTTATCAGATGTAGTTTGTAAGCAATATCTCCGAATATTGGTCTTTGTTTTCTAGTAGCTGTAGACTTGTGTATGGAAATTATATATATTTTTGGTCTTGTGGGAAACTTTAGATACGTTTGACAAGATTCAAAGCCATGGCGGAAGACATCAGAAAAGTTATGAAATGAGATGTAGATTAATTTGATGAGATGGGGTGAGCCGAGCTTCAGTGTAAATCCAGAGAGGCGGTTCCAAGCATCAGTAGATTTGATTTTTTTTTTGTAAAATCTTAAGATTTTGGAAATCTGTTAAAAATCAAATTGAGCTCCACTCCATCACTTTTTGATTTTTGATGCTTGATTTTTTCTCATAAATGGGCGGGGTTAATAAAACATATGTGTTTTTTTTTGCTTGTTTATGTGAACAGGCCTGAGAATCTTTTTTTTTTTATATTTATTTCCCTTATTGCCAAATTGCGATTTCAATCTAATTGGCTGAACTCCAAAGCATCTCATCAATTTACCAAGATCTTGAGATTCTCTAAAGCGTAAATCTAAAATAAAAAAAAGAAAAGCACTAGATGGCCAAAGGGTATATATATAGGTAGATTTGCATGCTCGGAAGTTAACTACATTCTTTATTCGTTAATTCATTTTCTTTGATAACAATAAATCTATACAACATGGTCACTGCCACTAACCTCGGATATCCTTACGTCGGCGCTAAGCGTGAGCTCAAGAAGCTTGTCGAGTCTTTCTGGTCTTCCAAGATCACCGAGCAGGAGCTTCGTACTGGCTACTCCAAGATCCAGGAGTCTCACTGGAAGTTGCAGCAGGAGAAGGGCATTCAGCACATCCCCTCCGGTGAATACACTCTCTACGATCGCGTTCTTGATACCGCCCAGCAGTTCGGCGCCATTCCCCAGCGTTACCAGCACATCAAGAGCCCCCTTGAGCAGTTCTTTGCCATGGGTCGTGGTCTCCAGCGCGCTGCCACCGCTACCACCGAGAAGGTCGATGTCCCTGCCATGGAGATGAAGAAGTGGTTCGACACCAACTACCATTTCATTGTCCCCGAGTTCGAGGCCGACCAGAAGTTCACCCTCCAGAACCCTCGCGCCGTTGAGCAGTTCAAGGCCGCCAAGGCTCTCGGTATCCAGACTCGCCCCGTTCTTGTCGGTCCTGTCACCTTCTTGCACCTCGGTAAGGCTGCCAAGGGTACCGAGCCCTTCGAGACCCTTTCCTTGTTGTCCAAGGTCCTCCCTCTCTACATTGAGCTCATCAAGCAGCTCGAGGCCGCTGGTGCCGAGTGGGTCCAGATTGATGAGCCCGTCCTCGTGTTCGATTTGGATGCCAAGGTCAAGACCGCCCTTGAGGAGGCCTACAAGACCATCAAGGCCCAGACTTCCATCAAGGTCCTCGTTGCCGCCTACTTTGGTCGCGTCGAGAGCAACATCAACGCCGTCATCAACCACGTCGATGCCGTCCACCTCGACCTTGTCCGTGCCCCTGAAGAGCTCGACACTGTCTTGCCCTTGTTGAAGAACGGTCAGGTCCTTTCTCTTGGTCTCGTCGATGGTCGCAACATCTGGATCAACAACCTCTCCAAGTCTATCGACCTTGCCGAGAAGGCCGTCAAGGCTCTTGGCCAGGACCGTGTCTTCATTGCTCCTTCCTGCTCTTTGGCCCACTCTCCCTTCTCGACCACCTTTGAGAAGAAGATCCAGGCCAAGAACCCCGAGCTCTTCAGCTGGTTGTCCTATGCTGCCGAGAAGTGCTCTGAAGTCTCTATCATTGCCAAGGCTTTGAACCAGGGTCGTGACTCTGTCAAGGAGGCTCTTGCTGCCAACGCTGCTGCCATCGAGTCCCGCCGCACTTCCCCCCAGACCAAGAACCCCGAGGTCCGTGAACGTGTTGCCAAGGTCCCCGCTGCCGCCTGGAAGCGTCCTTCTCCCTTCTCTGTCCGTCGTGAGGCCCAGGTCAAGAAGCTCAACCTCCCTCTCTTCCCCACCACCACCATCGGTTCCTTCCCCCAGACCAAGGACATCCGTATTGCCCGTCAGAAGTACGCCAAGGGTGAGCTTTCCCAGGCTGACTATGATGTCTTCATCAAGGCTGAGATGAAGAAGGTCGTCGAGTTCCAGGAGAGAGTTGGTCTTGATGTCCTTGTCCACGGTGAGCCCGAGCGTAACGACATGGTTGAGCACTTTGGTCACCTTTTGCACGGCTATGACTTTACCGAGAACGGCTGGGTTGTTTCCTATGGCTCCCGTTGCGTCAAGCCCCCTGTTATCTTTGGTGATGTTAGCCGTCGTCAGCCCATGACCATCGACGAGATTGTCTACGCTCAGTCCTTGACTAAGTTGCCCATGAAGGGTATGCTGACTGGTCCCGTCACCATGATGAAGTGGTCCTTTGTCCGTGATGATATTCCTGCCAACGAGCTCTGTGCCCAGATCGCCCTTGCCCTCCGTGACGAGGTCGTTGATCTTGAGACTGCCGGTATTCCTTGCATCCAGGTTGATGAGCCCGCTATCCGTGAAGGTCTCCCTATCCGTCGTGCTGACTGGGATTCTTACCTTGAGTGGTCTGTTGGTTCTTTCCGTCTCTCCACTGCCGGTGTCCGTAACGAGACCCAGATCCACACTCACATGTGCTACTCTGATTTCAACGATATCTTTGACGCTATTGCTGCTCTGGATGGTGAGTTTTATTTTATTTTATTTTATTTTTTTAAAAAAAAACACGTGCATACTTGAATATTATTTACTTACATTTTATTTCTCTCTCTCTCTCTTTAATTAGCTGATGTTATCACTATCGAGAACTCCAAGTCTGATGAGAAGCTCCTCAAGATCTTTGAGACCAAGCAGTACACCAACGAGATCGGTCCCGGTCTTTACGACATTCACTCTCCCCGTGTTCCCTCTTACGAGGAGATGAAGACCCGTTTCGGTGACATGCTCAAGTACTTGCCCGAGCAGCTCTTGTGGGTTAACCCCGATTGCGGTCTTAAGTCCCGTGGCTGGCCTGAGGTTGAGGCTGCCCTTGTCAACATGGTCGCCGTCGCCAAGTACTACCGTTCTCTCAAGGCCACCAAGGCCTAAGAAGCAACAAAAAAGGAACTTGCTGGCCTTGACTCATGTCTCTTTTTTATATACATACTTACAAAAGAAAAAAAGATTCCCCTAATTCTCTGTACATTCTATTTGATTCCATTTTTTCAACAAAAAGCACATACGGCAAGTTTGATACAGCAAGTAGAGAGTTCAACAACTCAAAGCTTTTCTAAAAAACAAAAAATAGTCAAAAAATCAAAAAATCAAACAAAACTTACATACGTTGAAAATCATCCTTCTTTATATCTACCTTTCTTTATATATTTTCTAATTATTGATTCTCTTAAAGATGTTTATACACATTACACATTCTCAAATAGTTATTCATTTTAAAGAAGAAAAAGAATGAAAAAAAAAATGCTTAATAAAAAAAAAACAATATTTGGCATCTTTTTGTTACAATTAAAACACTGTTCTTATAAATTTTACAAGTGTGGTCTTGATTGTTTTTACATATGTGTTTAGTTAAATTATGAATTATCGTATAAGTTAAAAAGGTACAATTTCTTTTTATACACAAGTATGCATATGTATGCATTGCTTTGTAACAAGCACTATTATGTAATGTGATTATGCAGCCCTTACGACATTAAGAGTCCAATGGAGTGGTAACTAAAAAAAAAAGTAAAAATAAGCTTTCTAAGCCTTTAATAATAATAGTAATTATAAAGAGTATCTTTCAAAAATAAATCGTATAAACTAAGCTATATATAAAGTGTATCAGAGATTAGTCGAGTCGCAAGACGAATTCCTTTCTATAGGTCCATTGAAATCCGCACCATGGATAGCCAATTTGCGGTGGAATTATTTGTCACTAGTCTCTATGCACTCTAATTTCAACCGACTTTTCAGACCTTTGTCTTTACGGCTTTAATTATGTCAATTTTCAATTGTCTTTTGTCCTCGGCACTTTCCGTAAAGATTAGCTTTCACATCTGCTTTTTGTTCTGCTTTTTGTTCTGTTCTGCTCTGCTCTGAGTTTGATTTTGATCTTGAATCCTAGGACTCGTCTCCCATATAATACTCGACTATAATAATAATGTAATTTCTCTTTTATACTACCCCTTAAGAGACCATTTCTCTGTATTTTATTTAACAAGATTAAGCTTATAACAACCTTAATACAAAGCAATATATATATAAATTAATAAAATGGCTCGCATTTTGTCACAGTGAGAGAGAGAGAGAAAGAGAGAAAAGGAGTCGCTCATTCAATAAAGGCGTCACATGGTTAATGAACGAAATGGAATAATGCTTGCATCCCAAATAAAAAAGGCTCCAATTTCTTTTTTCTCCTTCTTGGAAAAAAGAAGAAGAAAGGAAAAAGACGTGTAAGTTGCTTGTCTTGGTCTGTGAGATTTCATTTTCATTTTCATTCGTATTTTCATTTTGCAGTCCTGTAGGCACTTTGGTTGCATAGATGTCTTTTCTTCTTCTTATTCTCTTATATAGCTTTATTTTTCTTTATTCTTCTTTATTCTTTTTTTTTTATTGACATGCTCACGATCTACAATCCTCAGACTCATCCGACTCCATGGACGGCTCCTTCCCACCGCAGCGAAGAAAGTCTTTGACCAGACCCGGTGCGTCTGGCCCTCCTACTCAGACAGTAGAGAGTCCAAAACGACAGCTGGAACAACTGGTGGGATGGTCGATTTCCATCAAAACCATGTCGAATGAGCTTGTTCAGGGTCGCCTCTACACCTTGGACCGCATCACAAATTGCATTGCACTCAATATCCTTTTTTATCTATTATTTTACAGCTCATCATTAACAAAACATAAAAAAAATAGTAGTGTCCTTGACTCCTTTGGTTTCTCTTACTTTGTTCAGATCCTAAGCCAGTACCCAAGAGTGTTTCGTTTCGGATAATCAAGCTGTCGAATATTAAGGAACTTTTGTCGGTAGGACCCGAAGATACCTCAAAGGAACCTTGGACTGCCGTCTCGCCTGTTCGACACGTTCACCTTGATCAATTACAAGCCAGAGAGACCGAGGCTCTGAGGGAAGTTCGACAACAGGCAGCAAAGATTGGTGTCGGTGTGACTAAAGAAGGGCAAGAGATATTCGATGCTCTTTACAAGACGTAAGCTTTTCTTTCTTTCTTCTTTTTTCTTTCTTTTTTTCTTTTTCTGGGTTGACATTGTACGTTTGTGAAGTGATGGTGATGGTTGATGATGGTCGGTAGATGTTTAGTAGATGGTTGATGGTGATTGTGATGGATGATGGGGGATGGCGGTTTCTGGTCGACATGCTAATTATGATTATTTTAGATTGCCATGTCGCTGGGCGAGTGATACGATTGTTGTCATGGATGAGGTTCTTATCAGTCCACCTTACACAATTGAGCATTGCAAGGCCAATGCTTCTTCTGCCGCCTCTTTAGCAAGAGTCAAAAAAGTGGTGCGTAGCTTATTCATTTTATTATATATAGATATATATATATTGTATACAATAGACACTTTGATACAATTTTTTACTAATAATCATATACATTCATGCATGTCTATCTATACATAGTTGGAAGGTGAAAGAAGACGGTTGGCTAATCCAAAGAATTAAAATACACTTGACCAAATTCTCTTTCCTCCTCCCTCTTCCTTTCTCTTCACTATTCCCTTTTCCATCCCATCCCATCACATCCCATAACACTTCTCTTCTCTTCTCTTCTCTTTAACAAGCAAACAATCAAATAAGATACTTTTTTTAAAATATATATATATATTATATTTGTCTCATATTCCTTTCTCACAGTTGCCATGGTTAACGTTTAATCGTCTTGAAATAAACTCCCTCCTCTCTTTATTTCTTTCTTTATGATTATATTTCCTTGTTATATCAAAGTCAATTAGACACAGCACTTTATAAAAGAAGAAGCAGAAAGTAAAAAATGAAAGTGAAAGTGAAAGTGAAAGTTTTAACTTTTTTTTCTTTCCTTTTTATATTGTGACATCATAACAGTTAGAATTATGCTCAGGGCAGCTGTGCATAAAAAAAAGCGAGAGAGAGAAAGAGAGAAATTTAGTTATGAAGTTGCTATAATTGTGCAGAAATCAACGGCTTCCCTTTTACGGGACAACGCATTTTTATCTTTTTTTTTTTTTTACACAATGGCAGTAAATCCGCATGTGTTCGATATTGAGATGGTGAATATACTAAAAGAAGGATAAACAAGAAAGAACCAAGAAAAAGAGAAAGAGAAAGAAAGGGGGAGAAAGCTGGGCGGAAGAGTCGGGAAACTAAAGAACTTATCTCAACATTCCATTGAATTACAAGGCGCAAGTACCGAGAGAGCATGTTAAAGATGTCCTTCGAGGTAACATGAGTAAAAATATAAAAGATGAGAGATGAGATGAGATATGAGAGAAAAACAGAATCTTGACCAATTTTTATAACCCAAAAAAAAAACAGCAATCCTGCATTCAATATTCTTTCATCGTCTACTCATCAACATAACTCCCCGTGAATTGCGAGTACTCGAAACAACAGTGGTAAATAAACAGAGAATAGAAAAAAAGGGGGGGTTTTTTTGTGAGATCTAGGGTAGTATATGTACTTGGATATGTATATAGACAAGGCCTTGAATCTTGGATAATGTTTATCTTGACAATAATAGTCCACTACAGACAGTCCGGATGTCGAGATATTGATAGAGGAACGTGTAAACGAGTTTGTTCAGAATATCAATACAAGTCAACCAAAACAAGGAAAGGTATATATGTGGTTGGTATTGGGCATTGGTTCCAGAACCTTACTTTTTTCTTTGCTCTCCTTTGTAAGATGGCGGTATTATTCTACGAAAAGAGACTCAAGAAGAACTGGTACCAGTTCACCAAATCAGAAGAACTTGCTTGCTGGGAGCAGTGGTCTATCACACTCAACCTTATCAATCCACAGACAGAGACAGGTAACAAATCAAATGAAAATAAGACAAAGGAGGGTCCTTCCATTTATCTATCTGTTTACTTGACTATGCACAGAGCGACACAGTACCAAGCGGTCAGTCTCTAGAAATCTGTCGCAATGCCTTTTGGATGTTCTCAAGATGGCAAATGACTACAAAGAGCACATTCCGTCTATTACTACCACAGAGGGCAACCCATTTCCATACCAGGTAATGTCAAGCTTACAGCAAAGAAAGAAAGGATCAGTCAATCGATCAATTGATTGATCAATTGATTAATTGACTTTAAAATTTTCTATCTTTCAAATCATGTCCTCTTGTATTTTTCTTCTTCTTCTTATTCAATGTCATTGTATTGTGTTTTATTATTGATTTATCCTTAAACAAAAAGATGGCTACACCTGCAAAGTCAGAGACATGGAATACAATGATAAAGCGGCTATTAGTCATAGATGTACCTCCGGTCGAGAGTCAGCGACGCGGATCCCTGTCCAGCCCTACGACGACGAGTATACAAAGATCTTCGAGTCCGACAAAGGAGCAAAACGCTTTGCGCATGGCTCTGGAACACGATCACCTATAAGTCAGACCCAAAAACAAAAAAAAAGGAAAAGAAAAGACATACAACATATAACACATACACTAAACTACACTTCACTACACGATCCTCCTTTCTCGGGCGGATTACCCATCATTCTTTTCGTTTCTATTTTCATCTGAAAAACCATTCAAAACTTAAACATTTCTAAGCTCCAAGAAACATCTATTATTATCCCATAAGTTTAAGTTTAAGTTTCGCATTTGTAATAGAGTGTACTCAAGCACATGAATATAACCACACACACACAAATTATATATATATATGTATGTAAGAGTATGTGTATAAAAAGATGTATAAAAAATAAATCAATGAAATCAATAAAATAAGTAAAGTCAAATCGGCCTTTGCTTTTTTTGTATATAAAAAAAATATAGAAAGAATATATTTCAAGATGTCACTAGGACTTGTATTTTTGTAACAATTTTGGCTATGCAAAATTTCATAAAGGTAAAAGGAGGTAATGCTTTGCGAGATAAGAGGGATGAGATCTAGAAGAAAAAAAGACAACTTATTTGGCGATTTCAACACCACCGGTGGCACCCAAGACACGCTTGATGTCACCGTAGATGGCGAACTGACCGGCGGTGAGGGTGGCAACCATGACAATACGGGGACCGAGACCCAAGAAGAGACCCTTGACACCGAGCTGACCGGCCATCTGGACGAGACGGGAGGAGACGGACTGACCCTCAGCACCCTTCTGCTTGTTGATCTTGGACAACAAGGTATCGGCGGGCTGGGAGATGATGGCAGCGGCAGTACCGGCAATGATACCGGCACCCAAGTTAACGCTGGTGATGGTGGAAGGAGGGAGCTGATCCTTGGGGGTAGGGAGGGTGCTGTAGATCTTCTCACTATTTTCATATTTTATATTAGTACGCGTCTTTTTTCTTTTCTTTCTAGAAGTTATATATATATATATAAAACACTTACGCAGCAAGTTCGAAGACGACGAACTTGGCCATGGTGTAGGGAACCTGCTTGAACAAGATGGGACCGAAGCCAGAGTAGAAACCCTTGACGACACCCTCTTCCTTCAAGATTCTAGAGAAACCACCGAGGAGACCGTTGGCGAAGGTGGGCTGGGAGACGAGACGGATACGGGTGGCCTCAAGAGGGCAAAGGGCAACGTCAGCGAAGAACTCAGCAATAGCAGAGGCACCGAGGTAGATGGCGGTACGGTTCTCGGAAGCCTTCTCGACACCAATGTAGTCGATGGCCTTCTTCTTCCAGAATTCGTAACCTCCGAACTTGAAGGCACCCTGCAAGAAGTAACCAGCAGCAGTGGGACCGAAACCGGTCAACAAGGCACCAGCACCCTGGGTCTGGACAACCTGACGGAAACCAGCGATCATACCCTAAAAAAATTATAGTGTTAACATATGTTTACATATACCACATAAACCCATACACACACACTCCTTCCTTCACTCACTCACTAATGTACATATACACAGCGATATGAAATCGAGATAACTTTTCTTTATCATTTATCCCACACCACTGATATACATATATATATATATATAATATGATGAAATAAAAAGAACGAAATAATTACCTTGTTGTAAACCTCGGGCTCCAACTGGATTCTGGTCTTGACGACATCAACGGGGGTCATGGCACCGTGAGTGACACCACAGCAGACAGCACCGGCAAGGGCGAAACGGGCGTAGAGACCGACACCGGAGGGAGCAGCGGCATCAGCGGAGGGGGAGGGAACAATGAAGTTCTTCTTGAGGGACTCTTGGGAAGGGAACATGATGAAGGACTTTCTCTTTGTTATTGAGCGGGGAGGAAAGAAGGTGGATATCAAAAAAATATGTCGAAAAAAAGAAGAAATAGCAAAAAAAAAAAAGTTGCTCTGTATTTTCGCTTTCAGCAGTCGAATTTTTTTTTCTTTTCTTCTTTGCTTCTTTTGTTTCTCAGCGCCCCTGAATAAATAAAATGAAAAAAAAAATATGTATATAAAAAATAAAATAAAAAAAAATAGAATAAATATCTGGGCCCATGTCTGTTCATAAGCCAATCATAAATCTTTAAATTAGATAGCCCTGTGCGCTGCTTTAAAATAACAATAATAATAAATAAATACTACATCAAAAAACATAATGATTTTATATATAAATACATATATATATTTCTTTATGATTTGTTTCCATGGTATAGCTTATTTCTTTATCAGCATTTAAACTTTTACCATGGAAACGCTTTTTTATTTTTAAAATTCAAGCTATAAAGTTTTTTAGTTCTTCACTTCATATTCTTTTTTTTTTTTTAAAAAAAGATTATTCATTTGTTACTGACATAATTTCTGAAATAAGCATTATATCATAAATATATATAAATAAAGATGATCCTGAAAGATAACTAGTATATCGGAAAAGAATACGTATATATACACTATTATAAAGTCACAGCCTCTTTCATATTTCTTTGGATTTCTTTTTATAATACTTTATATACACTGTTAATGCTCGAGAAGCTTGAAATAAAATAGAATAGAGCTACTCAGTCAAGGATAATTTCTTTCCGACCAATGTAAAACAAAAAAAAAATAAGCACGTTTTGTTCAAAGTCAGGATCATGTTCGCAGTTGTATCCCAGGAATGAAAGATTGAAAAATAATGCAAATCACTTTAATTCAATGCAATTCTTTATCTTTATATATATTACAATGTAACGTTGATCTTTCTTTGAAAATTAAGTATTGGCCTAAAGTACCGAGTATTGTATCATCAAGTATTTCTATCAGTTTAATAAAAAGAGATTTATAGAAAGAAGTAGACGGATAAAATAGGTTGATTAATAGATAGATAGATAGATAGATATATTGATTAAAGTAATAGAAAACGAAAATGAGAGTATAGGTAATTAGGCTAAATTTACCCGATAACGCACATACACACACAACCTTACATTACATATAGAGTATTAACATGATAGATCACATTATTTCTTATCTTGTTAAAATACATATACACACATTGTTATTGATATTGATATTTATACTCTCTTGTGAGTACAGAATAAGGGTTTGGCGACCATCCTTTGTGTAAAATAATAAAATTATAACTCTGTTCTGTAATTCTGTAATTCTGTAATTCCAATTCTTGACAATTTAAAGTGTAATTCCAATGGTAAAGAAACCCCAAAAGCCATGTCTTTTTTTTTGATTTTTCTTTACAAGTTATAATATTTATTATTATGGTAATCTCTATCTTTAGCTTTGTTCCTTTGGTCAAAGAAATAGAAATCAAGACAATGGTCAACTGTCTTATACACTCATGACATTTACATATGTAATTTAATGTGTAAAAGATATTAAATCTACCAAAAACGTAACAATAAACAAACAAAAACATACGATATTATATTACTTGTTTCTTTTGCGTGCGTGCATATTGCTTAATTGATGATTCATAACCAAAAGAAAGAAGGAAAGAAAGAAAAAAGGAAGTAATGGGTTGAACAAAATAAATGTCATACAAAATTCATATATTTAATAATAATAATAATATTTTTGAAATATTTTAAAAAAGAAAAAGAAAAAGAAATTAAAAAATTAAAAAATTAAAAAATTAAAAAATTAAAAAATAAGATTGAAAGGGTTACCTGGTCTCTACAGAAATTCAATATTAATATTTGCATGAAATCAGCTTTTTTCTATAGGTTTGTTTTTATTTCTCAAAATAAAATGTATAAAACGTATATATCAATAGAAGAGAAGAGTCTCTTCTAGAAATTCAAAAGATTATCGCTACAGGCATATACATATATACATACATTGAGAGGCTGTTATTGTTGGCTTCAAGAGAAAATAATAATAATAATAATAGTAATATTAAGTAGAATAATGATAAAAAGAATATTTCTATTTTAATCATTGAATTGAATTCACTTCTCTTTGGCTGTATTTATATTCAATTCATTTTTGTATAGAGCAATTTCCCCGGAATCTTAATCCTCTTCTGGCTTGTGTATGAATTGAAATACTTCACTAAATAAATAAATATATAAAAAAAAAGTTCTTGTTCACATTCCGGGTAAATAAGGAAAGGAAGAAGTTGGGTAGCATGGAAAATTACGGAGGGACATCCTGTCGGGGTTGCAAATTAAGAATAATAAGCCACCGCACACTGCATTCTACTTGGCATTATGTTATATCGATCAAGTCTATTATATCAGACTATCAGTCCATTAGTCTATTTAGAGTGTGTATTACTTTTGTATATAAATCGGTTGTGCTTTGAAGATATAGCAAAATCATAAAAGAAGTCAATTGAAGCTCTTTTTATTTTTGCTTTTATTTTTCTATAAATTATTCGGATATATAATTCTTTGGATTTTTTTTAAAAAAAATTCAATTAATTTATATAACAATATAGTAATCGAAATAAAAGGTACTAAATAACAAGCCAAGACAGGGAAAGACAGGGAAAGCCAAAGGACAAAAGGCAAGACAGGGAAAGGGTAGGAAAAGGGTAGGGTATAGCAGGAAAGGGTAGGGTGGGATACACAACCAAGAGAGGGTTTACCCGATCGACGGTCTACATCGGTACGTCACTAGGCAAATAAAAGGAAAACGATTATTGTATTTTATTATTTTCAATGGCGACTTGCGGAAGCCCTACAATATTATTATTATTATTTGTGCCATTTGAAAGGAGGGGAGGGGGGGGTGGAGACGCAAAAAATTAATAAATAATTGTTACTTTCCATTCTAAAAAAAAAAAAAAAACAAAAACAAAAATTGTGTTTACCCCACGCTTTTTAGTCCATTTTTATTCTTTTCTAAAAAAGCCCTCCTCCACCTCTTCTTCTTCTTCTTCTTCTTTAACCCCTCTCCTTCCTCCTTTTCCCCTTTTTTTTCTTTTTTTTTTCTTTTAAAAAAAACATGTATCGCTTGTCAGCACTCGCACGTGCTGCCAGACCACTTACCGCTGCTGCACGTCGTGTACAGGTCTCTCAGCCCAACGCCTTCCGTTCGGCCTCTGTCGCCTCTTTCCACACCGGAAGATCGCGTCTTGCTTCAACCAAGACCACCGGTCCTGAGCCCAACGATGTATTTTTGCAGGGTAACTCAGCCAACTACATTGAAGAGATGTACGAGGCCTGGTTGAAGGATCCCAGCGCTGTGCACTTGTCGTGGCAGGTGTACTTCAAGAACATGGCCAACGGAGTTTCTCCCAGCGAAGCATACACTCCTCCCCCAACCCTTGTTCCCTCTGGAAGTGCCCGTCTCCCTGTCCTGCCTGGTGCCGGTCTCTCGAGCCCTATGAATGCCTCTTCCAAGGAGGTTATCGACCACATGAAGATCCAGTTGCTCGTCAGAGCCTACCAGGTTCGCGGTCACCACATCGCCAACCTCGACCCTCTTGGCATTCAGCACGCTGACCTCACCTCCGCTACACCCCCAGAGCTGTCCTACAACTACTACGGCTTCACCGAGAAGGATCTTGACCGTAAGTTCACCCTCGGTCCTGGTATCTTGCCCGCCTTGGGCAATGGTGACAAGGAACTCACCCTGCGCGAGATCGTCGACGTCTTGAAGAAGATCTACTGTGGCTCAATTGGTATTGAGTACATTCACATTCCTGACCGTGCCCAGTGTGACTGGATTCGTTCCCGTGTCGAGAACCCCCAGCCCTACAAGTACTCGGTTGACGAGAAGCGCATGATCCTCGACCGTCTCACCTGGTCCGACAGTTTCGAACGTTTCGTTGCCTCCAAGTACCCCTCCGAGAAGCGTTTCGGTCTTGAGGGTGGTGAATCCTTGATTCCTGGTATGAAGGCCATGGTAAGTCTTTTTTTTGTATTTTTAGGGAAGAAAAAAAAGTGAAAAAAAGAGAGTGAGAGAGGAGGGGGATATTAAAAAAATTAAATTAATTGCATAAATTTTGTGCTCTGTGAGAATGGGACAAATATTGTTGCATTGATGAATTGTGAAATATCATATATATATATATATATATATATATGTTCTTACAACTTCTTCGATTGTAAATATACTTTTGTTAACAATTTTCATTTCATATAATATTTTTCTAGATTGATCGTTCGGTTGACTTGGGTGTTGAATCCATCGTAATTGGTATGCCCCATCGTGGTCGTCTCAATGTCCTCAGTAACGTTGTCCGCAAGCCCAACGAGTCCATCTTCTGCGAGTTCAGTGGCTCTGTTGAGCCTTCAGCCGAGGGATCTGGTGATGTCAAGTACCATCTTGGTATGAACTACGTCCGCCCTACCCCATCCGGCAAGCGTGTCGCCTTGTCCCTGGTTGCCAACCCCTCCCACTTGGAGGCCGTCGACCCCGTTGTGCTCGGTAAGACCAGAGCTCTGCAGTTCTACAGCAAGGACACCAAGGGTCAGCACTCCATGGCTGTCTTGATGCACGGTGATGCCGCCTTTGCTGGCCAGGGTGTCGTATACGAAACCATGGGCTTCCACGATCTTCCTGCTTACTCCACTGGTGGTACCATCCACATTGTGGTCAACAACCAGATTGGTTTCACCACTGATCCTCGCTATGGTCGCTCCACCCCTTACTGCACTGACATTGCCAAGTCCATCAACGCACCCGTATTCCATGTGAACGGTGATGATGTCGAGGCCGTAACCTACGTAATGCAGCTCGCCGCTGACTGGCGCCAGACCTTCCACCGCGATGTTGTCATTGATTTGGTGTGCTACCGTAAGCACGGTCACAACGAGACCGATCAGCCCATGTTCACCCAACCCAAGATGTACAAGGCTATTTCCAAGCAGGAGCCAGTTGCTCAGATCTACGCCAAGCAGCTCGAGAAGGAAGGCACTTTCAGCCCTGCCGAGATTGACGAGAACAAGAAGCGTGTCTGGGATATTCTGGAGGAGAGTTATGCCAAGAGCAAGGACTACAAGCCTACCTCGCGCGAGTGGTTGTCCAGCAGCTGGCCCGGATTCAAGTCTCCCAAGGAGCTTGCCGAGGAAATCCTTCCCCACTACCCTACCGGTGTCTCCCACGAGACTCTTCAGCAGGTCGGTGCCGCCATGACCACCCTGCCCCACAACTTCGAGGCCCACCGCAACTTGAAGCGTATCATCCAGAACCGCGAGAACAACATCAAGGAAGGTAAGGACATCGACTGGTCTACCGCCGAAGGTCTTGCCTGGGGTTCGCTCTTGCTTGAGGGCAAGCACGTCCGCGTGTCTGGCCAGGATGTCGAGCGTGGTACTTTCTCCCAGCGTCACGCTGTTCTCCACGACCAGGCCAACGGCTCCAAGCACACTCTGTTGAACCACATCTCGCCCGAGCAGGGTGTCTTGTCGATCAGCAACTCCTCGCTCTCTGAGTTTGGTGTCTTGGGCTTCGAGCTCGGTTACTCGCTTGTGGACCCCAACGCCTATGTTGTCTGGGAAGCCCAGTTCGGTGATTTCGCCAACAGTGCTCAGGTCATGATTGATCAGTTCATCTCTGCTGGTGAGCAGAAATGGCTCCAGCGCAGTGGTCTCGTAATGTCCCTTCCCCACGGTTACGATGGTCAGGGTCCCGAGCACTCTTCTTCCAGAATCGAGCGTTATCTCCAGCTTTGCGACGATAACCCATACGTCTATCCTTCCCCCGAGAAGCTCGCCAGACAGCACCAGGACTGCAACATGCAGGTTGTCTATGCTTCCACTCCCTCCCAGTACTTCCACGTCATCCGTCGTCAGATCTGCCGTGAATTCAGAAAGCCTGTAAGTAAAACCAAACACAATATATATATATGTAGTGAAAGGGAGAAAAAACAGATAAAGAAAAACAAAGAAAGAAACTATTCATTTGTTGCATGTACTAATCCTGATTTATCTTTTTTCAATTTTCTAGCTTATCCTTCCTTTCTCCAAGGCTATGCTCCGTCACCCCATGGCTCGCTCCAACTTGGATGAGATGATTGGTGATACTCACTTCCAGCTCTACCTCCCTGAACCCCACCCCGAAACTCTCGCTGCCCCCGAGAACATCAAGAAGCACGTCTTCTGCTCTGGTCAGGTCTACTATGCTCTGCTCCGTGCCCGTGACCAGAACAAGATCAACGACATTGCGATCTCGCGTGTCGAGCAGCTTAACCCCTTCCCCTATGAGCAGATCAAGGAGCACGCCGACAAGTATCCCAATGCCGAGATTGTCTGGTGCCAGGAAGAGCCTTTGAACATGGGTCCCTGGGCACACGTCAGCCCTAGACTCACCACCACTTTGGCTCAGACCAAGCACCACGCCGGCAAGCCCGTCAAGTACACTGGTCGTGAGCCCTCTGCTTCCGTAGCCACTGGTAACAAGAAGAAGCACTACCAGGAAGAGTACGATTTCCTCAGCGAGGCTTTGATCGGTTCCCCCACCAAACCCAAGGCCGTTGAGCAGGGTGTTCCCCTCTTCTAAATCCCCCTAAAAAAATGTGAAATAATATAATTACCCATAACTTCTTTCTTTCCTTCCTCTATTTCCTCTATTTTTTTTTCGTTTTTCGTTTTTTATTTTATTTTACTTCTTTCATGGGAGAAAGACATTTTTTTTACTCATCATCTTTTTTCTTTCTTTTTCAATTCATTAAATATATATATATATATATATATATAAAACAAACAAACAAACAAATATACACAAAGCTAAAGAAGTCTATTTTTTTTTGACAAGCATTTTTATATTGTATTATATTAATATTTTCTTATCAGATCCGATAGACAAAAAAAAAAAGCAACGACAACCCAAGATCCACGTTGCTGGGAAGGTTTTAATCTTCAATAAAAAAAAATGCTTTAAATTCTGTATCATTTTTTTTTTTTTGGAAAATCAATTGATTTAAATGTCCGACAAAACAACCAATTGTGACTTTGATTTTAAGTTACTTTTTAAGAACCATATGAACCAAAATATATATATATACTTATATATAGAAGAAAGGAATCCAATTCAACTACATTTACAAACACACCACTAGACAACACCAAAAGCAATTAAAAAACAAAACAAAACAAAACAAAATAAAAAAACCGAATAAAGAATGGCCACCACACAAAGTGCTGATTATGATATTTCAAAATATACTGATCGTGTCAGTTTATGGAGTAACGATCCCAACGCTCATCTCTCGGGTTACTTTACTCTTTACTACCATGTCGAATCAGAGTTAACGCCTACAAAACCTGATACAATCCTGGGTGACATTTACGTTCGTCAGGCACCCAACAAGATTTGCGTTCTTGGATTATCTCCTAGCCATCCTTTTATTGTATCATCAAGCTCTTTGAACAAAGACGATCTCAAAAAAGAGTGCAACGTTGTGCTGGCCACAGAATTGGTTGGAACCAAGGTTACTTATGATACCACTATTGCTCAAATTATTGTCGGTCAAATCACGTATCTCATCAAGGCACGTATGCAAGGCCAACTGCTCGAACTAAACCCACGTCTCAAGGACACACCTGAACTTTTGTGGGAACATACAATGGATACAGGCTATATTGCAGTAATTATGTCGCGTGTAGACGACACAAAGCAACAACTTAAGGGCTATCTTACCGAAGAGGAATACAATACCAGCTTGGCAGAGAAGAAATCAGAATAGGTTATTTGTACTATATTACATTATACTATAGTAATATAGATGTTTTTTCTTTCTTTCTGATTTTGGTTTTGATTTTGTGGTAGTGTTTTGCACCTGTAAATATATTTTATTAAGCATTTATATGTAAAAAGGATATTTTTATTATAATTTTCAAGTAATAATTATCATTTAGCCTGTGTGCAAAGAGGCAAATCCTAAATCCTAAACCCTAAACCCTAAACCCTAAACCCTTAATTCATATGAATCAAGCTTTAATATGCGAGCCATATTTCCCCCCTTCTTCCTCTTAATCTTCCTATATTTTATAGCCTCATATTCTTTAGTTTTTTGTTTGTTTTGAATGAACAGATAAGTGGGTGGTTAATTAATGATATGTTATTTTGCGTCTTTTTTTTTTAATATAAAAAATAAATAAATTAAAGGTGCATCAAGCAACCACTAATTAGAGCTGTTAAATTAATAAGTTAAGCCAATTAACCCACATACACATACACTGTATATAAATGTATGTAATGCGTATTGAGTGCAATTAGATCTTAATCCCAATTCTAATTATTTTACTCTAACTACGAACGGCCTGAAGAGAGTTCAAGAGACTGTTCTTGGAATCGTCCTAAGAAGAAGATGAAATGAATATTTTGCAGAGAGAAAATCACATGAGTGCATTTGTCTACTTTATGTAATATATGTGATATATATTTCTTGGTGTAATGATAATAATAATAATAATAATAAAACAATAAAAAAAATAAAATTACCATGTCCAGGGACCAAAGCATGACACCGGCCAATTTGTTCTTCTGTACGTAAGTAGCCTTTGCACGGAGAGATCTTGGGTCATCAAAGGTCAGGAACTGCTTTGTCTTGGCAGCATAAGAAAAGTATGTCTGACTGGTAGAGTCCCAGACGGTCTTCCATCCACTAGCACTTCGGACGATCCCCTTGCTGGCAATTGTTTTCCACAAGACATCTCCAGAGTAAGAGCTCTTTGCACCCTTGCAAGGATCGGCACCCTTGCTGTCATATTGATCGCCCTTAATCTGAGTACCCTTTTTGTAAGCAACCTTGATGCCAGACTTGGCTGTAGCAGGGCTGGTGGTCAAGGCAGTGTAGCCGTAGAAAGGAACGCCGACCACAATACGGTTCTTGGGAATACCGGCTGCGACCCATTGCTTGACAGAAGAATCGATGCTTTCTTCACCATTCTTGGAGTAAAGAGGAGAATTGGACGAGGTCTTTGGGTTCCATGGGCCAGCAAGATCATAAGCCTTGAAATGATAAGAGTAATAATTAGATTTATATAAACGTAATACATAGTCTAAAATAAAGTAATTACCATGATATTGACATAATCGAGAGCATTCTTCCATCCGGATGCAAGTTTCTTGTAAGGATTCTGGTTACCATCTCTAAAGACGGTAGTGCTGACCGCAGCCGAAATTGTCTTGTGTTCGTTAGGGAAGGCGGCATCCAACTTCTTGCGGAGTAATTGGATGAGCTTGAGGTAGTTTGGAGTATCATTGGCATTCCTAGTCAATCAAGTCAGCTTGTAAATTTCTATTTTCATTTGGGCAATGTTCATCATTTCTAACAAAAATGATAAAACGATAAAACGATAATATTCTATTTGCTTACTTTTCATTACACGAAACACCATCTGGGTTGTTAGGATATTCTGTTGAACAATTAAAAGAAGAAGAAGAAAACGTGTGAGGTCTTTCCTGACTAGGATTTTTGATTTTTGATTTTTGATTTCTTATTTTATACAAATACATATATGTATATATGTATTTGCCTTGTAGATTATTTGTCTAATTATTACCCCAATCAAGATCAAGTCCATTCACGTTGTAGGTCTTTACGGCCTGAACAAGATTGTTGGCGAATTTTTCACGGGAAGCAGATGTGCGTACGAGGGAACTGAAATAGAGAGAGCCGCTCCAACTGTGGGATTTTTTTTGTTAGTTAAATAAAATATTATCATGTAAATATGTGCATATGATAGTATATCTTTAATATTATTCTTTTAGTGTTTCAACTCTTACCCTCCAATACTAAGACTGACACCTTTCTTGTGAGCATGAGCATCCTTGACAACTACAATGTTCATGGTTTTTATAGCCTGATTAGCTAAAATTCGGATTTATCTGAGATAAATTCTACAAGTCTGTGCGTGTACCTTTCTTGAGTTGATTTGCATCGAAATCACCAAGTTTTCCGTCTTTGTTAGGAATAGCAAACGAATAAATGACATGATCGAGTTTAGTCCAGGGAATGGACTTGGGAATATTCTATATAAATAAATAAATAAATAAATAAATAAATGAAAGGTTAATAAAGACCATTATTTTCAATACATTGATATTCTACTTGAAAGTATTTTATATCTACGTATGTACCCAGTCAACAATGTAAGCGGACAAATGGCGACTTCCATAGGCACTTGCTGCAAGACTGACAGCAGTGAGGTAGATGAGTCCAAAAAGACCCACCAAAAGAGATGAACGCATGGTTGGATCTCAAGAAAGCAAATAAATAAAAATGAAAGGGAAGAGAATGTAATGAAAGGAAAGGAAAGGTTAGAGGTGAGAAAGAAAGAAAGAGAGAGAGAGAGAGAGAGAGAGATTATGCAAAGAAGTGATTTATACCAAAGTATATATGTATGAGTGTAATTGTAAACGTAAATGTAAATGTAAAGATAGTTTTTTGACAAATGGTAATTGAATACTTTTGGTTAATATATCTGATAAGTCGTAGTTTCTTGTGCATTATTATATTATATATATTATCGTCACTAAAATCTAATTAACATAGCAATAGAAATAAGAATAATAAGTGAAATTGGGATTTTGTGCTGTGTTTTGTGTGTGTTTTTTGATTTTAAAGATCAAACAACAATTGAAAGATCCTATCTTTTTCGTTCTTTCTATAATGCGTTGTCCTACGATCACCCTTATTAAACTCGTTTGTATTCTCTCTTTCTTTCTGCTTTTTTATATATATATGTTATTGTCCATGTGTTTCTTTATATTCCTCTTTTGGATCTTTTGTCTTACTTGAGACAATTATGTCGTTGTCTAAACAACCGCCAATTATTCTCGAATTGTCGTACAGTTGTTACAGTAAATATATATAAAGGAACGAATCAAGAATGTTCGACATCATTATCACTTGAATAGTAATAGTAGTAGAAGAAAGAAATTCCACCAAATCCACATAATTGTTTTCTAACTTTCATTTGCAATATACCTTAGCTCTATTAATCTTAATGAGCCATTAGTATAGTAAAGTGCAGTGTAATTATATATATATATATATATATATATATATATATATATATGTGTGTGTGTGGGTAATATACTCATTAACCCTATCATTTTTTAATCATTTCATTTCAAATCAATCAAGCCAGCAATAAATGTAAAACTTTAGAAAGGGATGCAATACTTTATGTATCGCATACGTCTTGTATCTTATGTATTTATATACTTTCTTCTAAATTAAGGTGATTGTCAAACTCGCCTCTTTACTTATTTTTTGGTTGTTTTCCTATTTCATTTACACGAATATGTTTTTTTATTAGTAATATTTCCAAATAAATCAAATTCTCTTTGGTTGTTTTACGAGAAACTGCCAAAAAAGGAAAAAACACCTATTAATCTTTTTACACAAATCATTATTATCCTAATTTAAAATAAATAAAGTGAACCACAGAAAAATATTTGTTTTCTCTGTTTGTTGGTCTTGTAATTAAACTATAATATTATTAAAACAATTGTTTCTCTGGATTCTATAAGAGTCAAAATAAGGAATAAATGACATTCGATTGCAAAATTATTTACACTACCAAAAATACAGACTACAAACTACAGACTACAGACTACAAAGGTAGTTGCAATTATAGTATTGTTGTTGAGAATATTGTAGAAGATACCATGCCATGTTATCCAACAAGACAGGAATCTCGATTTGAAATTCCACGTGTTTTGGAGTAAAGTACGCGAGCATTTCCTTTTTCTTGTTCTCGTTCTTATTTTTTCTTTTCTTTTAGTGCTCTTCATATCCATATATATATATATATATATATAATTGCAAGGAGCTTTTGTGTTTCAATATACAACAAGATGGTTTAACTTTTTTTTTGTACAGAATTTGCTCAAAGGCTAAAAATTATTACTTATTACTTATTCCTATGCTTATATATTATTGATATTAGTATTATGCCTTCTAGCAGTATATGTATATGTCTGGGTGATTCTGTAAATTAATGTAATTAAAATATGCACACGACTTTAGTATTATATTCTCCTCTTTCTTATGCTTGTTTCACCAAAGTCAGCTACAGTGTTTAGACTTGAGATTGAGACAGATTATATTGTTGTTTTTTAGACCAATAATAATCCAGCTTTAGAGAAATACGGAACATTTTGTTTTGTAGAATAAGTCTCTGTAAAAATCTAACTTTCTTCATAAAAAAAAACGATGCATGAGACGACAATGTAGTAAAAATAAAAGCATTATTTGCTTCTACAAAACGCTTGAGAGGAACTATTGCTATCGATTATCTCGTTTGAAATCTTGAAAATGTTCTTCGAAACATTATCATGTCATAGCATTCCACAACTTTGGCAAACGAGAAAGCTATTCAACCTAAGGTTCGCTTCTGTGAAGGACATTTCATTACAAGAATTGCCTGTCTGCATCTACGAGATTATTAGATCAGTCAAAAGACAAATTCAATTCAACATCTTGTACCTTCGAGCAAAGGATCACTGGATCTTTGTCTGGACTTGAACTATCGCCAAAGAACACCAGCGACGCTTGTTCTAAGACCCTTAATCTTGACCAAATCTTTACCAAACATTCTGCTAGCAATTGAAATGATTGCTAGCTTGCTTTTATTCTGGTTAATCTTCTCGGCGATCAGTATTTGTTTGCTCTCCTCATAAAACAAAATATGAATATTTTATAAACTTACTTTGCACCTTGTATTGTTTGTTTGGTACTATCGTCCTTTATGACTTCTTTATTTTTTTTTCTTTATGTTTCTTTTTCACTCTGACTTATTATATTTTTTTCTTACCACCGCCTATCAAAATGTTTATCAGTTCTGCTCTTGCTCTTTGAACGCCTTGGCACAGGTAGAAGCTGGTTTTAGCTGTTGATATACCATTGAAGCACAATATCTTGTCAAGGTTTAGCAAAATATAAGGGGCATATTAAAGGTAGCTGGACATGTTCAATATTTTCTGCTGTTGGTATATTGAAAAAAAAAGTGACACTAATATCTTCAGCAGCTATCCTTTCTCTTTATTTTTTTTTCATGCCTTTCTAATCTGGTGTAAATATAATATTCCTTGCTGAAGAACCGTTTGAGCTTATGATGCGTGTCGCCATAACCATAGAAGGCAGCGAATACTTTATTACGGCTGGAATAATGAGCAAATAGGACACTTGTTCAAGTCTTCACTGGGCATAACATCTTCCAGCAGTGCTATGGGGAAACTTCTGTTGGAATAATGAGCAAAGTACTCCGTAATTGTTTGTATAGTTTTATGAAGAACATAATCAGCGGCATAGCTATCAGTTCTGATTAGGTTTAAGAAAACAAGATTTGTCTTCTTGCTTAGACCTCTTTAGGTCTTGCAAGTTACTATAACCAAGGGCCTAATAAGTAAGAAATTTTACATACTATATGTCACGTATACTCAAATATCTTGTCTGTTTAGTCCGAGTCTCTTAAAAATCAGACAACTTTTTAAATATTTCAAGTTTGGCTTCGTATGTGGTTTGGAGATTTATACCAGTAAAACTCGAAATGGATTCCATGCTGAATGCTATAGACCCCTACTTCAGTGAAGGCACATAACATAACAAAAACAAGCAAGGATGCTCTTGCCTTTCTTCTTCTTGGTGATTGTTTTGTTGGTGTTGTTGGTTTTAGTGGACATATTGTGTGTGTGTGTGTGTGTGTGTGCGTGTCTTTTTTTTTAAAAAAAAACTTGAGAACCGACAAGAAAGGAAAATAATTCAGGAACAAAACTTAATATATATATATAAGCTTTTTAATATATATCTTTCACAATTGATTAACTGCTAAAATGACACGGTTTACAGCACTTATTAAGTTTGACAGCTATCTATAAACAGTAATTGATTGCCTAATCTTGAGTTAAAATAATTTAAGTCTGCTAGTACTTGCACGCACTTTTGTTCAAATATGACACTATATTGTTTCTACCTGATTGGCATAATCTATAGCAAAAGCATTTGTAGTAATATTACTTATATTAGCCCCACTATACTTATATGTAGATATTACATCAATAGAGAAAATTATCCTCTCACTCGAGAAACATTATTTTGTCGAAGTGCCTTACAATAATTGACTCTGTGACATGACCACAAGTTCCAAAAAGAGATCCCACAACAATATTTTGCAAAAAAAAGGCGTGTTCATTTTTCTATCAAATAAAGCAGACTGATAGATGATTGAAATATCTTTGATAGACTCATTTGTGTTATTCAAACTGGAAGTGATATAAGTCCATGAGAAGGTATTTCGAAGGTTGACTATGTAAGACGAAGGCTAAGAATGAGAAGATAAGTAGTCCAATCTGGTTATTGTCAGGTATTCTCAAGGTTTTATTCAGAAAGTCATTGTATTTTTTGAACAATCCAGTGACTCATTCTAATATTCTTCTTGTACTGGGTGAGCGTTGGAGAACAGTGCTTTGGGTTGGTTCAACCCCCCCCCCCCCCCACATACATACTGAGTCGAAAGTAGGGTATTGAAAAGAATATGATCATAATATATATGCTTTACTATTAGAGTTCACTTGAATCTTTATTAAGGTATTAGAATAAAATATTTACATGTAGTATACTGCTCATAATGAGCTAAAAATAAACATCAAGCGTAAAGATCGCTTATAATCTAGGTATCAATGTTCTGCATGGGGCCTTTGTATGTATAACGGCCGGCTGCGAACCAAAACACAGTAGCAAAGATTACTACAGCGCTGATCATAACACAAGACCAGTTCATAGTCTCTGGTGTTACAGGGTATGTTTGTGGAAGACATAAAATCACAGCAAAGAAGATAATCCAAACAATACTAATGATGTTCAAGGGGATACTAAATTTTCCAAGAGTAAATGGACCTTTTTGCATGGTGTTTCTTTTCCAGATTAAGCGACAAACAAACGGAAGTCCTGTTTTAGAAAGAAAGAAAAAACATGTAAGAGATCAAATTTGAAAAGAAAAGGCCAAAACTTTACCGTAAGAAACGTTCACACAAATGACTGCTGTGCTCATAATAGCTTGCCAATACACGGGTGATCCGAAAGACTATTTATTACGCACACACAGATGTTAATATAAATACCAGTTAAATAGTTGATAAATAAATAACCTGGATATGTATATTTAATATAAAGTACTTACAGGCATGATAGCAACAATGCAAATAAGCAGTTGGAGCATGAGCCCACGTACGGGGATCTTACGGCTGTCAAGACTGTACCAAAAATTAGCCTGGGGGATACATCTGTCACGAGCTAGAGCCCAGATCAACTGGCCCATAGCAAATGTGTTATTGCACAGCGCACCGAATTGAGTGACTAGCAATATAACCATGAAGAATATAGCAACCGGACGGCTGGTGGCGCGTTCAAAGAATGTAGCAATGGGATAAGGTGAGTCAATCAATTCTTCGACGTCTTGGATAGAGAACATCACTGGTAAGATAAGTGCTGCTCCTTGGATAATTGAACCGGCTACGCAAATAATGATTCCACGAGGGGCGGTTTTGTCTGCGTTCTTGGTACCTTCAACAATTTGTGCACCGGCACCATATCCAATCTAATAAATAAAATAAGGAGCCATTAAAGAGCTATTCCTTTTTTTTAGAAGAAAACAGAAGCTCTAATTCTTACCAAACACCATCCAGCCTGTAGTAAACCGAGCAAAAAAGCCATTCCATCATTGTCGTACCCTGTTCTATTGATAAACTCTGTAAAGACCCATTCACCCGAGGTGTGAGTAGGTGACATTGCTATGTAAAAAAATTTACGGTTAGCTTTTCATAAGTCTTAGTATATGATCCTTCTTTGATTTATATACCTGGTATAGTAATGATAACGATCAATGTTCCAAAGAGAACCCAATACACTAAGAATATACAAGATTTTAACACCAATATACACATATATAAAAAGTGTTACATACTCATAAATACGTTGAGATAACTGCTACACTTAAGACCAAGATAGCTGTATAATGCACCGGCAATAAGCATTCCACAGTACAATCCAACATGAGCTCCTTGGGATGAAATTTCCACTCCAGAGTGGATATTTGCAATTTCTGGGTAGGTAGGGTTAGTCAACATGATCTTTTTAATTTTCTATACCTATTCTACAAACAATTTACCAAAGACAAAATCTGCACAACTCCAAGCGAGTGTCATGTTTGTAGCTAACATTCCGGACAGATTTACATATCCAGAAACCCAAGATGTAACTGATCACAATAATAAGTTTTTACGTTTTCCTTATTATTACTATTATTATTATTTTTCAAAAAATAGAAATATATATTCAGAGCAACTTACAGGGTCCCCATTCTTCATTTGATAGCATGTAACACCATGAATAAATACCACCAGCAAGGGGATAGGCTGAAATATGTTTAGTTTTGAAGAAAAATTGATTAGATCAAGTGTTGTATATACCATGTAAATCATACCAGAGATCACTTCAGCCATAGATAATCCAATGCACATCACAAAAGGAGAAACTGTGATCCATGTCCACCACAGACTAGAAGGACCACCGGCTACCAGACTGGCACCAAATCCAACCAACCTAAATTTTATAAATATGCACATAATTAGGATTTAATTGGCATGAATTCCTTTTTTGTTTTGTTTTGTTTATTTATTTGTTTAGTGCGTGTATAAATGTATATATATATAGTGAGAAAGATGGGTTACCAGTTGGGTAAGACAGCCATTGTAGAAAATCCAAAGCCTGCAAGAACGATCATACTGATCTCACGCTTAAACTCTTGCTTATAACCAAATTCCTGGAGCCTTTGGGCATCATAGTCCAGACCAGAAACATGTTCTATATTACTTGAGCTTATGTCGCTATCACCATTCTTTTCTGACTGTATAAATCATTAGAAACCATAATAGCACAGAGAATTAAGAAATGGGTGGTTAACTTGCCAGAGATTCCACCTGAGCAACTTGTGGCTTCAGCTTGCTCATATTGTAAAAATAAAAATAAAAGTAAAAGAGATAAAGTGTGCGTGAGAGAGAGAGAGAGGGGTGGAAAGAAGGGGGAAGAATATGATACTTGGGGTTTGCTTTTTTATCTAATATTTGGCTTTAATAATAATATCTCACGCAAGCAAGATTAAGTTATGGTTAAAAGACCGAAAATGTGCTGCATGATATCATCTACTTTATGATCCAAAGGACCAGGTTAGGAGTTGTGTCGCTTGATATGCGTGTGTGTATATGTATGTGGCGGTAATTATGTCTGTATTAAAGCAAAAGAGATCTATATTTGTTCAAGAACGGTAACACACCAAGATGAATAGTCATATATGATAAGCGAAAAAAAGGACCCTATCAATGCTTCACCAATCATATTTAGCACTCTGCTGTTTCACCAATATCCAAGGTTGCAATCTCCCACAAATGTATACCCTTTTAGCGTATATTGGTTATCTCTAGGACTTTAATTTGCTTCTAGCTACTGAGATCATCTAGTCAGCGGATTATTGTTTGCAATATCCATATTGCTTTTTCGTGATAGGTTACTTGCCCTGTTATTGACAAGTCTATGAGCAGAAATGGACATTAAGGTTACTATAATATACTATTTTGTCTTTGGATTACAAATAAGCTATTACGCTAGGAGCTACTTTGGGAACCTACCAAGTGAAAATCTGAAACGAGCTGTTTCTCTTTAGCTATCTACAATAAAACTAGATAAGTAATATATATATATAGTAGTTTGAAGTGCTTAATTAGGTTATCTTATATAGCAATGTAATGCTATGCATCATATTTTATTTGATCGTTATTAACACACAATATACTACAGTTAAAAAAAGAAAAAGTCTACCCGTGATATTCCAAAAGCAGTATATTCATTAAAAAAATATTAACTTTAAACACGCCACTAGGTAAGTATATAGATAATTGTTCCTCAAACTATCACTAAGCCAACCATTTCATGTAAAGACCTTGGCTTTCTTCTTCTTCGCCGTCTTCTTCTTGCTAGTGTTACTGCTCTTAATTGAAAGTGAGAAACAAAATTCTGGTGTGACATAATATATAAATGTGTGGGGCAAAAGAAATAATGGATCATATAATAATCAAGCTTTGGGAACAAGCCAAGCGATGTTTCTCAAGAGAAAGATAAAGGTACCATATTCTGTGACTTGGTTGTTATAAATGCCTCTTCTAATGTATACAAGGTCTAATAAAAGAAATATATATATATATATACTGAGTGCTCTTTGATAATCTATTGAACAAGATATTTTTCTAGTAATAATAATGGCGATATAAACAAAAGCTTCAAAATAATATCAAAAAGAAGGGCATGAAAAAGGTATTGAGCTCTGGTGATAGCTGCACATAGGTCATTTTACATCTACACATATCGGCATATGTTTTCTTTAATTTTAAAATCAAAAATGGGTGTATACAAGAGTAAAATGACAAGTGTAATTGATAAGAGAGAAGCACGGACCGGGAATATTCCGCCTATCAAGGTATCACAAAAATCACAAAAGAGATTAAATTTTAGTGGAATAAGCACAATAAATTCAAAACGAAGGAAATGAGTAATATACCCAATACAACCAAATCTCAATGGCAAAAGATGAGCGATAAAGGGAAGTATAGTGAGTGTAGGCTGATGCAAAGGTTCCAAAATGAGGTGCAACCAATAAAAATCAGCCTAGATCTGCCCACAACATATCTTTGAAAATAAATTCAAAATCTAGTTCAAAGTTGTAGTGAACTTTTTATTTTTTATTTTATAAAATATGATATTTTTACCATGCTATAAAGTGTGTAGAATTGCCCAGTCAAAAAAAAACAGTTTATTACATACTCTTTAGAAGGTCGTTATTATTTAAGCTATCAAGCTTTTAATTATTAACAAGATGTATGATCAGAAAAAGAAAAGTAAAATTGTAGAGGTAAAATTCTAAGAATAATGTACTGTATGGTTTTAAGGATGCATTTTTTAGATATGTCGGACATTAAAATGTCCCTGTATTTCTGGATGTCGAATCATATATTCTCTTTGGCAACGACATACCTTTCTGGAAACAATATACAAAGAATATACTATGCAACTTGTTATCTCAATGGTCTATATTGTCTTTAATAAACTCCCAGGCCTTATATATGCTTTAGAGAAAAGCAAAGGTATTTTACTTCTTTTATGCTGCCGTAAACACACCTCTTTCTAAAGCACAATGCGATTGTAGCTTAATTACCACTATACATGCCTTACCTAGAATGCTATGTTACTGATATGCCTGTAGATCACTATCAAGCTGTTAATAATAAACAAGATTATTATTCTCGTCTTGGTTTAGACGTTTTTTTTTCAAACATTTTCCGACACAACTTCCCTTTTTTTTGTCAAACGCAATTTTCATTTGAATTGGCGCGAACAATCACTCTAAAACACAATATTTTGGTTTAGCCGTATTGATTTATTTGACTGCTATTCTGCTTGCATCGATGCTCTCAATGACAAGACCATCCTTCCATCGAAATAGTGTCATATTCTCAATCGCTGCTGTGGGAATATGCTATCTGTACATTGACCCATGGCGCACCAGACGGCGTATGATCGAGCGAATGTGGTTTCTTCTCAGTAAACGCAATCTCAAAGAGGCAGATTTAGAGCGCGCGTTAGTCCAAGCACGTATGTGGACAATAGACTCTCTTAAAAGCAATTCAGAAAAATTTAAAAGAAATAAAGGAACCAGCTCATAAAAATATTTTATGCGTATATATATATATATTTGTGTGTGTATGTGTGTTTAGCCGAACCGCCAATCATTGCAGACAACACGCAATTCGTAGAATTGAATGGTCATCGCCTTAGAATTGTCCACATTATTCACGAACTAGGAAGCAGGGTGCCATTGATTGTCTTCATACATGGTTTAGGAGGACAGGTAACAAAGTCACAATAAAAAAAAAGGAGTAAAAGGAAAGAAAAGAAAAAAAAAGTGAACCTTTTCTTAAAAAAAGGGTGTATATGCCTTGTAGGTGTCACAATGGCAGCGTCAGATTGAGTATTTTTCACAAACCGCCCATGTTCTTGCCATTGATCTCTTGGGGTGTGGCTCCAGTGAAGTTGCATCAGAGTAAGCAAGATAATATATTATTAAAGAAAAATGTATCATATCCCCCAAAAAAAACTCATATTTATATAAACGTGTATACATACACATTTTTCACACATATACTCACTTTCTTTCAATTCAGCTGGGATTCTTACGCCACAGATTCTCTAGTAAAAGATGTGACAGACTTGCTATTGAATAGATACAATTATCCTTCTACGGTCATTATTGCTCATTCATATGGTTGCTCAATTGCTACATTTGTTGCAGCATCTCCCGAGATTCAGACCAGCCTCAAAGCACTTGTTCTTATCTCCCCAAAAGAGAACGTGGATGAAGCTCAAAAGAGAAGCCAAAGAATGATCCGATGGATCCCGGATTGGCTATTCGAATGGGCTCGTACTAAGGATAGAAAAAAGGGTATATACAGCCAAAGTGTCGAAAGATTACTAGGAAATGAATCAAACATAGAATTACGAAGACAGTAAGTCTATTTCAGTATAGCAAAATTCATGGATAAAACATTAAATATAAAGGAATAAAAAGAAACAAAACAAAAAACAATAACTTTATTTTCTAGACAACTTCGCTGGAACCTCTTGAGCCGTACTTCTGTGTACAAGCGGTTACTTTTTGGTGCAAGATTCCCTGGAAAAAAGGTCTATGAGAATATTAACGCAGGTGTTCTGTTGATCGGTGGTAACGAGGTAACAATTAAGAATTAATGTTGACATTGAGGTTGTAACTTAGATAAATAAACACCTTTAATCTGTAGGATAAAATCACCTCCCCAAAAGATATGTTTGCTATTCGTGACCATTTACTAGGGCTGGACCCTCTGAATAATAGCTCAGAAAGGCTAGCCTCATTAGAAGAGATACGTGTACCTGAACCTTATGTAATTCCAGATGTTGGTCACACACCAATGGTGGTGCGCCCACAGTTGGTGAATGCTGTTATTTCAGAGTTCCTGATCAAGAATTGCGGGTTAGACACGTTGAGCGGTGCGTGGCAAGTCTTGCACAAGACAAAGGGCGAGAACAAATGGGATTTGAAGAACTACGAAAAGGTAATTAATGGAAGTAGCTACAAAAAAAAAGAGAAGGATTTCAAGGTCTGTATTGATGAGGGATTGGTTTGTAAATTATAGTGGGCACGTACTGCCAACATAACCACGGAACCTATTGGAATTTCTCTTTTTAGAGCAATGAAGGTAAGCTTGAGACTAATTAGTTCAACGAGCAGCCAAACTGACAAAATCCTAATTGAATGTCTTTGTCCACGAAAGGTGATGCGACAGACAGACACGAATCATTGTCCTTCCGCGTTTCTAGCTAGATATCCAGAGATTGGGTTCATCATTGACATTTCAAATGATACGCCACCTTATCGTTCAAGTGATTTTGATCATTCTCGTATCAAATACCTTAAACTCAAGACAGTTTCCAAGATCCCTCCAACAAGAGAGGATGTGGCCAAGTTCATAGAACTCACATCATCTTGTTGGGAGGAAAGACCTGATGCACAAGTTGCTGTACACTGTCACTACGGGTACGTATATATTCTTTTATGTCCCATAAAAAATCTTAACAGTGTGGTGTAAACATCGCATTAGATTCAATCGAACAGGTTTTTTTATTTGCTGCTACATGATTGAGAAGTTGGGCGTTTCGGTGCCAGATGCTATAGAGGCATTTGCTGCAGCCCGACCTCCTGGAATTCGGTAAGATGCTAGTAAAAGAACTTCACTGTGGCTTACACGACTTTATAGACATGCTCATTTTGTTGATGAGCTTTACTTGCGCTACTCTCTCCTTCACCGAACATAACACCTATTCCGTGCACATTTAATTCCAATAAAAAAGTCATACTATACAGATAAGATAAATATGTATAAAGGGGGTTCTATATATAATCCCTGTTATTACCATAATTGCTAAGCAGTAGACTAATCCCGACTAATCCAATAAAACCACACCTTTAAACTTTAAGGATAAGTTATATATACATATTCATTTACTTGTTTGTTGGATTTTCCTCCATTGAACAATACAGAGAAAACTAGTTCGTTATGTTTGGGCTCAGAAACTTATAAATTTTAATTTATTATTAATCAAGAACTGAAGTTTTATTGAATGTAATAGCCCGCTATGTATGTTGTTTGTGGTAGTGCCCTTTATTTTTAATACCTATGTGCTTATATGTGTGTATGAATAGATGGGCGATAATGACCCAATCATTTTCCTTCTTCTCTTCTTTTAGTAGTGATCTCATCATTTAATTTGTAGTAGCAACTCGACATAGTCGAGCCACCAGACCGGCTAACTGGAGAACACTCTGATGGCCCTGAATGATTCTCATGTGTGTAATTCCAATTTCCTAATCACAAAGCATCATATAAATACCATTTCTCCATAAAAAAACCTCAATTCCTTTATGCAATGTATATTTTGCTTGTTCGCTTCCCTCCTTACCTTTATAAAGTCCAATTGGATGTTCTCAGAAAGTTCGTTGTAATCTTTAACGACACGGAAGATAGTGGTGATGATGTCAAGAGATGCGTATCCAGTGTCATAAAGACTGTGGATCAAATCATCTGCCTGAATGATATCTCCAGTAGAGCAGCTCTTGAGAATCTGTTGAATAACCACAGGATGGGGTTGGTCGCAAATCTTGAACACATTTTCCGAGTTGACATATTTGAATCCGTAGTAAGTTGATTGAAGGTTATTAATAGCTTGTCGCATATCACCATCAGCCGTGAATATGATAGCGCTAAGTCCATCATCAGTAAATGGTACCTTTATAAATCCCGATTTTCGTTAGCCAAAAGATTTGATGAAAAAATAATATTTTTTCCAAAAAAAAAACTTCAACTCACATTCTCTTTTTTACAAACTTCTGTCAGACGATGAAGGATCTGTTCATCAGTAAGTTTTGAATATCGCATAATCGCACATCGGGACTGGATTGGTTCAATAATTTTGTTAGATTGGTTGCATGCCAAAACAAAACGGGTGGTGTTGGAGAAGATTTCCATTGTTCGTCTTAAAGCCTGCTGAGCTCCACCTGTCATACTGTAGTAGATAAATCGAGTATCATGATAAATTAGATATATATGTGTAAAGAAGAGGGAGAGGCTCCAGGGGTAGGGGAAGAATGGAAAGAGAATTTCGAATTTGGTTTATTTACCTGTCTGCTTCATCCAGAATGATAACTTTGTGACGACCTGGTGGTAAGGTCACCTTCTTTTGAGCAAAGGCTTTGATTCGATTACGAACAACATCAATACCTCTATTGAATCTAATGAGAAAAAAAATTCTATCCACAAAATCTAAATCACCCACCTCTCATCTGAAGCATTCAGTTCAAGAACAGCATCTTTACAGGCAGGGCCAAGTAATTCATAAGCCAAGCAAAGGATACTGGTTGTTTTACCAATACCAGGTAATCCCTGAAAAAAATTAATCAAACATTGAATTGTCCATGAATACAAATTGATTGTTGTGATAGATTAAGCATAGATCATGCGGCTTAATGTGATCTTACGGTAAGAATGAGGTTGGTTAGGTTTCCGTTGCGAGAGATCGTTTTAAGACGTGATACAACGTTTTCATTTCCCACAATGTCATTTAGATAAATTGGTCGATACTTTTCAACCCTGTGTAAAGGTGATCAATAAACGATCTTAATTGTGATGGTAGTGTATTGGCGGTATTAAAGTGTACCATGGCATGAATTCATCTTCAGGAGCCTTTTTAGGATCAACATTCATCGAACTTGTTGACATTGTGTATGATAAACAAAGAGAAGAAGAGGAAGAGGTCAAAGCTTTAACGCGTTAAAGAGCGTCACAGATTGGAAGAGCGCTTAATACTTTTAAACTACTTTTATTGTAAATTGGTTTAATGGAAATGCGCTTAAGGAGTTCGCTTCAAGTGCATAAAGCAAATACACAAGGTGCAAAATCAAAAATATGCTTTAGTAGAAAGTGGAGGGACGCTTGGCCAAGTAAAGCGAACGGTTGCCCTTCTCGGCACGCTGGACGCGGTGGGGAAGGGGGAAAGCAAGCTTGGGGGTCAAAAGCTGCTTGATGTACTGGCGACGGACATCGGCGTTCTTAACCTCAGCAACGCGGATGATCTGGACAGATCTGAAGCGAGCACGGTGACGAGCGGCCATATCCTGGTAGCAAGTCTCAACAGCCTCGCAGCGAGACATCTCACGGTACTCCTTGTACATGTTGTGAGTGCCGGAGCGAGAGTCGTAACGGAGCCAGATACCGAAGTTCTTGATCTGCTCGGGGCGCTTCTCGGAGATCTCGTTGACAGAGACGATCTCACCAGCGGCCTTCTTGACCTTGCGGAGCTTCTTCAAGAAGTACCAGAAACGGGACTTGGCAACGACGGTGTTGGGGGCGAAGATGCGCATGCGGAAGAGCTTGGGGGCAACCTCCTTAGCGGAAGGGAGCTTACGACCAACCACCTAATGACACATGGTTAGTCTTTCGTTCAATGCCGGTCCAATTCGTCGTTAGTAATTTACCTGATATTCGTGGAACTATACGTCGAAAAATTAAACATATTAGTAAAACAGTTGGTTGTAATTCATGAAATGTGTAATTAGGCATTCTACTGAGCTCTGAGCCCAAACCGACTCCAGAGTGCAACAATGCATATACACAAGCACACCCGCACATACACATAGAGACACAGAGACAAGCCAAGGTCAAAGTGCGTGTAGAGTATTGTGCGGGTTTGCCGTATTGGATGGATGTATGGATGGATGGATGTACCTCTTTATCACATCCAACTACCCCACCATATATTAAAAGGTCAATGTACTTACTCTAGCCATTGGACTTGAAGGAAAGAGAGGAAGATTCATTGGTTCGCCATAGGCACACTTCCTTACGTTTCGCGGATCTGGAATGTCCGGACCGGGAAAGCCAAAATGCCGAAGTAAATTATCGGACTTTTATACTCAATAAAGATTAGAGAGTTTACCGGAGAGAAGGGTATGCTATCTAGGTGTACAAAACACAGCAGTATATACGGCACAACAGATTTAGGGCGAGTCAAGTGAATTGCATATATGCTCTTCTGACAGCTGTATATTGTTTAGTGAAAAATACGAGGAAATGGCCAAAAAGAGAACCAAATGAGTAGATCAGTATTGCAAGTCACTTCACCAAGTGGGGTGGCTGAGTCCATTGTTCAGAAAAAAATGCGAGAGTGACAGGTCGGGATAACTCTTTTTTGTTCGACTTTTAAGCAATGCGAGGGGGAGGTCAATCAGGTCGTCTTGCACGGTCTCTAGAAGCCAAGATCATCAGACATCTTGGTCAATACAAGGCTACTGGAAATCCCGATTGGGGACTTCCTACTCTTCTCGAATATATTACCAGAGTAGACTATTCTCTTAGACGCTTGAAAAGACGTCAGCTCGAAATGACCCTCGAGAAAGGTAAGCAGTTTTATTTGGATAATTGCTTTTTCGCACAACTTATATATTATTATGATAATTTGTGATACAAAAAAGCTCTCTCTGATTTCCAGACTGGCACTGTGCTTGACGAAGAAGCGTAAGTCGACTCTTCTTAAATATCAGCTTGCATTTTACTAAAGACAACTTCATAATAATTTAGAGCACTTTCGGGAGAAGACGACGATGAAGAAGGGGAATACGCTTTGGTGAGTGAGACGAAAGAAACGTGGCTGACTACTTGCCTACCGCCCGGTCTCTTACAAAACACTAATCGAGTCTCTAAGCCGGCACAAGACAACAACGCAATGAATAAATCTGTCACAACTTTGTGGAGTATGCACAAGACAACCACACCAGTATCTAGCACTCCTGGATCACCTGCAACCGGAATCGAAACACCTGAAGCAGCAACACCTAAAGGGTTAACACCTACACCAGAAGAGCCAATACTTGTAGAAGAGAAAGATTCTAAATCTAAGAAACGCACAAAAACTGTCACCGGTACTGAAAAGTCAAAGCGAGCAAAAAGTGAGTTAACATCTTATAGATGTTTTGTCTAAAGTTAGTGAGCACTGATGGTCGGAATGTACATCTCTATGTGTGCGTCTTATATGTTATAGCTTCGACTGAAGGCCGGGATGCACCATTTATTCCGACCGCACGTCTTACTGATCTGGGTGGTATCGACAACTGTATCAAGGAGATCGTGGATATTATTGGTACACCTTTCACAATCCCCGAAGTTTATCATCATTTGGGTATTCAACCTCCCAGAGGTGTCTTACTGCACGGACCACCTGGTTGCGGTAAAACAAAGCTGGCTCATGCCATTGCAGGTGTAAGCAAAACATATTTTTTGTAGTAATGAGAAACAGCAAGAATAATAAATTTAGGTTGATAGCAATACCAAGTCCCTTTCCTCAATATATCTGCACCATCAATCGTGTCGGGTATGTCAGGTGAATCCGAGAAGAAGATTAGAGATGTTTTTGAAGATGCCAAGGTAAATATTTTTTTTTAAAACAGAGAACGCATTTTATTTTGATGCGTGCATGAATTATAACTTATGCGGATTATTTGTCTCAGACACACGCTCCTTGTATCTTGTTCATTGACGAAATTGATGCCATTACACCCAAGAGAGAGACTGCTCAGCGTGAAATGGAACGTCGTATTGTAGCTCAATTGCTGACTTGCATGGATGGTAAAGTTTAAAAGTCGATTTTATTTTTGGCGATTTTATACTTATCATGAAAGTTTTGTCAGACCTTTCTTGGGACAAGACAGACAACAAACCTGTTATGATCATTGGTGCTACAAATCGTCCTGATTCTCTCGATGCTGCTCTTCGCCGTGCCGGTCGTTTTGATAGAGAAATTAGTATGGGTGTACCTGATCAAAATGCAAGAGAAAAGTACGTAAAACTTAATGACCTTTTCAACAATCCGGATTTATTTATTCTCTTATTCTAGAATTCTTCAAGTGCTTGCTGCAAAAACTCGCCTTGAAGGAGATTTTGACTTTGCTGAGCTTGCTAAAGCTACTCCTGGCTATGTTGGTGCTGATCTTCAAGCTCTTGTCACAGCAGCAGGAAATATTGCGATTCGTCGTATCTTTGACGAATTACGATCCACTGTTGTTCTCCCTGAAACAAATAACGAGAACGCCATGGATATTGACACCAATCTCGGTATGACTGAGACTACGATCGAAGAAGACGATACAACCATTGCTACAACTACTACCGAAGTCACCACAGCCGCAGCCGCAGCCGCAGCTACAGCCACAACTACGACTACGACTACGACTACAACCACTGAGACGACCGCTGAAGTTGTTGCAGAACAGGATCAAAGCATGAGTGCATTCGTGAAATATTTTAAGCAACCTTTGACGCCTGAACAATTGGAGACTTTAGCAGTAAACTATGAAGATTTCAAACTCGCTCTCAAAAAGGTTCAGCCTTCATCAAAGCGTGAAGGTTTTGCTACTGTCCCAGGTGTTTCATGGGATGATATTGGTGCTCTAGAGGATGTACGCAAGGCATTGCATTGGAATGTAGTAGAGCCTATGAACACGCGTGACCGATTCGAGCGCGTGGGTATTACTTCTCCTGCAGGTGTCTTGCTCTGGGGTCCTCCTGGTTGTGGTAAAACACTGTTAGCTAAGGCTGTTGCCAATGAAAGCAATACCAATTTTATTTCCGTCAAGGGCCCCGAATTGCTCAACAAGGTGAGTCTATTGAATACAATACTATGTTAAAAAGAACATACCATCTAACCTCTATTTCTTAGTACGTTGGTGAAAGTGAACGAGGTGTCCGTCAAGTATTTGCTCGTGCACGAGCATCTGCTCCTTGTGTCATTTTCTTTGATGAACTTGACGCACTTTGCTCTCGTCGGGATGATCAACAGGTAAATTATACATGCTGTAGAAAACATATAATAAAAACATCTAATTTATGACTTTAAACGTATTAGACAGATGCTTCTGCTCGTGTTGTTAATACCCTTTTGACTGAACTTGACGGTGTCGAGAATCGTAGTCAGGTATATGTGATTGCAGCCACCAACAGGCCTGACATGATTGATCCTGCTATGCTTCGACCTGGACGTCTGGACAAACTACTCTATGTCGGTTTACCTGAACCCAAGGAGAGATGCTCTATTCTAACCCAGTTGACTCGCAATACTCCCCTTGGTCCTGATGTATCTCTTGAAGATATATCTCGGGATGATCGATGCAAACGATTCAGTGGAGCTGATTTGGCAGCCTTGGTTAGAGAAAGCGGTGTGGCTGCACTCCAAGAAGACAGAGAGATTCCTACAGAAGAAATATTTGTCTGTAAGCGTCACTTTGATAATGCTCTTAACAAAACCACTGCAAGTGTTCTCCCAGAGGATGAACGAAAGTACGAAGCATTAAAAGAAAAGTACGGCAAGAAATAATAGTATATACATACATCCATATTTTATTACATACACATACACACACACACACACACCGAAAAACATACATAGTTTGGGGTCATTTTTGAATACAGGAATTTTTGTATATACGGTTTCAATAATAATAAAAAAACAATCATAAAATATATTATATTTAAAGTAATGGTGTTCGTTAGCATAGAGATCACTTTATTCAGGAATAGAAGAAAGCCAATTATTACAAATTTAATTAGTTGATTAACAACAGCTTATTCGACATTGCTTATTAACGTTCTCAATAAGGTTATAGCTTATGTTTGGACAGTAGAGAGAAAGAGAGAGATATATGGAACTGACACATAGTGTTCTTGTAAGAGGCAATGCAACTAAAACTATTATTGTGAGGACATTCGAGTTGTATAGTATCTAAATCCAGGTTCATACCCAGTAAAGGCTTTCTATCCTTAATTGAGGCGTAACAAGGAACATTAAGTTACTTTGAGAGGATACGTTCTTAAGACAATAGATGTGCATTTCGATAGTTAGGATTAGTCAAAAAATATTTAGTTTAATAGGTGTATGTAGGTGAAAATCAGTTATCATAATGTGTAAATAAGAAAAGTGTCTTTAAAGAGATAAAAAAAAACAAGACACTTTATTGTTCGTTGCTAAACTTATTCTGATATAGCGTCTGCTACCTATTCGTCTTTCTTCTCTCGTCCACGATTCGTTCTCATTTTCTAATTTATTTTTTTTACTCGGAGGAGAGGTGGCTGACAACCACTACGCCCATCGTCTCAGTTTGAAAGGTACTCTTTTACCGAAGGGAAGTACATGAATCTTAAATTACTCAAGATCTATATTTGAAACCCCCTAATATAACTAGAAAAGTACTTGAGACATTCCATATAAAAGTAAATTTTATATTCACATTTTTTTTACCCCAACTTCTTGTTTGTATTTTTCTTTTAAAAAAAAACAAAGGTACACATAATATACACATCATTTTCATGGAAAAAAAAAACTTCTCTCTCATGTCAGGTCTCTCTTTCTCTTTTATTTACAATATAGTCTCAGGTTTCTCTTGGGCAAAGAAGATTCTCTTTTATGTTTTCTCTCTCAATCTTGGTATTGATCCAACTATATAATAAATAGAACAATTTGTTAGTCATAAACCAAATTATCCTATGCAAAGATAAAAGTTACCTTCAATGTTAGTGTCTTGCTTGAATTGGCTTCTTGATCACGGTAGATACCGACTAAGCTATCTGCCTTTTCATATAGAGTGTTTTTAAGAGAAATGACGATAAATTGGAAGCTGTCGCTGGCATGTTGACAGATATAATTGGCCACCATGGCCACATTAGTGTTGTCTAATGCTGCATCAACTTCATCCAAAACAAAGAACGGAGAAGGTCGATAACTAAACAAAAGCAAATATAGAATTAGACAATTTAATTGCGTTTTCTTTTAAAAAATATATATAGTATAATGCAATAAAATGAAAGTATGTTTACCTGTGGATAGCTAACAAGAGGGCTAGTGCAGCCACACTCTTCTCACCACCAGACAGCAATTCCATATCACGGAAACGCTTCATAGGTGGCATAGCATGGTACTTGATACCTTCGAGATAAGGTTCATCAGAGTCTTCAAGGCTCAGGTAAGCAACACCACCGAGAGGGAAGGTTGCGCTCTTGGTGAGATCTTTATAGACTCTGTCAATCTGCTCAGAAATATGACTAAAGGCATCATAAAAGGCCTTGTATCTACAAAATAGAAAATACTGGGTTACAAAAAAATGTCTTTTTTTTTCTAGTCGTATTTATTACCTTTTTTGCTTGACAGTGTTAAACTTTTCTTTTGCTTGCTTGGTGATTGTACGGGCAGTATCAAAAGCATCTTCGGCATCCTGAAGTCTTTGTTCGACACCTTCCAGACGAGCAATAGCCTTGAGATTAGGGGCCATCTGGTCAATTTGAATGCTACGCTCTTTGATCTCGGCCTGGAACTCGCGTTCAAGGCGAGAGTCCCCATTGTTACGTTGCTCACTGCCCAAAGGACTAAAGTCAATTGCAACTTCCCAATCAGATGATCTGATAGATCTCTGTGAAGGTTGATCGACATCCATGCTATCGGAACTTTGCTACAAATATGCATAATCATCTAAGAAATTGTTCTACTCATTTTTTTTTGCGAATCCTTACAGTTGCAACTTCATCCACCAGTAGATCTTCCATGTTGCCTCTAAGAAGAGGAAGAACAATCTCTTCAAGCTTGCATTTTCTGAAAATCGAAACACGTTCGGCGTGGACCTTTTCGACCTCGGTTTCAAACTTGGCCATTTCTTTGAGGTAGCCGTTTACATCCTGACCCTTACTCTCGAGGTCTCTTCTCAATTGTTCAATATTTCTTTGTTTTTCATCTTCGAGCTGAGTTTGTTCTTTCAATTCAGTTGTGAACTTGGAAAGATCGACAGTAAACTCTCTGATCTTTTTGTTCAAGTCTTCTCTTGCGAGCTCCAATTGAGCCAACGCCTCGGTATCTTGGGTGAAAAGGGTTTCCAGCTTTATCAGACGCTCAGCAAGATCACCAAGTTGTTCTCTTTCGAAAGATAATTGTGTTTCAAGACGTGAGCGTTGGGCAGAGAACTGAGCACGACGCTCAACAATTTTTTCACTCAAACCGAATTGAAGAGACTCGTATTCACGAATTGTGCGGACACCAATGCTAGAGCAGAATCCAGAAAATATTCTATCTTCAATCACAGCCAACCTGTCTTCTACTTGTTCAATTGATATATTAATAGTTTCCAAGTCCTTTTTGGCCTATAATATTTCAATTTTGGTGTTAGAGAAGTCCGTAACTTTTGTATACATAATAAACTATAAACCAAATGTTGTGTGGGTTTACCTTTTCCAGCAAAGGCTCACTGTTTGCGATATTAGTTTGCAAATGCTGTGCTTCTCTGTTAACATCCATCAATCTATGTTCGGCAGCAGTCTAAATAAAATAGCATATATAATAGTAGTTTTGTTAATAAATCATATCATGCTTTCGGAATGGTATATACCACTTAAAATACTTACAATCTCTTCTTGTAGAACCTCCAATTGGGTTTGTAAGCCAGCACAGTCGCTCTTGGCTTGCTCTTCGGCACTACCCATACGTTTCTGTTTACTGAGTTCATTCAATTCAGCCATGAGCTTGTCGCGAGTACGCATCAAGTCTTCAACATCACGTTCGCTCCATCTGCTGGATCTCTGTGAGCTGGTTTGGCCACCGGTCATGAGACCACTGCGGTGAATAACTGTGCCATCCAAAGTTACCGCCTTGACATCCTCGTTTTTTTCGTAGCATATATTTTTTGCGATAGCGATTGTATCACATACAAGAGTGTTTCCGCATGCATATTGTACAACTGATTCGTATTGCTTGTCGTACTGAATTACATCAAACGCCAAACGAGCACCTCGAGTATAATTGCGGAATCTATCATTGATAGATGGCACGCTAAGGCCGTTCAATGGTAAGAAAGTAGCTGTTCCCACACGTTGCTCTCGCATGTACTATTACCAACATAGAAATATATAAGCCAAGCCTAGTTTATCTAAATTGTCTTCCATTTTTTTTTACCTGAATACACTCCATTGCTGTCTTTTGATCGTCAACTACAATGGATTCCATGGTCTTACCCATAGTTGTAGCTACAGCCTCTTCATATTTGCGCTGAGTAGGTCTGCAGAGATCAACAAGTTTCCCGTGAACACCTGGGAATATCTGCTTCATCATAGCAAGACTTTCATTTGCTCGTCTTTCTTTTTCAGACTCGCGTCTATCAGCATTAACTTCCAGAAGTTTGTTAAGGGTTACTTGCAGCCTTTCGTTTAATTCGACTTCTTTGCGCCTGTGAATACATAAAGCAAAAGTAATAGAAATGAATAAAAAAAATAATGGTGATAATAATAATAATAATTTGTCAGGTTACTCCTGTTGTTTATAATACTTGCTGTAAAGATGTACGTTCACGGACCAATGCGTTGGCTTCTTGCTTACGGATGGTGAGTTGTTTCGTTAAGGCCTGAAGGTCGCCAGTCAAAATTGTGCCATCTTCGGTGATCTGCCGGCTGTCTTCGGCCAATTGTGCCAAGCGAGTTTTATTCTCTTCTAATTTGGACCGTTTACGCTCAACATCCTCAAGTTCCATCTTACGTTGACGTTGTAAATTATGGAGCTGCTGCTGTTCTTCAACTGCTTCTATGCTAACTTTTTGCTTCCTGTGCATTTATTTTTAGGGTAAACACGAAGACAATTAGGCTTAACTGTAATCAAAATGTGCCTGGGATTTACCTACAGTTGCTCATATTCATTCATCTGATCAAGGGTAAGTACAGGACCACGGGGAATATCGGTATTTGGCAAATTGGCTAATTAATTTTATTATTTGCTTTAGACAAAATTCAGAGAGAAAAAGTTGTTGTTTTGTTCTATTTGTTATGAATTTACCTTCATAAGACGTGCTTTCTATGTTAAGATTCTCCAAATCTTGTTCCAGTCCCTTAACTACCTCCAATTGCTTGTCATGATCACGTTTCACACGTTCACCGTTGGTCTTTGTTTGCTCAAGTCTCTTTTGAAGGTGGATAGCCTTCTCATCCATGCCAATCGTAGCTGGACGCTGTACATATCATTCTGTGATAAGTATATATTTCTTTCTATATAAATAAATGTGCTGTTGTATTACCAACTCATTAAGATCGTTATTAATCTTTTTAATCTGTAATTCTCGTCGAGTACGTTCCATATGAATAGATGCTTGCTCTTTTCTAGCCATCTTGAATTGATCTTCAAGTTTAAGCTATGTATTTTTTTTTAAAAATATATATATATAAAATGATTATTTCTCGTTTCATTTAATTTTAACAAATTCTCCAATTATTTATTACCTGATCTTCGGTTGCACCCTCTGCAGAAATTTTCTTCTTTTCCGCATCTGCTTCAAGAACATGTATCTTTTGTTCTACATGGAATAGCTTCCAAAGCAGATATTGTACAACAAGCTGTTTGCGCTCATCTACCAAAGCCTCAAATCGCTCGGCTTCGGTCTTTTGTTCCTGATACTGCTTAATCTCTGATGAAACACCACGTTTCTTGTTAAATGCATGCGCACTGTTCTCAATGGCTCTTTCCTGTTCTTTTTGAAGTGTCTCATACTCTTCCTTAAAATCCCATGAGCTAGATCATCATTAAAGTAGAGCAAAAAAAATATTATCAGACTGATATCCACATGTGCACACGTACACGCAAGTATAAAAGAGATAAAGATATTTCTTCCTCTTATTATGCATATGCAATGCAGCTTATCGTGTCTTCTTTTTACCCGCTAATTTGTTCAATAAGACGTGTGAGGTCTTTAGGATTCTGACTGGCAACAGACTCGACATCACCTTGGAAAACCAAAAAGTTTTTGGCTTTCACCAAGATATTTTCTTTCTCGAGTGCTTTATTGTAATCTGCGTAGCTGACCTGTCTATCGTTTAGTCGGTATTCCGATTGTCCATTAGAGTTGACGATGCGCATAAACTTGATTTCATGCCCATGGTCATTTTCGTAAACAGCCAGAACATGAGCGCGACGCGGGGAGCGTATTGTTGAAGGTGTGTTATCATCTTCGCGCAACGCACTTGAGCGGTAAATCATGTCTTTAAGATTTTGTGAGCGCAGATGAACAGCATGAACACCAAGGACAAATGAGATGGCGTCCATCAAATTGGATTTTCCTTTTTTGTTGATTTAACGATATTATTGTTGATTGTATAAGTATGTGTGCGTTATAGTGTGTATGTAGATTCAAAAGAACATGAGTTTGTGTTTAGATATAATTGTATATTGTAGATGCCTTAACGAATAATAGTTTTGTTTTCGTGTTTTATTTACCAGAACCATTGGGACCAATCACACTGGTAAATTTATGGAAAGGTCCTATAACTTGATTTCCTTTGTATGATTTGAAGTTCTCTACTTCAATACGCACGAGTTTTCCCATGGTAATGAGTTAAATAGAATAAAGAACGCCTACAAAAGAATTGAAAGAAAGAAACGGAAAAAAAAATCAACAGGACCAAATCCGTAGTCCTTCGAACTTGGCGCGTTCTTGGTTTCTCTTCCACTTTATATTCCTCTATCTTTCACCCTTTTGATCCCGCTCTCTCCTGTGAATTTTATATTGTAGAGTTGACTCTTGTTTTATTTTTACGTTATAAATTCGATACTTTTTATTTATGTATTTATTTTAAATAATGATAATTATATTATAATAGAATCATCTTCACTGACTGATATACATATCATCCTAACCTACTTACACGCACCTACACCCATTACACACGCCATACGCACGCTTACGCGACGCGCCAAAGGTCAAAAAATGGATGTCACATCAAGGGGAAACGGGTCGGGGTTTAATTTCCAAAAAAGGGTCTGAACGCAATAAAGACAAAGAGAGCGAGACAAGAGACAAGTGGCTTACTTCTTGGCTCAGACAGGCAAGAAAACCCGTCCCTCCATTTCATCTTCTGCTTTGCTCCTTCCACACCTCATTTTACACCATGGCTATCAAAAAGGGCGGACGTTACAACAGAAAGAAGACTCTTCGTGATGATGTACGCCTTTTCTTCTTCTTCTTAATAAACCTTTTTGAAAAATAAAATGAAACTTATACATGCTTGAAATTTGTCTTTTTTTTTTTTATTATAATCAAAATAATTATAATTACATTTACAGAAAAGAGATGGTTCGGCTCCTTATGACAGTAGTGACCGTAAACCCTCCCACTACAAGGATATTGTAAAGGAAAATGAGAACTTTAAGAGCTATTACAAGGTATTTTTTTTTCTTTCTTTCTTGAATTGCTCGAAAATTTGTAGGAATTTATTCGAGTCAGGGAATTTACCATAATCAATTTGAATAGTCTCAGAACATTCTTTCAGACAGCGAATTCGAGACTTTCTACTCAGCACTCCAAACCACACTTCCTTCAACCTTTCGCATTACAGGTAGCAGAAGGTATAATTGCGCCATGTTTGCTTAATTCTGCTGCTGTTATGAAAGAAAAAGAAAATAACTCTTTTTTTCTTTTTTTTTCTGTTAATGATATTATAAAGTGCTGCTGTCCAGATCAGAGAGTTTATTGAGAATGTATACGTTCCAGAGATGCAGAACGTTATTGTAGACGGTGAAAAGTATCAACCCCCTAGTCCATTGGCTTGGTACCCCGATCAGTTGGGATGGCAAGTGAATGCTTCCCGTGCTATTCTCAGACGTTCGGCTGAGTTCAAGAAGTTTCACAAATTCATCGTTGCTGAGACAGAAGCTGTAAGAATAATAAATCGAGATCTAGTCAATTCACGGCAAAAGTTATCCATCTTTTTTTTGGAATTGAAAGGAAAATATATATATATATATATATGAAATTAATTATTATTATTTTTGTGGCAAAGGGTAACTTGAGCAGACAAGAGGCCGTCAGCATGGTACCTCCTCTTCTTATGGACATCAAGCCTCACCAATGGGTAAATTAAGAACATTACACCTACTTTGTTTTGAAATTTAATTGTGTGTGCGTACATTTTTTTTTCTTGGTTCAGGTACTTGACATGTGCGCTGCTCCTGGTTCCAAGACTGCTCAGATCATTGAGGCCGTCCACGCCAACGATCTCTTGAACGAAGAGCCAAGTAAGTAAACTGACATTGGTTATAAGTTTGTTCCTGAATAACAGCGTATGTGGCTAAATGATTCTGTGTGTGTGTGTGTTTTATAGCTGGTTTGGTAGTTGCCAATGACTCTGATTACAAGCGTAGTCATATGTTGGTCCATCAAACAAAGAGACTTCAGTCACCTTGCTTCATGGCAACCAACCATGACGCTACTCAGTTCCCTAATGTACATGTGCACAAGGAGGGCGAACAAGCACTTGCTTGGCAATTCGACCGCGTTCTGTGCGATGTTCCTTGCAGTGGTGACGGAACTCTTCGTAAGAACGAGAAGATTTGGAATGACTGGGGTAATGGTGCTGCAATTGCACTACACACAGTCCAGGTCCAGATCTTCTTGCGTGGCGCTCAGCTTTTGAAGGTCGGTGGTCGTGTTGTTTACTCGACCTGTTCCTTCAACCCTCTCGAAAACGAGGCTGTTGTAGCTGAGGTTCTGCGTCTTGCCGATGGTGCATTGGAAATCAAGGATGTTTCGGATCAGTTGCCTGCCCTTAAACGCCATCACGGTTTGAGCACTTGGAAAGTTATGACCAAGGATGGTCAGTACATCAACTCTGTTGACGAAATCGAGGATAGCCGCCAGCGTTCTCGCTTCCCTAAAAGTGCTTTCCCTCCTGCCAATGCTGATAGTCTGCATTTGGATCGTTGTCTGCGCATTTACCCTCACGATCAGGATACTGGTGGATTCTTTGTGGCTGTATTTGAAAAGGTTAAGCCTATGACTGCTGCTGACCGGGCCCAGATTGCAAAGAGCGAGGGTAAAGAAGTTAGTTGGGCCGAGGTTGAGAAAGCTGAGGCTGAAGATGCCTCGTTGTTGGAGTCTGTAAAGGCTGCTGCAGGCGAAGATGTTGAGGTTGAAACTGAAACCACTGGAGGTGAAATTGCTATCCCAGTCAAGCGTACTCTTGAGGACAATCAGCAGAAGGATGCCAAGAAATCAAAGCCTGATGTGCCTGGAATTAAAGAAGCACCTTTTGATCTGATGAAGCCTGACAACCCAGATATTGATGAAATCAGGTAATATATAAATATTGCACAAAAAAATGTTAATACTCAAACTTGAAATGTATATATATATGCGTATATAGAAACTTTTATGGTATTGAAGCTGATTTCCCTCGCGATCAGTTCTTGCTCCGTTCTGAGGAAGTTGCAAAGAACAGAAGCATCTACTATATCAGCAAATCTGTCAAGGCTGTTTTGGAGGCTCCTGATATTGAGCGCCTCCATGTTGTAAACACAGGTGTCCGTCTATTTGTCCGTCAGGGTTCGCTGGTCGAAGGCGGATGTCCTTTCAGAGTGACTTCAGAGGGACTTCCTATGCTAGAGCGCATTATTTCTGAACGCCGTCGTGTCCATATTAACCACGCAGAGTTGAAGACTTTGTTGACCCAGGCGTTCCCTACCATTGATGAGTTCGAACCTGCCACTCAGACCAGACTCGCCGAAATGGGTAAGAAATTAATATCTTAATATGGATTTATAATTAGACAAAAAAAATGGGAAGATATGTATGTATGTGTTCTATTAGTATTAGTATTATTATTGTCAAGAAAGGTTTTTAGGTTAGGCTTTTGACCTGAGAAATTTATATTATTTGCACTTTTGTAGAGCGCGGTTGCTGCATTGTTCATATTGACCTGTCATCCGCCTCTGATGCTGCGTAAGTTATTTTGTGCCATGCTGATATTTATTTATTTATTTATTTATTTATTCTAACCTTTATGTGTATATTTGAATGTCCAGCCCCGAGTCTATTATCCCTATGACCTTGCCCGTCTGGAGAGGCAAGACTTCTCTTAATGTATTGATTAACAAGCAAGATAAGACGTAAGTAATAGATAGTTGGATCTTTAAACGATTTTGAATAATACCGTCAGAATTTTTCAAATCTACCGTATCTCAAATACATATATAAATATATATAATAACTTATTCTTGGGTTAATCTCCTATTTAGATCCCTCTGCCAGCGGATTTTTAACCTCACACCTGAAAAGACGCCTGCACATCTCCAAGAGAAGGCCACTGCCAACTACTTGAAGAAGGTTGAGGAGGATAAGAAGGCTGAAGAAGATAGACTGGCCCAGGAAAAAGAAGATTCTAGTGTATAGAAGGATATGTTCCTTTATTTTATAATTACCCTTTCATCTATTAACGTGTATATTGCAAAATCTTTTAAAATCATACAAGCCAGCAAGTTTCATGCAAATGTCCCAATATAACAAACCAATAAATAAATAAATGCATAAATAAATAAAGAAGCAAATAAACAAATAGCCATGCGTGTTAAAGAATCCAAATGGTCAATCAACAAAGATTGTTAAGCCAAAACTCAATCCATTATTAGCCAAAAGGGCATTATGGTCCAAGCAAAGATGTAGATGAAAAAATAAATAAAGGAATATTGATTAAGCTAGTCTTGCTTGATAGTGCTCTATGCAGATTTCTGCTGCTGCTTTGATTGGCTAAATGTATCTTATGACGAAACCAACAATAAGCAATTGGCATTGAAACATGATTAGTATATATATATATATCACTGAATATACATCACATTTGAAAGTTCGCTTAGCTTCAGCACCAGCTACCAGTACAAGTCAAGCCATTCATTCGCTTTATATTTGATGATTGTTTTTTTTTTTTCATTATTTTCTTCCTACTTTTCTCTTTTTACTTTCATATCTTTTACTGAACCAAGATAAACGTCAATAAACAGAATATCTTTGTAGCCACAAAATGCCTATTAGACGCTTACGTAGTTTTTCTACGAATTCGCCAGCCCATTCACCTACACTTTTGCCGCGCGGTCTTACTAATTTTATCCGGTCCTCCCGTCGTGGTTCTTCGAATAATCCTTCAGACTCTCAACTAACTCGGTCTGCATCCCATCCGCCTACGCACATACATGATACTGAACCGCAAGCTCACGAACAACAGTCCCTGACAAGCCATTCTGGTTTACCTGTCACTATTAAACTAGTCCCGAACGTAAACACTGCTGGTCCGTGTTTTGTATTTAATGTGGTAGAAAGGGTTTTGGAGCCAGGGTTTACCTATCCGATTGGAAGATTTAGTGATAGAGCCAACATATCTCATGGCGTATCTTTCAAAAGCAAGGTCGTTAGCCGCGCTCATGCTCAGATGTGGACAGAGAATAGCAAGGTATATTTTCATAGAGATAGCATTGAAAATAAATATATATTTACATACACATTCTATTATAACTAATAAATTATTATTTTTTAGGTGTTTATAAGTGACATGAATTCATCGAGCGGAACATATCTGAATCATGTCCGGATTGGTACGCCTGGGACGCGGAGCAATGCACATGAGGTGTCCAACGGTGACATAGTGCAGCTAGGGATGGACTTTCAAGAGGGGGTGGAACCAATGTATCGTGCGGTTAAGATGCGTGTCGAAATCAATCCACCTTCTACGGCACCAATAAGCCAATACAATCTTGACGCATTTGAGCAACTTCAACAGAGACTTATCGTCACTAACCCAGTAATATCGACGAGTGATCAAGGACAACCAATGACCACTGAACAGGAGGGCTTTCTGTCTGATACATCTTGTCTTACTCGAGAAGCCACAGTTATTGATCCGAATGCTAGCTATCAACAATCACTCGATAGTGTAGTTCCATCAGCCACACTTCAAACACAATCCCTTGCCCAAAGAATTCAAGCTCACCAGCAAACAATACCTTCACAAAGTGACTCTGATAATATCCAAGAATGCTGTATATGTCTCTATGCCATTGCACCCTTACAAGCCTTATTTGTTTCGCCATGCTCTCATGTGTATCATTATCGGTGTATCCGTCCAATAATTGTTCAAAATTATCCTGCATTTGCGTGTCCTATCTGTCGCGGCTACTACGATCTGGAATCCAGTGTGGCTGTTGAGGTCAGTGATGTGCTTGAGGCCTTACGGAAACGAGACACCCAAGTCAACGAGCAGACGCCTAGAGTAATCACTAGTGAAGAGAACAGCACCATGCCGGTCATTGCTGAAGAGAGTCTGTGCACTGTCGAGGACCCGATGGATGTGAATATTTCTCCCTTTGACATATCCAAGTCAGTCGATCAGTCACCTTACTCTAGACTTTCAAATTAACTTCTTTATAACTCGATTCTTTACTCTCTTTATCTCTTTTGTTCTCTTTGAAATTATGCAAAAAAAAAATATCAACTTAATAAATACTTCTTTCCTATTAATAAAAGTATTCTTTTTTTTAAAAAAAAAAAAAAAAAAGTTGTATATATTTGAGGCGCATATTTTGCCTGTATTAAGACAGAATCAATAACTTGTCGTAACTCTAATACTCTTAGTGCAGTTGTTATTCTATAATCAAGGAAGTATTATTGTATTTCGAGAATCTAATGCTTAATTTTACTCAAGCGTGCGCGCAGTCAATAGATGCTTATTTGTTTACATGTATAGGCATAAATTCTTTATCCTGTTGATCAATGCATAATACGTCTTCATTTCTATTTCTATTGCTATTGTTATTGTTATTGCCACTGTTACTTACTGCTGATCAATACTATATGGACACTTGCTTGGCTTACAGTAAAATACATCCTTTATTATAACTTAATGATTAATAGACAAAACGAATTTTCATAAAATATTCGTTTAATCCAAAAAAAAACAAAAAAAAAAGTTTGGTTGTCTGCTATCTAAATTGAGTTGAATCTATCAAATAAAAATCCGTTTTTTGAAAAGTATATAAATTTTATTAGCCAATGATATTTTTTTATTTTATTTGCTGAGCAAAAAAAAAATCAAGAGTTTTTATGTCCATTTCAAAATACATACTCGAGAACACTTGTATTATGAGTCTAGAAATCAATGCCTTTTTGAAATTATGGGAAAGTTTATATTGAAAGACTTTCTCCTTAATATCACCTTTATTTTACATCCCATCTGACCGAAAACCCAAACGTTGGTAGTCTTTTATCAATTTACCAAGCACTCTGCGAACCCTTTCTTTCTTTCTTTCTTTTGCAGAAACACAAATAAAAGTAGTATGAATAATAGTTCTGATGTTTTATTGTCGTATTGTCACAGAAGATCAACTTCTTGGGTCATTAATATGGCTAGGAATTATCTTCTTTTATATATATAAAGAAGTGTATGCATTTCTATTGGCCTTTTGTAAATAACGTTTTGCTAGACAATGTCTGATAATTACTTTGTCATAATGATTATCATACTTCTGGACATTTGGAGACTCTAGATTTTTTTGTGACTTTTTTTTTTCTTCTTATTCCTCTTTTACATCTTGCTGGTATCCATGAACTGTGGTGTTTTATGGGTTTAATATACATCTCAATATCTCAGATAGCATGCACATATTCTTCCTCTTTCTTTTGTTAAGGTTATGATACATAGAGCATCATTAACACACTTATTAAGTATATGAGTATCAGTGCTCACAGGGGTAAGACAAGGGATGCTGTGTAGCCTTTACCTTTATTTTATCTTTATTAGCAAGGGCTCTGTGTATACATTATAAGTGCAACCCCCTTCAGGAATAAATGTAGATGTAGATGTACATGATAATGTTATTTTATAGCGTAGTTAAAAGCAGTTATTTCAAATATGCTTTCCAAGGTGAGGGATCAAACCTTGGGTGTGTTTTTAAGTCGGTCCAAATTCTACAACAACTTTGCTAAATTGTAGATGACTTTTAGACAACACACCCACATACATACATATATGTATATATTATTATTATTAATATCTTGATTTTTCGGTACCGTATAATTCGAATAAGGTCACTCTTATATACATATGTCCTTTAATACGTTAAATAGTTTATTGCGTGGCTGAGACGACATCTAAATCAAACGTGGTGGCCAAAGGTTAAAATTGAAAGAATAACCGCAGTACAGTTTTTCATGTATATAATATATATATATATTCGGAAACCCACATTATAAAATAAGCTCAGAATTATGACAAATTTCTAGTTTCTGCTTTGGTACTCTTATATATATATATATATTTATTTAAAGAAAGAAAAATGTTGTACGACTACTTTGGTATCTAAATCTATAAAAGATAAGTCTAATTGTTAAAGAAATATAATTACCAGCAAATTCTGGATAATTGTTCAAGAATATAACCGAGACACCACTTTGTGTATAACAAACCGCATTACAAAGCTGAATTTATTTCATACGCCAAGTTTTAAACTGTGATTTTCTTCAGGTCAAAATACAAGTACAGCTCTAGTCATTTCACGGCCTCAAATATCGACATCAGGAGTAGTAAAAAAAAAAAAAAAAGCAAGCAAGCGCCTCCAAATACGTTTGTCATACAGCAGTCACAAATCTGTGCAATAGAAAATCCCTGGGTTCGACGGACACAAAAAAAAAAAAAAGGTGCTTATAGACCTTTTTCTTTTTTCCCTTTTTTGTGCAACATCTCTTCTTCTTCTTTTTCTTCGTTTGCTCGATGAATTTCAACAAGGACAAGACCATGGCTCAGCCAGAGATGGTATCACAGGGAGCGTATTATACCCCCCGAGACCCAGGCGATTACTACGATTTATCACAAGTACCTCACCAAGAAAAGACCAGAAAGCAGAAACTGATGTGGCGCCTTATAGCAGGTGGTCTTGCATTGGTGATTGTGATTGTGGTAGTTGTGGTGGCTGTGGTAGTGACCCGGAAGCACAAGACAAACGATACCCCTTCATCTCAATACGCCGTATCTCCTTATGCCAATCTTATCCGCCTTGGCCCCGAGGCAGGTACCCAGTCACTGGAATCCAAGACAGGGAGAATTCTGGTGGTCGGAGATGTGCATGGATGTGTGAATGAATTCAACAAACTGGTTGACAAGCTAGAGCTTACCAGCCAAGACCAATTGATTCTCGCCGGAGACATTACCTCTAAAGGGCCTGACAGTATTGGAGTGCTACGAAAAGCAAAGGAGATCGGAGCATTGTGTGTGCGTGGTAACCACGACGACAAGGTGGTTCGATTAAAGACCTTTGAACTCCAGAAAGGCGCTGGTGCAATGTCACCCTCAAAAGCTGTCATGCCAGAGGGCAATGTTGGCGATCCTCTTAAATTCAGCAATTACCACTCTGTCCTAGCAAAGTAAGTAAGATCCAAAACCGGGGGAGCTCTTGTTACCAGAGTGTTTATTATGTTTTACTTTTTAGGAACATGACAATGGATGAATACAATTATCTGTCTAGCTGCCCAATGATTCTCAGTTTCCCATCCCTCAATAATTCAGTGGTTGTTCATGCTGGCCTAGATCCCACTATTCCTGACCTCAACAACCAGGTTCCTTACCTGGTAATGAACATGCGTGATATCGATCATGGCTTACCAACTCCAGACAACAAAATCGGGACTCCCTGGGCAACCCTGTGGAATGCTGCTCAGCAGAATCAAAGCCAACCAACCCGAGTGTTTTATGGCCATGCGTCTAGCCGAGGTCTCCAGATCGACAAATACACGTTTGGAGTAGATACTGGATGTGTAGATGGTGGCCATTTGACAGCAATTGATATGAAGACTCTTCAGTTGACTAGTGTTAGTTGCCTTAAATATGACAATGACGACGATTAACTCTCTATGTATATTTAATTTTTTTTTTGCTTTTGCTTTTGCTTTCATTTTCTTTATTTCTTGACGTTTTTATCATTATATTTTCTCCTTATTTTATTGATCTTTTACACTTTAAATATTATTGCCGCATTTCTTCAAATACACACATTTTATATATATATATATATATATTATATACGCATTCCCCCCCCCTTTAACCTACTACTTTGCCTTGCCTTCAATTCTTTACTTGCAAAAAAAATTATTCAATCAAGTCTATATTGCGCATTGATCTTTGTAGACATTTGTCATATTTCTTTTTAATATATTCCTTTTCTTTCAATAGTTGCTACTAAGACTACCACTGGACATATATATATATATATATTAGTGTTGTTGAAATTGATATCTGGTATCAATATTAGAAATACTCTACGTTCAAATTCTTATTAATATTTCAATTGTAGCCATAATAATGATAATGATAAATAGATAAATATATTTCTTTTATTTAAAAACAAATTAATAACTGGAATCTAAACATATGGCAAACAAAAGCTACAAATACACAATTGATATTCTCGAACAAAACGATCTTTTCTATAATAAGCCTCTCTTTCTTCTTCTTTGTCTTTTTACTACATATTCCATATATATATATATATCAATACCACCACTTGAAAATATTACCACCATTTTACCCTCTTATTTGTCTGTATGATACTCTTTTCAGCCTTTTTTATTTTGCTTGTATATTTGGCAGGCAAGTATCTATCTATCTATCTATATTGAATAAAAATTCAAAAGCAATAATCATCACTTCTTTGTATATAATTTTTTTTTTGGTATTTTATAGGTGTATTTGCAGCAAAAGAAATCACCTACCGTGTGGTAGTTGACTCTGCAAATCTGGGAAACATGGTCGGCGTCGCGATTGGACAGGATATCTATGCCCTAGACAAAGATCCGGGTGTTCCGATGCTTTATGTAGGAAGAGGCCCAAGTGAATCCCACTATCGCTATGTGATCCTAGACAGCCCAGAAACCAAAAACATGATCGACTTTGAGAAATTCGAACGGCCGGCAATAATCCATGCCGACGCGACATTCAATGAGGTGTTTGGCCGACCATGGAACCTGCTCAGACTAGACAGCCTTCCGACACTCTATGAGCCACGGGTCCCCAACAATACCCCATCTAGGCTATTTGAAGACGGAACAATTGCAACCATGCACTTTGAAGCCAATGAAGATGAAATTGCAGAAATGCATGCCAACAAATTAAAGAAGATCAAAGTATCCGGAAGACTGACATACATAAAGTAAGTCGGACATATATATTTATTTATTTATTGAGGGTAGAGGTGAAAAGGGAGGGACAATTACTATTACTATCACTATTATTTTGTACTTGTACTTGGTCATCTTCTTTAAAGAAAACAGAAACAATAACATTAACAAATTCTTTTCTCTGTTGATCAGTTATGATTCAGTTCAACAATTTGATCAAGTTAAAATCAAGATGGGCGGGCATTCGAGTCGTGAATGGTCCAAGGTTCCTTACAGAGTCAAGATACCCGTGGATACTGCACCCCAAGGACTGTATCGTAGATGGGATCTCAAGCTACGTCCAGGAGCTACTGATCCAACCATGTTGAGAGAAAAGGTGTATGATGATCTACTTCAAGCAGTGGGTGTGACGGCTGCAAAAGGAACATATGTAAGGTGAGTTGAATTCATATACATATATATACATATATATATATATATATATAATCTATCATTTAGATTTTACATTAATGACACGCCTGTTGGACTTTACCTACTTGCTGATGATTCGGCATCAGATTCGTAAGTTATAAATATATATATATATAAAATATTGTCCTTTTAGTATCCAGTTTGTTTCTGTACACACACAAAAATAAGATAGCCAAAAGAATAAAACTTATGTTATTATTTGTGATCATAGTTTTATTCGAGAGACATTCCACCAAGGGAATCCTAATGTTGCGTTGGGAGAATTTGTACAAGGCGATGCGGGCAAGGGAGATTATGCAGCCAATTTGGGATTTTTGGGGGAGACGGAGGAGGCGTACGATGACAAGGTGTACGATGTAAAGATTGATGGGCCTGATGACCAATCGGATGCAATGGCCAGCTTGATAAGCTTTATGAAGTTCATTCGAGACTACAATCCGCAGACTGTGCCTGATTCAGAAAAGGTTCTTGAGCTCTGGGAGCCTTGGATTGACATGATCTCTTACCTTCGCCAGGCCGCAATAGAGTGGATTGGAGGAAATTGGGATGGTATCCAGTACTGTAAGCACTATTATTAGTCTTGGCCATTTAGAGAAAGAAATATTAATATTATATTCATAGCTGGCAATAATTATGCTCTTTACAGAGTACCCTCGACAGAACAGTACATGGCTATTCCGATGGACTTTGATTTCACATTTGGCAACGGACTTGAGGAAGATCAGCAACACTTGTTGACCGGCAAATGGAGCCAGTTCACCCAAGACCGGATCATCCATTCCTATTTGTGGGAGAATATCAGACAGACACCTTATCTGGTGCGGCTGTACGAGTCTATTCTGGCAGACGTCAATCAAAATGTGTCGAACCCCCAAAAGATGAACGATCGAATTGATGCCTTGGCATACATGATCCAGCATGATGTTAACTGGGATCGGTCCCTGCCACGTCTGACGGTGGGAAAGACACGTTCGGCCTCAAGAAATTTCCTGGATTCGCTTGAACAGGGCACGGATGATCTGGACGAGCGGATCGGACTCAAGGAATGGGTTAGGGAAAAGTACGCAGCAATCAATAGAGATGTTGGAGCCCAAGGTTCGGAGGATGATACACAAGAAGCGGATACCTTGCCCGAAAAAGAAGATGCTTGAAAAATAAATAAATAAATAAAGAAAGAAAGATATACATTCACCCAAGAACAGTATAATATGTATGTATAGTGCAGCATTTTGGGCTATAAAGAGCAATCACTCGAGTACAAATTCTATTTAAAGAAAAAGACGAAACACAAATTGTATTGACAATCAAGGTCATGTAGCCTTTAGAAAGAAAAAATTTGGTGTAAAAATATTGACAAGGCATACATCCAAAAAAAATATAAGCAAAGGATTAATAGAGTTGGTAGGTGTATTCTGTAGAAGAAAAGGTTCCAATATCATTTGGATCTCTTGGTTCCAAATAAAACCAGCGATGTCTTTGATTCATAGCCCTTTATACACCACCGCACATGATTAAATACAATATGCATATATCCAGGAATGGAACAAAAATTACAAAAATGGAAAAATATAGCTACAATTCTACTTTATTTGGCAATTATCTTAACCCACTTCCCCTTCCCCTTCCCCTTCCTGCCTTCCACGTTCCAAGTTCCGTTTCCAACCTTCTCTCCTATTTAATTTATTTTATTTTATTTAATTTAATTTAATTTAATATTTTTGTTGTTGCAAATGTTTGACAAGTCATGGGATTTATTGCGTACCCAAATGTCAATGGTTTTCTTTTTTGTATTAGTTATTGCAGTTTGCCTAATCTAAATCAAAGATAATAGTAATTACATATGTCATATAGAATTGAACAATATGAAATAAGATGGCAAGACTTGTCTCTAGAGTAGTTTGTATAAATCATCATTAGGAGTAATGCTGAGCAGTGGCTTGCTTTTCTAATCCTTGTATAGACACTAGATATTTTAATTAATTCAGTCGTACGTATGATATAGAACCTCTGGATTACCCATAAGCTTATAATTTTTGGTAATCAAATATTAAGTCTTATACATTTGATCTTGTACTTATCCAAACATTTCAGTACCCAAACGTTGGGTCAAAAGTATGGCATGTCACAGCTTTTCTTTTCTTTATTCTTCTTTATTCTTTAGGTAATTTAAAGGGCTCTAATGAAAGCGCTGGGGATAATTTACAATGGGATCTTTGGGTATCAAAGCTACCTATTATTCTTTTATTCTTATATTTTGCGTACATTTATCAGTGTGATATTTGAAATAAACACATATTCAAACAGACAGATATGTAACATCTTTTATATATATAAAATACAAGAGTCGGTCATTTAAATAAAATAAAAAATCCAGCTTCATATTTGTGGGGTTTTATTTTGGGTTGGGTTGGGTTGGGCTTCCCCCCCCCCCAATAGTCAACACCACTCTACACAAACACACAATTTTTTTTTAAAAAAAAAAAAGAAAAGGCAAAATATATAAGCTATAGCTAGATAAATAGATATTTTGGTTCTTTAGCTATTCTACAGAATTTTTTTTTTATTGTAATCATGTCAGGACTAACCGGTCTTCTTGGTGAATTACATGGAGTATGGAATGCTGGTGTGCAAACGACTAGAGGTCAAGATTTGTGGTATATTTTGGCAGCAAGTATCTTTATGATTAATAAGAAAATAAAAACAAAAAATGTCAACTCTAAGCTATTAATAACAACACCAATTAATTATATAGGCTGTGGTGATAAGTACATTGAATCACCCAAAACACGTTTGTCAAGTTTATTCTGTGGCTGAAAAGACCATAGTCGAAACCACACTTCCGGAACAGCAGCAGATAGAAAAGCAAAAGATGGTTGTGAGACTACGAGAGGGTCTATTCAAAAGCTTTCCTATTGTGGGATATCCAAAGGTAATATTACACACACAATTTATATATATAAATAAATAAGTAATAGAATCAAATGGCGATTGTGATAACCAAAAAAGGTAAAAAGAAAAGAGAGAGATCGTTGTTGATTAACACACAAATACAAACAATCTTCTTTTGTATAAAACAAAATACATATTGTAATCTATAGGTGATCAATGCTCTTTCTGAACTCAATCAGGTCATTCCAGACACTGTCAAGCTGGGACTTCCCACAGAACCTACCAGGTAAGTAAATAACAACAACAAAACAAGCTTTAAACTTTCACTTTCACCTTCACCTTCAACAGCCCATTTTAATAATAAATAAAAAAAGAATAGAGGATTCGTGGGAGGATGTTGTTGAACAGAGAAGAAGAGGAAGAGAATGCTTTGACAAGATCTACGACAGACACAGCCAGAGAGTAATAGACATCATGCAAGCCGGACACCCGGACTTGGCCCAGACAGCCCTGCATCATTTATACGGACCAGTCCTGTCGGATCCTCGTTCCTTGGACGGCAAAGACACAAGTCTGGTGGTTGTGGCTTGTCTGATGGCCCAGAACTTGCCTTCCCAGCTCAAAGGCCACTGGTATGGTGCACTCCACCAGGGTGTTACTCTAGATGAACTTGAGACCGTCCAAAAGAGTGTAGCCAAACTCTGTGGGTTCTACAACGTGCCATGGTGCCAGATGCCAAAGAAAACACAATAAACAATCTTTATCTTTGACGGCCTTTAATTTGTTTTTGGATCAAAACCAACAAAAGATATTTAGTTATTTATTTTTGTTGTAGGTCGTACGGAGGCGTGAATTGTGCATGGTCAGAAGAGTGGGGTGATGGATTCCTATCTCAGCTATACAATAATACAATAAGAATTTATTTTTTTTATGTAATCGGATCTTCCTTATTGTTTTATATAACAATAATAATAGCAATATAAAAAATATAAAATAAAATTCAACTTTAAATGAAATCCTTGTTCTCTATACACGGCTTTAAAGTACAAGAAGTATTTCTATATGTCGAACTATTGACTCCATTTCACTCAATTCCAACTTTCTAATCAATTGAATCCAGGCTCTCTCTCTTTTATATATATAAACAAAAAAAAAGAAGTGTTTAGAGTCTTATAAGCTTCGTGGGAAGCTGTTTTTTTTTCTTCTTTATTTAGTTTTGAAGATACATAGCTGTATTCATTATTTAAGCTTTGTATTTTTGCGCCTCAATATTATACCCGTCCAGTACAACCTACACTAATCAATATGCGCTTTATCGATCGTTTTTTTTTTTTTTTTTTTTTTAAATGAAACAGTTCAATAATTTGTGTTTGTGTTTATGTGTTTGTTAGTGCGTGTCTGTAGTGTGCTTGTACACGATTTGAACTGTAACATAATCTAATGGCGTGTGAATACAAGCACCTTATAGCCATGATAATTAGCGTCATGAAATACAATAAAAAAAAAAGGTTCTCCCCCCAAAAAAAAACTTTCAAGATATATACACACGCTAATTACACAACGAGAGAGAGAGAGAACAATATACAGATACTTCCTCCTGACTTTGAAAAGAGGGTATTTTACTAGCAAACTGACCTGTTAGGTAAGTAAGAAGCTATATATCTAATTATATAAATCTTCAATTTTTCTTTTTTGGCTATCGGTTTTCGAGTATTTGGATTGACTCATCTATTGAAATTCATTACAAGCGGGTCTTTCCGATTAATTAATTAATTTATATATAAGAAGCAAGTATTAGTAATGGTATTGACATTAGACCTTTATTTTTTTTAAAAAGAAAAAAGAAAAAAAGCAATGATAACTGTGGACGTTCTTGTATGTGGGGCTGGACCAGTCGGCTTATTCTTTGGTTATCTGATGGCTATCAAAGGCCACTCTGTCTATGTGTTTGACAAGATTGCAGAACCATCAGAAAACAGCCGTGCGCTCTTGATCACATCCCGAACCCTCGAAATGTTTTCTCTGGTTGGCCTAGACGCAGCTGTCTTGAAAGAAGCCAGAATTGTCAGAGGAATCCAGGTGTTTTCTGGTGGTGAACGAGTAAGTTTTTTTTTTTTTTCTTTTTTTTTGTAAAAAATCAAATCAAATCAAATTATAACTTGATACCCAATCAGCTTGGAACTGCAGAAGCAAGCGGTGATACTACATTCCCGCAGCAGAATATCTTGCCTCAAGTCAGATTGGAACGGATTCTGGAGACAAAACTTGCGTCTCAAGGCTACCCGGTTCATTGGTCCACAACCCTGACTGCCTACAGCCAGACAGACTCAGGAATTGAAGCCACCCTGAGCACCCAAGAAGAACAAGAACAGAATGAAGGTTTGGTTACTGTCCGGGCATCCTATATGGTCGGTGCAGATGGAACCCATTCGGCCGTCCGTCGACTTTGTGCGTCTGACTGGGACTTTAAGGGGGTTGCGGTCGATACCAGACTGGCGCTGGCTGACGTGACACTCAAGGGCAGGCATGTCGACCAGGAGATGATGAACCGGCTGTCGTCTTTTCTGGATGGCGAGGGTGCAATGATCTTCTTGCCCTTTGAGCCAGTCAACCCGAACCCTGACCCAGACCACCACTTTCGGGTTATCGTCAGCATGGGCAAATACGAGAAACTGGAGAATGGTCAAACTGACCAGGTCACACACGGCATCCGAGCCAGAGCCACAGACAGAGACAGAAAAAACAAGGATGCCTTGAGTCTTGAACAATTGCAAGAAACGATGGACAGAAGGCTAGGCAATCTAGACATACATGCCAGCAATCCGGCCTGGCTGACCTTTTTTGCAATCAATGAAAGAATCGTCGATGATTATCGGCGCAAAAGAGTGTTTTTAGCAGGAGGTAAAAAAATAATCATAATAATCGTAATAATCATAGTAATCATAATAATTGCGATCTTTCTTTTATTTTATTTTATTTTATTTTATTTTGTATGTATGTATATGTATGCACATGCGCAAAAAACAAAACAAACAAACAAACAAACAAACAAAAAAACGCAAATATAGATGCGGCACACTGTCATTCACCGCTTGGTGGACAGGGTATGAATATTGGTCTTCAAGATGGTTAGTACTCTATTATTATTATTATTATTATTATTATTATTATTATTCAAAATCTATCTATCTATCTATCTATTGATTTATTAATATATATATATATGTATAAATGTATAAAATAAGCTGATAATTTGGCTTGGAAGCTTTCACTGGTGTTGAACAATTATTCCAATGATCCGGATTTCTTATTGGATTCGTACAGTATTGAGGTAAATTACATGATTCTAATATATATAAAAATAAGGGCAAAGAATAAGTAAATACATGATTTTGTATATTATTTCATTTGTAGCGTCGAGCTATTGCAAAGTCAATAATAAAGTCTACATCTCAGGGCACTAGTTTCGTGTTCAGTAGCCATTGGTTAATCAGTTGAGTTTAATAAAAAGAAAAAGGAAAAGAGAAAAAAAAACCCTTGATTTTCACATTAATTAAAAAAAATAAAAAAAATATATGATTGTCTATATAGGATTTATTCGTAATGGGTTAATCAGGATTGCAATGTCGATTCCGCAGATAAGAAATCTTGGGGTCCAAACAGTACAACAGGTAAGAAACTAAAAATAAATAAAATGGTAAATAAGAAGAATAACATATAATCTCTCTTACTTTATTGTTGTTACTGTGGTAGATCAAGATGTCTATTCTGGACTCTCCTCTTCATGGACTAGCCGACCCTCATCTTATCAAGCCAGGCCAGTTTATGAAGAACACTAGTGCCCTCCGGCGTCGCACAATAGAGGACAGACTGGTATGGGCTAGTCTGCACAACATTCTTAGAAAAACAAAAGATTCCCGCTTTACTGTGCTGTGGGTAAGCACCTGCAAGGGATGGCAAACACCTTCTTCTTCTGGCCTGACCACAAAATTCCTGCAAAGTCTGAAGCCATACTCCAGAGTAGTACGGCCTATTGTTGTGACTAGTGCTTGGCACACTCGAGATAGTCACCCCATTGTCCAGAGTCTAGGCGACCCTGAACTTGCAGAAGCAGAGTGGTGGGTAGAAGGTATCTGGGATGAACAATGTGTTACTAGACGAGTAGGGTTAGACAAGGCCATCATTAGATTCACAGGCTCAACGGAGACGGCGGTTGAGACAGCGGTTGCCATGGTAGTGCTCAGACCAGACCTTTTTGTGGCTCAGAGTAGTCTTGTCCAAACAGAAAAAGATTTGGAAAAGGCGGTTGGGTATCTGGCCCATGCTTTTGGTACAATTGTAACACACAAGCACCATTCTCTTAATCAATCACATTAACAAAATTTTTATTTTATTTTATTTTATTTTATTTTATTTTATTCAATAAACTCTCACACTCACACACACAAAAAAAAATTGCCGTGTATCCCCGAAGAACAGAGGCGATCTCCTTTTCACTTTCTTTTTTAAAAAATAAAATAAAATAAAAATATAATTTTTTTTTGTACTTTTATCTGTCTGTCTGTCTCACCCAACTTGCGTTCACGACCATTACACACAATATATATATATATATATTTTATTTTTATTTTTGGAAATAGTATGAAAGAATGAAAATGGTACAGGATATTAAGATAATAAAATAAATATGTATGAAACTAACTAACTAACCAACAAAGTAAGCAAGTAAGTGGGTATGTATATATATACAAGAACGTAAAAGAATTGGGCTTTTTTTTTTTAAGGTTTTTTTTTGGGTTTGTAAAGGATGAATGAAAGAGTATAAATATATTATAAATAATAATAGTAATAGTAAGAGGAATAGTAGTATAACAACAAAAGAGAACAATAAAAATAAAGAACAAGAACAAATAAACTAACATTAACAAGTAATAATAATAATAATAATAATAATAATAATAATAATTTTTTTTTTTGAATAGAAATATATGTATGTATATAAAAGATCATTCTTTATAATTGTCGCCAAGATGATTTATATAGAAGAAGAAGAACCAGTTCCTCTTATTGTTGTTGTTGCTGTTGTACTAGTAGTACTGATAGTAGTGGTACTAATAGTAGTACCGGTAGCTGGTCTTCTTACTCTTCTTCTTGCTTGTGTTGTTGCTACTGCTGCTGCTAATGCTGCCAATGCTGGTGATGTATTAGCTGGTGATGTATTAGCTGTGGATGGATTGGTAGGAGCAAGTGGTGGTGGTTCATGAAGGGGCACAAATTCACCAAGTGTGATGTTGGTCAATTTCTCGTTGCGATGACATAGACTAGAAAGGTATCCAAACACGCGATAGGTGATGTTTTTGCAACCCGACAGATTGAGGTGGGTCAGTGCTAGTCCATGCTTGGCCAGGACACAGATGGCACCATCTGTGAGACAGGTCCAGTGGGAAAGGTCAAGGTGGGCTAGGCGGGGTAGCTGTGTGATGATCAGTTCGAGGGAAGCATCCGAAACATCGTCTAGTTTGGCTAGCTGCTGGTACTGCTGTTCGAATCTCTGGTTGTGCGCAAACAGGGATGAAATCGCAGGCTGGACATTGTATCTACGTAACATGTCGATGAGTTCATCCAGAGGGTTGACCTGGGACTCTAATAAAGGCAACATATAATCGTCATCGTTTTGTGTCTGTGTCTGTGTCTGTTGGCTTGACCGATATTGCTGATGTTGTAGACGTCTTTGTTCCTGTCGATGTTGCTGGAGTTGGCGGAGTAGCATCGATTTTGGCCTGGCGAGGTTCAGGCGGGTGAGATTTGGACAATAGCTGACCAGGGCAGCGAGATCAGCGTGCTGTACGGCACCAATGCGGGCAATGTCGAGCCATTCAAGACGTGTGCGACACAGTTTGGCAATCTGGTGTATCGTCACACCTGTCACGCGGCCACAATCACTCAGACAAAGGCGCCTAAGAGTGCGACTAGACGCCTTGACGAGGTGTGTGACACCTTGGTGCGAGATGCGGACACAGCCACCCAATTGGATTATCTCGAGCGAACTGCACTCGGCTGCAAGGTAAGTCAGGCCGGTGTCCGAGACTTGGACACAGTTCTGAAGGTTGAGGACCCGGAGATGAGGAGCGCATTGGGCCCGGCTGAGGCTGCGGAGGCTGTCGTTTGTGATGTGTCTGCAGTTGGCCAGCTGGAGCGAGACAAGGTTGGGGCAGTATTTGAGGATGTGTCTGACCGAGCAGTCTGTGATGTGAAGAGCCGGCGACGAAAGGGTCAGGTTGCGGATTGCATGTCCGTACTTTGGCAGGTGGATTGGAAAGCCGGTCGAAACCCTATGAACATCCTTTACCTCCATATCTGGGCTACTGGTTTTACTATAGGTCTGGTAAGGCTTTTGTTCTTCCTTTTGTGGATGGGACGTATGCCATTTGTTGGACCGCAGACCATTGGAATTTGAAAAACAAGAAGAAGAAGAAGAAGAAGATGATGATGGTGGTGATAAAGTGGAATTAGAAGAATAAAAAGAATATGATGATGAGGTTGATGAAGAAGATGAAGAAGATGAAGATGAAGCAGATAATAATGCAAGTGTGGATGGGGAGGATAGCCAGCAAATTGGCTGTGTGGGGATGGGGGCTCTCCAGAGTACAGGTGTGACTAAATCGTGCCAGAGTTTGCTGACTAGGGTGCAGTTCAAAAGATCGGCTTTGCGACCACCGGTGCCGACCATTTCAAACACAACCATCAGAACCTCGTTGGGTAGCCGCTGAACATAAGATGGCCTTTTTTTGGCCTCAGGCTGGTTCTGTTGGGTTCGGTACATCTTTTGTTTCTGCTGTTGTTTTAGTAATAGTTGTGTGCTGAGCTGCGATTGTTGAAAAGATCTCTGGCGACGGCTATTATTCTGTGAGACAGCCGAGGATGAAGATGATTCTGATGATAGTGAGGTGTAGTCGGTATTTCTCCGTTTTCTATTGAGAGCGGATGAGATGTGGATAACGGCAGTGATTGCGGCTGCAATGTGAACACAGCAGTGGATCCAAAATTGAATCCATCCCAAGAATAAGCCGAGAATAGCGAGTAAAAATCCTTTCATGATTTTCTATATATTTTTTTTTTGATAAAGGTGATAAAGGTGATGATGGTGATGATGGTGATGATAGCATAGCAGTGGGGTTGTAGTGGCGGTGATACAAAAAAAAAAGTGATATAGACAAAGGCAGAGACAAAGAGATTAGATTTAATTAACGAGTGAGTGATATTAATATAAAATGAATTAATAATTACTTTTTTGTATGTATCTATAGGTGTATGTATATAAATGGATGGTGTGTCGATGTGCTGACGTATGTGCTTTTAGGTAAATAGACAGACAAGGTATATAGATATACAAAATGTATGTATGTATGTTTTTATATAAATGATAAAAGTGAATGAAAGAAAGAGAGAAAGAAAGAAACAGAAAAGAGAATTAGAAATAGAGGGTTTTGAATGAGATTTTTATACATAAATAAAATAAAATAAACGGGGGGGTTGAGATCAAGATTTATTTATTTTGAATACACAAAATTTATATAAATATAGATATAGCTACATTTCCTTTTTTTTTTTTTGTTTTTTTTCTTTCTTTCTGGGGGGAGAAGAAGAAGGTTACAAGTGGTAGAGAGAGTATAGGGAAGGTGGGGAGATTGATGTGGATGTTACATGTAGTATTGTAATATTTTATATAAAATATATAAAAGAAAATTTACATATTTGGACAATACAAGATATGAATGTACATTGTACATTGTATCTATATCTATATTTATATTTATATGTGAGAAACTATATACAAAAAGAGAGAGAGATGGAAATATACTTTCCTTATCCAGTCTGTCCAGTCAACCCTCTCGTCTTCAAACAGCAAAGTCACACAACTAGACAGTTTACACATCATTTAGCAGCCAAATCAAACAACAATAGCAAACCAAATAAACCTATATTTTGTACTGCAGAACTTCAAACAAATCAAACACTTCTTTTTGTTTCGTATTTGTTATTCATAAATTCTAATCAAATTATATTATTATTAATAATAAGAAGCAATTCTGTCCCTCCCCCAAAAAAAATCTGTCTCCTTTCTTCTTTCTCCCCCCAAAAATCTCCTTCTTTTATATATATCTAATTATATATTTACTATGAATTACTTAATGTCAAATGAAATGACATGGAATATATATATATATATATCTACTAAAATTTTTCTTTTCTTTATTTGGTTAATTTTCTTATCATTTTGTATTAATTTTGAACCCTTGACACTCACCCTCTTATGACTATTTAATAAACAAATTAGATGAGCAACAATATTAATCCAATAGCTGATCATCTACTTCAGATGACAAATGAGACTGACAATCAACGAATGCTTAAAGAACAAGAAGAAGCGTAAGAAGAAGAAGAAGAAGAAGATGTGGATTATAGATTGATGGAATTCACAATTAAAACAAAATTGTTTTTATTTTATTTTAGATTGGCAATCTACAAATCAACTCAACAAAGTCTTTGTGCATTCAATGACTTTAGCAAGGCACGCTACCAAGATGTCAACAAACACTTTGAATCTCATGCCAAACTACTCAAGGAAATCAAAGGGGATCTCGAGAGTGTGTTTGGAAGATTACAGTAAGTTTTATGTATATAAAAAAACAATTAGAATTTATTGTATATAAATATTTTGGATCGTAAAGGAATATGAAGCAACATCTTGGAAACAAATATCCTGCCGAAACACTTGTTGTGTTGCAAAAATATCCTGCGCCAATATTACAAGATGATTGATAACAGTAACCACAATGATAAATCAGTCTTTGAGGCTTTGAAAGTGTAAAGTAACAAAAAGGCCAAAAGAGAGGGCGACACAAAAGGATAAAAGTGGCTGGAAACATTTATACTCTATGTGTATTGAATAACCGGGATGTCCATATTAAACCAGAAAGTGAAATACCAAATATCGGAAAGAGCGGGTAATGTTTGTTGTTGTTACAATTTTAGTGTGCTAAATATTTGTTTCATCATTTCATCATTAAAACAAAATGTAATAGTTAAAGATGATGGTCAAATAATATAAATAATTAGAATTAGAATTGGAAGGTGTGATATGACCAATAGAGATGCTCAGTCAATATAAAGAATGAGAGATAAGATATTCTTACTTTGAAACAAAAAGCCTAATTCAAAAAAAAATATCAGTCGCTGTCTACCTCCATCTATTTCTTTGTTTCTATTTGGATGATAGCTTGTGACTATACAATTAAAAGAAAATTTATTATTTACGATCAACAGAGAAGGTAGTAAGACAAAAAAAAAACAAAAACCCCAAAAGAAGTATGTAGGACTGGAATGTGTTATTCTTGTAGAGTGTAACAATTCATACAATTTCTCTCTTTTGCACCAAACCTATATACAGTCAAACCAATAGCCTTACACTATTGCCTTTTTTTTTTTTTCCTTTATTTCTATCATCAATTTATTTACTTTTAAAGAACATTTTCCCTCTCTTTATATATATATATATATATGTATTTTACCCCAACCACTTGTAAGCTTCACTCCCATACACACACAAATATATCTATTCAACCAACCAATTATATAATTATATAAGTATAATCATCTTCAAATCACTATACATCTAAATCGACCTAAAAGCTTGTTTTAATATTTCACTGGTTGAATATAATAAACTTAATAAAATTAAGAGTCGTACTAGACGTCAATTATCTACTCTATTCGGAAGATTTTGTTTATAGCTGAATTTTTTTTTTATTTTTCTTGTGTGTTTGCGGGGTATTCATTCTTGTCAAACCATCCTGAATATCTGGGGTAAAATGACGACTATATTTTGAGAAAAGAAACAAAGAAATAGAAGGTTACCAGGTTTAAACTACCTTGTAATTTTCTTAATTGTACAAATGATACAATCTATACATTAATCCACCTACCTACCTACCTACCTACTCAATTCACCTCTTTTTATTTTATATTTTATATTATTTGTATTACAGATGGGGTGGATAATTATTGAATCTACTTTGTACAGGGCACAAAATCCCTTATACTCTATTTGTATCCTAGATACATCACATAATTTAAATCAAGCCAGAACAATCAGGTCTCTTCCTCACCCTTCCATTTCCTCACACCTTCAAAAGCATTAATATATATATATAATCAATTAATTAATTAATAGTCATGGCCAAAATTCATACTTTTTTTTTTTTTTTTTTTTTTGAAAATGACCATAAAATACTAATGTCAATACCAAATGTTTAATACCAGTATCTATTGTACCAATGCCTGTACCAATGCCTGTACCAATGCCTGTACCTATACCTGTTATACTACATACATACATATATATATTAGAGATATTATATACCATGTACAACCCAATATCATCATCATTATCATCATATCTCTTTATTAGGACTACCATTAATATTGCATTTAGCATCGGGTTCTATATATTATATATCCATCTATTCTTTGCTAAATTTAAGCTTGGCAGAGATAAATTTTGTCGAGATATCTACATTGCATTTGTGTTTTCTTTTATATGCATATACATACCAAAAAACCAAAAAACCAAAAAAAAAACCCCCCCAGAAAATGGCATCTAGCAATAAATAGACACATACTCGCAACATACAGACATTAACATATGATATCTACAAAATATATACTTTAAAAAACAATACATATAAAATTTGCAACATCTTGGTCTGGCATTACTTTTCAGAAAGCTGCCTATAACTTTATCAAACAGGGGGTGGAGGATGTTTGGCATAATAACCACAATGACTGGTTATCAAAAAAAACAAAAATCAAGTACAAAAGGTAGACATTCCAATATTACTTATCTACATATGCACATGAATTTCAAGAGAATATTGAACATTCTAAAGGCCCTATGTTTATTAACACCATACAACAGAATAATTGTAATCCTGATCATAGATTGTAGACAAAATATAATCCATAATTTAATAATGAAATCAAACATCCAATGAATTACATTATTTTCTTAAAAATTTAAAAATAATAGATATAATTCCTTTAATTACCAATTGAAATCCTCGTTTGGGTTTTGGTTTGCGTTTGAAAAAAATAATAATAAATAAAGCCCTGAAGAATAAATACATACATATATTTATACAGTCCAGGAATTTGGATTTAATCTCTGCTTTCGGGAAATAAGACGATAATTTGAGAATAAAAGAGGAAGAATGAAAGAATACATCATTACTATGCATCCATGCATGCATACTTTTCAGAAGCAAAGACATATACTTGATTCTATGTAATTTCATACCGAAATGCAACCGCCAAGTTATAGAACAAGGTAAATCACAGTGTTTCGACTTGATATTGTGCCAAATCAGGAAATTCTTTAGACGAATCAGAATCTAAAATATACACAATCTACTTACCTTTTGTGAACCAAACGAGAATCGATTCTAGACCAAGAGATACTAGTTTCCAAACCAGAAATTTTATTCAGACATTTTACCTATGACTACCTCTCAAAGAAACAAGCTGTTTACATTACATTGACTGAACTATTATTGTTACTCTTTCTGATGACTGCTGTTTGTTTTCTGGTCTTTATCAGATATTCCTGTCCCTCTACATCATTTATTCTTTAGGCTTAAAATAAAGCACTGTAAAAACCAGAATATCATTAATTATAACAAGTAATGATTCATTACGTTTCCATTCTCTGTTTCTATCTGATATTGTTAATTGTACCCTGGCCAAATTGTTCTTTTTCCCTACCTTTCTTTTATCTTGTTATCTATTGTTGTTCCATATATCTAATTGATTAACCAATGATAGCTATCAGGTATACTTTTAGTCCCTTTTATACATTATTATCCAACATAATCCATAGTCGGTTCTTTTGATACTTTTGATAGAATACATTACATTCGGAACAAGGTTCGTCAAGACCTTCACGATTATCACTGCCCACTTGTATAACGTTTAATTCTATTCAGCATTTGTAATCGACAACCTATAGAGATTCAAGAAACTTGCATAATATTTGGTGTTATGTTAGCATCCTTTGTCACTTTTCTGCTGTTGACAAGCTGGCGCACCAAGTAACAAAATGTCTGCATGTAAATGGAGTTAAAATTGAATCATGAGATTCTGACAAGCACAAACTGTTGATGAACATCATTTTCCTCGATACGATACTACGGAAATCATTTCAACTGCTAACAATCTCATTTTTTTTTGTATTCATCGCGTAGAAAGAAGGCGAATATTGAGCTTAAAGCCGGGATTTCTATGTGGTTTTATGAATATTACCCGTGATATATCTAGTATATTTATATCAGGTAGATAGACGTTTGAGATCGTAAAGTAAGTGTTGTTCCGCTGAGTAACAATAACCCTTGTTAGTCTGTAAATTGTATTTGAATAGAAGAAGTGAGTGTATACTCCCTGTTCTTGATACCTGTAGTAGTTATATTCCATTTTAGGCCATTACTTAGTCTAAAAGAAGTGGATATAAATACTGCTTTTGCATCTATACCTTTTCTATATTTTGCTGCATTTTTTTTTCTAGTTAAATAATACTAATTTGTGGGAAAGTATATTTATTAGCATTTCACATTTGGGAAAGCATACATTTTAAAGAAGTAGTTTTGTATTATTTTGAGTGAAATTTTGTTTTGTTTTGTTTGTTTTGATATTTGAAAAAAAAATTCTCAACAAGCATTCTAGTTTTTTTTCAAGTCCATTCATTTCGTAAAACTATTGATTATAACAATACTTCCTACCATATACTGTTGAACTGTTATTGTTTTAAGCTCTTACGCTGATACTTACTTAAAGAGATAGTCGACTATATAGCATAAGAAAAGAAAGATTTGTATATAAGATGATATTATTGACAGTAAAATATATGAAATTCAATTCTTACGGACTTGATACAATTGTCATGAATTAAGAAATGACAGCTAGTAAGCACTACGACATTAAAGCTCTTGGTACGCTAATTGCTGTCAAAAGATATCACATTAAGTATTGTGTATAATGAGTGTATACAGGATTTGCTTTTTAAAAGACTTGCAAGTTTTTATTGTTCTAACAAAATAATACTAGGTCTTAATTGAATAATGTGTACAAAGAAAAAATGAATAGCGGTAGACAGGTGAAATTTTTTTTTTTTATTGTTGGTTTTTCTAGGCCTTGCGCATTTTAGCATATTGGCTACCCGATGAGAGCTGAAGAATAAATGAAAATAATAAAAAGTAACCCCCTAAATATGAGGGGGAATAAAAAAATATGTAAAAAGTGAAGGATAAATAAAGAAAAAGTATGGAACACGCATGACAGAGACAAAGATGACTAGTCAGCAAAAACAGTAAAGAGAGCACGTAAAAAACCCCCTGTGGGGGAAAACGGCTTTTAGAAAGACTAAGATTAAAATAGATAATACAGCTGGTAAGAATACAGGTGAAATAAATATATAAGAAAAATAAATGACACAAAAGAATCGAGAATAGGTAACTAGGTACTGACGGCACCAGAATTGGGAACGGATTTCAGCAGGGATAGGAACTCCAAAGAGGGATTCCTTTTAGAAACTCGGACGATCCATTTATGGATCCAGAATACACAACGATACCAGACCAAGTCAGTCCTCCTAGGCACAATTTCGGGCGGGCACAGATGGAGGGGGTTGACGAGGAACGGTGGAAATTTCGGAGAGAAGATGGGGGAACGGATCACCAGGAACAGGTTCTTGGGTGGGCGGCAGGATGCGGTGGGGACGGGTTGGTTTTGTGGCACGGAATTTTGCTGCAAGGTCGATGAGGATTTGACCATGAGCTTTTTCTTCTGGCAGCTTGTAGGATGAGGTGGTTGGATCAACAGCACGTAGCAAGGCAAGCAAGCACGGCCACCAATCGCACCACGTACCAGGCGATTTGAAAGACCTGGGGAGACAGTTGAGAGCATAGTCGATGAAATAAACCTCTGGGGGAGGAGCAGGATCAATCAAAGACCAGAGTTTTTGAACGAAAGTGATTGTGGTGGGGCATAGGAGTATATGGTTTCGGTTACCCTTGATAGCGCCACATTGGCACTCAACTGATGGTGTAGGTGGTAGCCAAGCAATTTGCCATTTGATCAGGCGACATCGTTCTGAGCGAGTGCAGGGCAGTAGTAAGATCAGATCCCAGACAGATTTGCACAAGCCTCTAGCAACAGTTACCAGACGGTTAACGCTCGCAAGTTGCATGTCGATTTCTTTTTGGCACAGTAGAACATAGGCTTCTTTTAATGGGTCCTTCAACCGAGGTTGATGTTCTTTCAGTAATTGGGCCTTTTTCCAGAGTACACTACGACGAAGCTCACCCCATGTCGTTTTTTCTTTGGAAAGGTCCAGCTGCGTGGTAAGAGCTTTGACAAAGGAGACTGAGAGTAGTGTTTCAGCACGACGAAGAAATTTGGCTTGAAGAGCACGGGAACGGGTGAATAGGTTGGGTAGAGCAGCTAATGCAGCGATATGAACAACTCCCATCGTTGCATTGGGCCGTCGAATACATGTCCGGAGACACATATTTTGGGCTTTCTACAGGATTTGAACGTCACTCCGGCTAGCAGGAACAATGGCTAAGCCATACTCAAGAATGGGGCGGATAAAAATGAGATAAGCTCTGAGAGCCGCAGGGAGACCAAACCCGTTCATATGTACACCCGAGCTACTAAGCTTACGCATTGCTGCACAAGCTTTTTGCTGCGACTTAAGGAACATGTCGGCTCAATATATCCCTTGGCTAGCAAAAGGGAATCCTAAATATTTAAAGGAAGTGCAAGTGGGAAGAGTGTTCCCATATAAAGAAAAAGAAGAATTGGGAGGGGCATTGAGGACCTCGCATTTGGATGGACTCCACTTATACCCCAGAAGGTTTGAATGTGTCTTGGCTACAGTCAACATTTTTTGCACATCGTTAGGTGTGCCTATAAGGGCAACATCGTCAGCGTACAGAAGACAGTTGATAGGAGCCATTGACATAGGAAGATAGTCTGGTGCATCCCCCTCCGTCCTGGGAACACTGAACACATTACAGGTGACCGTCCTAAGCTCCTCCAATAGTGACAAAGGAGTGGCTGTTGGGCTGTCAAATGCGTACGTACAGTATGAGGACAACCAAAGGGACCTTGTTAACGAGGGAGAGGGGATGCGAACGTAGTATGGTTGGGTGGAGACTCCCCAAAGTAAACATGGTAGGGTATCAATAAAAACTGAATATAAGAAAGGTGAAAGTATACTACCCTGCAGGACTCCATGTCTCGGCGTAACACCATGGGATGCTACATTTTTCATCACTACATTAACAATAATATCGTTAAATAAATTTTGAAGTAGCACTAGCAAGGGTTCCGACACAAAAGGTTGCAATGAGTCCCATATGACGTTACGATCCACACTATCATATGCAGCTTTGATGTCCAGGAAGACAACAACTGGTGGTTTGAGCGCTTGCTCTCACTCAGGGTCGGGAACAGAGTATTGCCTCATTAGTTCGTGGAGACAGAGAGCCTGGTCTAGGGTACCGCAGCTAGCGCAGAATCCTTCCTGGGCTATATCTAACTCTGGCATGGTCGAAAGGAGTTCCTCAGCCAGGCATCGCTCCAAAAGCTTCCTGAACACCGAGGTCAAGCTGATGGGCCTATAACTGCTGGGATCTGCGTGCGCTCCTTTGTTTTTGTAGATAGGTACCACCTGTGCCATTCTCCATGTGACAGGCGTCCACGACTATCTCCAACACAGCTTGAAGAGCATGTGGAGTAGAGGACCTAGAGTTGATACAAGAGGCTTGAGCATCTCTGCCCTAATATGATCAATACCTGGTGCTTTCCGTCGTGGCAAACGACGAATATCTTCTTTGACTTGGTCTACGTCCCATGGTACTTCCCTCTCCATTGGTGTAACCGCCGGTTCAGTCCGTATTTCCGTAGATCCACCAAAAACGTTTTCAAGGTGGTCGATCATGTTATTAGCGGCTGTAAGTGGTCCTTCTGGAGATGTCAGAGAAATTGGAGATTGTCGCCGAATCTTCATTCTCTTTAACGCGCTCACCATCTCTGAAGGAGCCTTTTGGATTTTGTTGCAGAAATCGTATCAGATTTGTCGTCGTGCCGCCCGAACTGCTATTCGCAGCTCTTGGTTTGCTGCAACATACAGCATGGGCTTTAATGCGTTCAAAGTCATTGCCTACCCGGCGTTGCCAATGGTAAAGTTCTTGACGCCAGTCAGCTAGGTGTAATTTGGCATTCTAAAAGTTCTTTCAAACTTTTGGTCGTGGTGACGCTCGCCCAACAGAATCATCCAAAACCTTATATATCGTCTCATTGAGACGTTCTGAATAGGTCTCCAAGACAACAGGGCACGATATGGAAGTGTCTTCAACAGTTTGTTGGATCTCTCATTGAAGTGTACCTGAACCCACTTCAAATCGTCTTTGGTATTTTTTGTAGACCTCTTCAATTTCCAGTCATTGAAGCTTTCAAAGTCGACGGACAGAGTTTTTTGTTGGGAGCTGTGGTATGAACACAGGCTGAAAGGATAGCTCACAAAGATGGTAGTCAGAGTCCAAGGCGAGTTCGTCATGGATTTTCATCTGTATATTATGGAATTGCTCCTCTCGCGACAAGAAGAAATCGATAATACTTTTGAAGACCCCACCAGATGTATGTACTCTCTTGTATGTTAGGATTCCGAAGACCAACTTCGAATTCCACAATGTTAAATCCTTACTGCTAATCCAGTTCGCCATAATTTCACTTCGTAATCCTCCTCAAGTGTCCCCAGTTGTGTGGTGTAGTCAAGCGTTGAAGTTGCCGCAAACAATGATGAAGTCGTTGACAGGTAACAACGCCAGCCGCTATTGACACTCAGAGGATGTCAATCGTGGTGGGAGGTATACACAGTATATAGTATAGGGATCGATCCTACATGATACAACGTGGGGGTTAATGATTGGAAGGGGGTGTAGATGATGAGAAAAATCTTGTTTTATAAGTAGTAAGATGCCGTCTATTGGCTTTGGCAACATTATTGGCATGGCAAAGTTGTGTATCTGGGTCCAAGGGCACTGGAGAGCAGGGGCGCTCTCAGGCAGGAAAGTCTCTGTAACAAAAAGAATATCAATATCGTTCGTCTCACAAGCATCTATCACATTCACCAATTTGGGCCGTAGTCCATTGGTGTTAAATAAACCAATCTTCAGTCTATTCATGGGTTGTGGTGATTGGCGTTTTGGTAGATTCTATGCCGTCCATGTCGTTGGTTGGGGCTATGAAGGCGGTGGTGCTGGTGATTTTTCGGCCCTCCAGGTAGTCAGAGACTGCAGTCTGCGAGATCTTTACCCCAGCCTTTTCGGACGAGAAATGGCAGATGACACTGTGACCAAGGTATGTTGCCATGCGGAGACTTGCCTTGATTAGGCGTGCGTCAAATAGGTCCTGGGTTTTTTTTGCTCTAACCTCGATGGTCTCTTCCTTCAACTTGGGATCTGCGATCACGTCTGCTGCGGTTGGGTCAAAGTTCCCCAGTGGGACAACCTTGACTTTTCCAAGCAGTGCAATGAGTTCTTCACGGAACTCTCCATTTATGAGGAGGGTGACATGGTGTGTGTTCTTTTGGTTCCACTCAGACCACGAATATCCTGCAAAGAAGTATGACGCTCTTTGCAGGATTTCCTTCAATCCCCTTGCACATGGCATACCCTTGTGCAATGTATTTCATCATTGGTACTGCTTTAATAGAGCTTTATAACAAATTGGTATAGATTGTTCACATATAAAAGTCTTCAGATGAAGCAATAATAAAACAGAATCCTTCTCTATCTTTATTTTATTGATCAAATCCTTTATTTTACTTTTGTTTATACATTTATTTCATCGTCACTGACTTATAACAACTCTTCGCAATAGTTATAAGCATGCTTCTTGTTATATTTGTTCTTTCTATACACATTTTACTACATCTTCTTACTGTTGGATAGACCCGAGCGTTATCACAGTAATTCATCTCTATCTCTCTATATATTTGCCTCCTGAACTCGTTGGCAACCCTATTTTCATTCATTATTTTTCTGACAACGTTGTACCACACCAACTCAACACTTGTCAAGGGCCACTGTCCCTCTGGCCGGGAATTGGATGTCAAGGATGTGAGAAGTGGGGATCTTGAAGGAACTGAAGATCTTTCTCATTTCCTGGTACTTAACATATCTTTTGGCCAGGAGGTAGACAAATTCGTACTCAGATGGGTTAGTGGGTTTTTGGAGGAGTTGTTGTCCCTGGACTCTGCGGACTTGGACTTTCTGCTTGGCCTGTTTGGCATCTATGCCCTTCTTGGTTTGCGTAGCATATGAAGTCTGGGTGGGTGTGGCAGTGCTACCTGTAGTGATATTGCTGCTTCTGTTGTTTTTGCTGCTGTTGTCAGTGACGGGGTTGCAGCTGGCACATCGGGTGCAATTGTTGCTGCTGTCGTTGTTCATCAGGGTTTTTGGGGCATGCTTAGATGCCATCAGTAAGTCTTTACTAGTGGGTGCAAAGGTGGCTCTGGTAGTGCTGGCGTCGTGCTTGGCGAGTAAGCTATTAAGCTTTTCCATTACTGACTGGTAGTCAGTAGCCAGTTTTTCCAAATTTCTGGTTAAGTCAGCAATGGTGGCCTTAAAGGCGGCGCGTTCTTGTTGATCTTCTGCGAGAGTCATAGCTTCGTCCCTGTTGTAGCACTACGGGAAAAAAAGTGGTCTTTTTGGTGGTCTTTTAGGTGGTATTTTAGGTGGTCTTTTGGGTGGCAGTTTTGGTAAAACCAGCAAAAAGACCATCCCTATTTTTGGAAATATAATTAGATCTCCGTTGACTGATGGATGTTAGGTTTTATTCATATCCCGATATTTAAATTTATGTATTATTCTTCTCGTTCTATTGGTAGAAAGAAAATAAAAAAGAGCTTTCTTATTGGTATAGATGGAAAAAAAGAATCTTTGTATTGTCACTCATAAAATACTTTCGTTATACTGCTACTTTTAATTGGATAATATAAACTTTATTGCAGTATGCACATTGATAGTATTGGTCATTTAAACAAAAGCATTCTCTCAATTGGTTCTCATATATATATTCTGATTCATTCACAGTTTTAATTGGGCAAAAAAAATTTATTTCATAGAAGATCATTATTTAAAAATGTTTTTATTGGTTGTTATAATAGAAATAATATTTTATTCATGAATCGTACTGGCTAAAATTCCTTCAGATTATTACATATTCTCACATTAATTACACAATTTATTGTACCTACCAGATATGAACTTACCAGAGTATTCTCGCTTCTTACGCCCTCTCCAGAGCTGGCTAACCCTTGCAATTGATGCCCAGTTTCTGTGGCATCTGGTAAAATCGATTCCATTGTCTCTGAGTATGATGGAATGATTGATACACAGCCTGTTTTTATCCTCTTGAGGAAGCAATGACCAGCCAGGGTTTGTTCCAAGATCCTGAACAGATGGAAGAGCTGCCAGTTGATCACATATGACCTTGGTACATGTGTTAACAATTCTCTTGGTTTCCTCGGTCAATTCTATTCTAAGATTGTCTGTTATCATCTTGTATATATGCTTTAAAGTTATATCGTTGATTTTTGATATGGGTCTTGGAATGATGCCAGTAAGAGTCTATTATGTTTGACATTAATTGAAAGGACTTTAGTTGTTATAGTATTTGCTTACACTGGTAGAGGTTACAATAGTTCTATCTGGAAATTCCCGATCTTTAAATTCATTGTAAAAACTTGTCATTTGAAGTTGCATTGCATCTTGTCTTTTTTCTAATGCTTCTTGACGGCCTAGCAATGCTTCTTGACCACTCTTTAGGGGAATAAGTGCAGCTTGTATTCCTTGAAGCAACTGAATCACTGTATTGTCTGTATTGTTCATAATTGTAAGAAAAAATCAGTTACGTGTTTGTTATAGAAAAAGAAAGAAAGAGAAAATTTTTTACCAGAAACTATTATTAGTTTCAAATCTTTAGCTTCAATTTTTTAGCTTCAAATTATTAGTTTCAAATTATCTGTACAAATCTATTGGTTACTCCTGAAGAAACATTGATCTAGTAACTTCACTGATGACATACAGATACTTCTTTAAGATCCCGAGCATATATTCAGAATGCATATAACATCATTGTCTTTATATAATTAAGTATAAAGCTATACATTCAGAAAGTAATTAATTCTATTCTTACTTATATAACAAAGTTTTTTTTTTACCTACCTCAAACATGTCCAAAATTACAAAAGCCCCTCGTTACCAATGCCGTACTTGCAAGTCGACCTTTAATAACAGTCGAACATATAAAAGATGTCTCGAACGATGCATGACAAATAGGGCAGAATTACTTGCCAATGGCGAAGTTTCCCAAACTGTCTCTCTTCCTGATCAAAGCCAGTTTACATCAGCAATGGTTCCTAACTTGGCTTTTGGGTAAGCTTATCAAAAGCAAAAACACAAAACGATAGACAGTATATTAATTAGCTGTATACTTTGATAAACAAACAGAGAAAACATCAACACAAGCAGTAGTGAGGATATGGATATCATTGACAGTACTGAAGATGATGAGTCCATGGTGAGATACATAAATACATATATTATGATAATCATACTTATTGTTGTTTATCTTACTATAGTACGATTTTGGAGAAGAATGCGAGAATGTCATTGACGAAATTGAAGGCACCACACCCTCGCTAGTCTTTGATTTTAGCCAGCCTCTTCCTGTTCCCAGCAACGATGATAAAAAGAATCTCGCGTTCATGCAGTTGATCCAAGAGTTCAGAATTTCTTGTCGAGCCCACGAAAAGATTGTAGAACACTTCAACCAGATCCTTGATTGTTCTATCAATATTACGTACCGAGCATGCAGCCCACACCTTGGAAACAAGCTTCTTGAGCGCTTCTCGGGTATCAAAGCAGACGGATACGACATTTGCATCAGAGGTTGTATGCAGTTCAACAACGAGAATGATATCGCATGCGTAAAATGCGGTGAAGCAAGATACAAAAATGGCCAAACTAGCGAAAGTGACACCAGGGTTCCTGTGAGATCGATCGTACAGCTTCCTTTGGCCAGACAGCTTGCTTTGTGCTTGGCTGATGACAAGACCAGGGCTGAAATGCTCTATCGTCATAACCACCAATCCAGCCAAGACGGGCAGAAAGCAGATGTTTTCGATGGTCATGTATACCAATCCATGAAGCATCTGTTTTCTGGTGAAAACGATATTGCAATTTCGTTGTCCATGGACGGGTTCAACCCACACAATGTACCTGGATCAGTAACCATTGTTCATGCAACTGTCTTAAACTTGAATCCGACGATCCGTTATGAGAAAAACAGGATGATCCAAATAGCAATGCTTCCTGGTTGCACTGGTCCCAGTGACATCTGGTCTTTTCTTGAGCCAACGCTGAGAGATCTCCGTTTGCTCCAGACAGAAGGCATGGAAGTAAAGACACCGACGACAACGATCAGGGCAAAGGTACATGTCCTCATGGCCACTGGCGATATTCCAGCTCTGGCAAAGCTGGCATGCCATGTTGGCTACACGAGTAAGAATGGCTGTCGTATTTGTCACGTAGTGGGCCAAACTCCTAAACATGGCCAGTACTTCCGCATGTTGCCTGGAACCCAGACGCGCTCACTGGAGAGTTTCAGAAACTACAATCTGGCAAGCAGTGAAGACAGAAAGGGGCTCAATGGTCAGTCACCGTTAGCCTCAATGGAAACATTCTCTGGCCCATTTTTTTTCGCATTAGATGAGATGCATGGTCTGTGCCACGGAATTGGTAAACAGGTATGGGGACTTGTACGCGGAAAGTATGGAATCAAGCATCCTCTATGTCTTTCTCTTGCCACTCAAAGGGAGATTGGTGCTGCAATGGTAGCCGCAAAATCCACAATCCCTACATCGTTGCATGGTGCCTAGAGAGACGTGACAAAGAATGCCGGTTTCTTTAGAGCTGTGGATTGGGCAGACTTTTTACTCTTTGTTGTCCCCACGTTGGTTGCAGAGCGTGTCCAGGACTTGGTTGCCCGAAATGCATTACTTGGCCTGGTTCAAACATGCAATTTACTCATGAGCTGGGAGTTATCAGCAGAGGATCAAACCTCGATAAGAAGGTATGTTTAATGCCATATTTTATTTCATTTTTCATAGTAATTTACTTTTACCTTTTTTCTTAGTAATCTTGTAGAATGGAACTTATTCCTAGAGAGTCTTCTTTCTACAGCAGATATTGACATTGGCGTGTTCACAATTAACCAGCACATTATTCAGCATTATCCTCAGATGATTGATCTATATGGCCCGCCAAGAGCATATAGCATACAATCCGTGGAAAGAGCCATTGGTGAGTACTCCAGGTCCATCAAGAGTAACTCCCAAGTCAGTGTCAATGCTGGAAACATCATGATCAGACTGGCGCAATCCCGGCGTATAGCGGAACTGACAACCGTTGCAAACACAAAAACTCCACCAGCTAACCTTCTAGTTTACAGTGCATATACCGATGGGTGGCCTGTTACAGAAGGAGGTGATCCTGCCAATGCTGAGTGTGAGATTGAGTTCTGGGGGCCTTTGAAGAATTTAACAATTTTCGATAGCTTTGAAGATAGATCTCATCTTTCATTGCTTCTTAAAACGTTTTATGATTTGAAGGGGGAAGAATTTAGTATGCTTGAGCCTTCCATAAAGACAAGCCGCAAGGCCTATCTTAATGGTTGTGTTATTGACGCTGCATTCAACCAAAGTTCTACAAGAGAGGCATGTCATGTTCATGTGCAGCTACAAGTGGACATGAACTCCAGAAGATCCCGCTCTTACCGTCCAGGATATAAGCATTTCTTCGGAAAGGTGGTTATATTCTTCCAACATGTACACAACTCGAAGAGATGGCCACTAGCTCTCATAACCATATATAGTGTGCATTTGAAAAATGGATTGCCTATTACATCTGTAGTAAAGCCGAAGACTATAGTGATTCATGCCAGTGACATTGTAGAGTTGGTTGGCTTGGTGCCATCAAATGTCAATGGTAGCCATTACATCATTTGGCCTAGCCTTAAACGTGGCCCAAAATTGACACTTGGTGCCTTAAGTGATATATAATTTGTTTTTTTTTTCTTTTTTTTCAAATTGTCTTAACAAATTTTATTCAAGCAGCAGAAAGTTTAGATATTTTCTTTTTTTTTATTTCTGACATCCAATATTTCTCAATTCTAATATATATTTACCAAAAATGTAAGATGTTTAATTAGAATGGACATTTGTCTCTCCTGAGATTTAATTTTAAGCGATTCATTTGCTTTTTATCAACTATTTCAAAGAACAAAGATTTTCTTGTTTCAACTTGAATTTTTGGTGATTTTTTGATTATTATAGGCCAAAAATGAAGTCACAAATTCAAAAAAGACCACCTTTTTCCCATAGTGTTTTATAAAATTTTTGTTAACTCCAATAACAACATTACTAGAGAGATTGAATGACATATGTTCTGAGTTCTTCAGAATGATATGCATTATGAGAACAAGAAAAATAGAGTTGCTATATGTGTTCAATAGTGATGAACCTGTCAATTTCATCCAGAAGTATGATCTCAGCAGTGGGTCCTGCCAAAAGAATGCATCCAGAGAAGATGTGTGCAATATTAATGAAGAAGATTATATTTTATTGATAGACAATAAATAATTTTCTCCTAGTTCTTCTTTGCCAGAGAAAGCAGAGGGCAAGAAGAGAGATTCTTCTTATGCAAAGCTAGTTAAAAACAGAGAGAAACTGATAGAAAGAAGTTGAAGGTGATGAAGACAGCAGCCAAACTCTTGTGAGATAAGAAGCATGCAATTCAAGAAGCACACTTTAATACTGCCCGAGAAGACTGAAAAGCTCAGTTGCAGAAAGACAGAGAAGATTGAGAGGCCCAACTAAAGAAGAACAGAAATGAAAGAGAAGCACAGCTTGAGAAGGAGAGAGAAGATTATTTGAAGAAAGAGAAATTTAATGAGAGCATGAAAGTACTAGTTGAGAAAGCAATGTTGTTTGCTTGGGACAAGAAAAAAGTAGACATGGAGTACAAGAAATGTTATGATAGAAGAAATAATATTAATTAATATGATTTTCTTTTATCATAATTAATAAACTAAGATATTTTTTATATGTTCTACTTATACTTTATGTAGATATTTGCATGTATTTTAGTATAGTTTATAATGTAGACAGTTTATTCTATTATGATGCAATTGGAGATAAACATCTAAGTTTTTGGCACTTTTTCAAACATATATATGACTTTTGCAAACATTACGTTATTGTAAAGCTAGACTATAGAAATGATAGATATAAGTATCATCTATTGTTTTCACAGTCCAGATTTTTTCTGGCTGCTCTAGATAAAAAGTCATATACCTTCAAAGTTGGGAAATAACAGTAGATATATAGTGGAGTTTAACTTTTTTTACAAAATTGAAAAAAAAAACATATACAATTATTACTAACAGAATTTAAATATGCTTTCTAATATAGAAATGTATGCTAATGTGACTTCTTTTTCCTTTTATGCCTTTAAAATTTTTAGTTTACCATATATAAAAATGTGTGCATTTTACTATTGGAGTTTTCTCAAGAGAAAATTGAAATAAATTTAACAACTTCGATACTTATTCCCAATTACACTATAGAAGAATAGAATAGCATTAATTTTTAAAAAAATATAAGACTGAAAAGATACATTTATTAGAGTATAATAATATTAATGGCTCAAAAAAAATAGTATTTAAAAGTATATTTATAAAAAGAACAGAACAACATCAATATACAAAAATAACACAAGAGTTAAAAGATAAACTTATTAGAACACAATGATATAAATAACTGAAAAATAAGTAAGATTTTAAAAAAGTATACTTATAAAACAGAAAAAAACAAAAGAAATATATATATTACTCAGTTAGAAAAGATTATTCTCTATTAACTGTAAGTATAACTACTTTAGGTTCTTTGTATTTAATTTCCCTAGTTATACCTACAGGACTCCAGCTTTCATTTTTGTTATTGTTTTTGGGGCTCTCTCTCTCTTCTTAAAACTGCCTAACCTCCTCCAACTTCAATGTATATCATTTGCTCTTCATCTTTATTGCAATTGTGTCATAAGATTGATTCATAAAAAAATTGTTTAGTATAATACATACTGAAATCCAAATATTAACAAATATGTCATCTTTCTACCCTTTGACTTGGATGCGAATACTCTAAAGAAAATAAAATCTTTCTTTGAGTATTCCAAACACATAGTCAATCTTTACATGTATCATTACCATGTAGCACTACGACAAATAAGGGCGGTTTTTTATATTTGTGACTTTGTTTTTGGCCTATAATAATTAAAAAATCACCAAAAATCCAATTTGAAACTAGAAAATCTCTGTTTTTTGAAAAGGTTGAGAAAAAGCAGATTAACCACCTAAAATTAAATCTTCTGATAGACAAAAGTATATTTTAACTACAGATTTTACATTTTTAGTAAATGTAGATTGCAATTGATGACTATTAAAAGTCAGAGATAAAAGAGAGAAAAATATCTAAACTTTTTGCTGGGAGGATAAAATATGTTAAGACAATTTGAAAAAAAAATTATAAGTCTGCAAGAGAACCAAGTGACAGTTTTGGGCCGCGGTTAAGCTCTGGCCACACTACATATGTTGTTGCTGTTGTTGTTATTGTGTTTATAGTCGCGTCTGACTGCACCAAACCAACTAATTCTTTGACATCTGCCAGGTGAACTACCATTGGCTTCATTTGCTCATTGTTGATTGCTGGTATACTATTTACCAAATGAACTGCATAAACATTGACAAGGACAAGCGGCCACCTCTTGTTGTTGAGCTTGTGCTCAAAGGAAACGACAACCTTCCCAAAGAAATCCTTGTAGACTGGAGAGTAGCTTTGCCCCAATGTTGCGGTTCTCATCAACCTGAACCTGAAGTCTGACGTTATGTGTCTCTCTTACACAATTATGGTCGAGTGCAGAGTCAATAACACAACCATTTACAAATGCCTTACGGCTTGTTTTAATGGCTGCTTCAATCATATTACACTCTTCCCCCTTTGATTCATAGAACTTTTGAAGAAGCTCTGGAAGACAAGAAATGCCTCCAAAACTATTAACAATCGTTCTGTTCCTCAAAGGCCCCCAGAACTCAATGTCAGAATCAGTACCAACATTACTACCTTCTCGGTCAATTGGCCAACCAGCAGAGGGATTGTCATACTGAAGGAGAGTTGTTGATGTTACTGTTGCTGTTGTCATTATTGAATTTTCAACTCTCATCTATCAAATCTGTGTCAAGCCAAGCATGATGTTGCCAGCATTGATTCCAATTGCTGAATTACTCTTTATTGCTCGTGAGTATTCCCCAATCGCCCTCTCAACAGATCATGCACTATACGCTCTGGGGAACCATATGCTTCTATCATTGTGGGATAGTGCTGCAGGAGGTGCTGATTGATTGTAAAAACCTTGAGCTAGCAAGGCTTCCAGATACGCATTCCATGCGACGAGATTTCTAAAAAAAAAGATAAGTTAACACAAGTTATAAAATAATAATATTAATTATAATTAAAGCTTACGTTTTGATCAAGGTTTTCTTCTCTGCTGATAACTCCCAGCTCATGATTAGGTTGCATGTCTGCACCAGGTCAAGCAATGCCTTACAGGCAGCTTGGTCATGGACACGCTCTGCCACAAGCGTGGGGATAACAAACAAGCTGAAGTCAGCCCAGTCCACAGCCCGGAAGTACCCTGATCTTGTTGCGATGTTGATCCATGCACTGTGGAAAGATGTTGGAATACTTCTTCTGGTTAACACCATGGCAGTACCAATTTCTTTCTGAGCAGCAAGGGAGAGAGAGAGAGGATGATCTTTTCCATACTTGCCACACATGAGCCCCCAGACCTGTTTGCCAATGCCATGACAAATGCTGTGCATTTCATCCAATGCAAAGAAGAATGGACCAGAGAAGGAATCCAGTAAGGAGAAGGGAGATTGGCCAGTTAACCCTTTTTTGCTGGATGAGGCCACCTTATCAAAGTGCTTGAAACTTTCCAGTGTGCACATGGTGATGGCAGATGTCATTCGGAAATATTGGCCATGGCCAGGAGATTGACCCACAACATGGCAGATGTGGCAGCCATCCTTACTCATATGGCCCACATGACAAGCCATCTTTCCCAGAGCTGGAATGTTGCCAGTTGTCATTAGTACATGGACTTTTGCACTAATATCTCCAGATGGTGTCTTTACAACCATTCCACCAGCTTGGAGAACCCAAAGTTCTTTCAGAATAGGCTCCAGGAATGACCAGAAGTTGGCGGGTGCTTTGGGACCAGAGATGATCGCAACTTGGATCATACGGCTGCACTCGTAGCAAATCATTGGGGGAAGGTTGAGGTTGGTAACGTGGACAATGGTTACCGAACCCGAAACACTATGGGGAGCAAACCCATCAACAGACAGCAAAATGGTGATGTCGTTTTCACCCGAGAAAAGACGCTTCTTTGACTGGTATGCCTGTCCATCAAAGACATTGGAAATGCTGCCATCAGCCTTTTGCGTATGATGGTGGCAATACAACATCTCTTTTCTGGTGCAGTCGTTGGCCAAAGCAACTGCAAGCTGTCTACCCAGAGGAAGCTGTATCATTGTGCTGGCAGGAATTGGATTCTCACCAGTGTCTTGGCTTCTCTCGCCGGTCTTGTAACGGACTTCGTCACAATGCAGGCACTCCATTTGCTGATCGTTGTTGTACAGCATACACCCATTGTGACAAACGTGGTATGTCTCCTCATCGACACCAAGAAATTGAGAAAGAAGCTTGGTACCAAGGTAGGGAGTGCAAGCTCTATATGATATCTCACTTGATCTGCTGAGAATTTCATTGAAGTGTTTTGCCAGACTAATGTGGGCCTTCTGGGAAATGTCAAACTCCTTTATGATCTTCATAAGCTTGAGATTCTTTGCATCGTCATAGCCAGAAACAGGAACAGGAGCACTAAAGTCATAGACCAACTGAGGAGGAGTATCATCAATGGCATTTTCAGTAACATCCATGATTGCTGAATCATTTTCCATAGAATCCTCATGTTCAATATCATACTTTAATAAGATAAACAATAATTAGTACATTGGATACATTTGTATATTTATCTTTCTTACCATGAGCTCATCAATTTTGTTGATAATGGAAGGAGTAATATCCTCGTCAATGCTCATGTTGGTGCTTTCTCTGTTTAATTATTAAAGAATTAATATATTTTATTTAGTTGCATCATTATAATTTGTAGACTTACTCCAAGGTTGAGCTAGATGCGAAATTCAAGATAAGATTACTCTGCTCAGAAACAGAAGCAACTTGCAAACTTTGGGTGTTATTCATCTCTTTATAAACTTTTTCCAGGCACTGAACTTCACACTTGGCTACAAGTTTCTTGTTTGTGTAGCGTTTGTGGCAGATACTGCACTTGTGGTGGGAAAGCTTTGTGATTGTAGACATTTTGTTAATTTTAATTTATTCTTTTGAAGTATGGGTAAGAATAGAGATATTCGCTTTCAAGTCTGAACTCTTTTATAATGATTAACTTGAAGACAATAATAGCACAGTAACTTGAATATAAGCTTAGAAGAAAAAAGTAAAACATATATATATCATGTTGTCATGTAAGCACGGTAAGCAAAATTGATATTCACTGAAACCAACTCAATAGATTCAATCTATATTGCTATGAAACTAATAATAGATAATTGAAAATTTTTTTCTTTATATCTTATTTTCACAACAACATCTTTTTTCTCAGGTAAACAATATTCGCAATATAAATGACACAGATAACATCATCAAATCTTTACTCCTAGCCATTCAGCTCCAGTTATCTGTCTTACATGCCAGTCAAAAACAAATTAAGATGGATATTAACAGCCTTGGAAATGAAATAATGATCAAAGGATCTCCAAAGCAAAATCTCTCTTTGTTTATTAATGTAAGTTCAACTCAAAACAGTATTGCTGAAAACTAACTTTAACTTCAATAGACTTCAAGTGAGTTTATTTTCAAATCTGTGATCAACATTCGTAATGTCACTTTAGAACATGTTTACCAAATGATGAGTCAACATCTTGGAATCAAGGTTACAGCATCCAAAAAAGCAACACTCAGGACCTGTACGAAACTTGTATGTAATGAGTTAGCCACCCTTCCTTCTGTACAAGCTTTTGGCCCTCGTCCTAGTTGGAGGTCCATATCTTAATGTGATCAAACAATGATTTGCAATAAACATGCAAACATGCTTAAGAGGGTTGGTGTAAATTTCGCCAGATGCCATCAAAATTGGGCATCCATTGCAAGAGTCAGTCATCTCTGGAAAGATCATCAAAGGAGGCAATTGTAAGTAACTATCCACTGCAGCGTAAAGTAGTATATTTAATGTTAAAAATATATGATGTATTTGACTGTTTATGACTAATAAAAATGATGTATAAAATGTAATGTCTATCATAACAGCCAATAAAAGTGATATATAAAATGTAATTCTGTAATAATAACTAATAAAAACAATAAATAAAAAATATATCCATTTGAGAAACCAATAAAAATGTATTTTTATAAAATACACTACAGTGCAATTATGTCTTATCCAATAAAAACAATGATTAAGCAAGAGATATTTAAAAGAATCTAAATTAAAAGAATAATAAATTAATAGTAACCAATGACATATAATATTTCAACTATACTTAAAGAAGTTTTGTTCAATTGAAAGACAAATATTAGCAAAAGAAAAGGTTATCAATATATTAATAGAATCTTAAAACTACCAGTAAGTGGAGATGTATTAAAATGCACATGAACTCAGGGTTGGAAAAAAGGGGGGAGGACACAAAACGCGCCCTGGCTTCCCCTCCGGAACCACCTGTGAAACCACCTCTAAAACTCCTATTTGTTTTGGTGTAGTGTAGATATTGAACTTCTTGTCTGGTTTATGCATTGGCTGGTTCCTTGGTTTCATACAGACTGAAACCATGTAGTTGGTGACTTTATATCTACTATCTGCAGGTACATACTGTTCTTCAGAGAAGTACTTTCTTACATTTATTCTCATAGAAAACTCTGATAGGAGTCTCATGTCATGGGAGCTTCCAAAGTAGTCCGTGGAAGACATATCTTCTTATTGTGCTCACATACAGCAAGTTTATTCCCACAATAAATGGATTTTCTGACATAGAACCCATCTCTCTTCAAAGATGGAACACATATGAGATTAAAGATACAGCCATTAATAAATCTAACAAGATTGGAAATCTCAGACGATTCTTATTTTCTTTCATTATAGTTTGCTTTTTGAACTTAGATGACTGGAAGAGAAAATCATCTCCTATTAAAATTATTACTGCAAAGAAATAAAGAATAAAGTTTTCTACATTTATCTCTAGTTGATTAAAAAGATTTGTATATAGTATATTCTCTTAATAATTGCAAATTTCAAGATTTGTGTTAAGTTTTTTATTTCAAATGCGAATATATGAAAATGATATTAAATGTTCATCCATTTTAAAAAAATTCTAGATATTGAACTTTATGCAGTCACAACTTCATATATTCATGACAGAAGATTTTTTAAATACTGAGTGATACATAGTATTACTATATTAGGCGTTTGATTCTTCTTGTCTGGAACTATAAATGGAAAATCTAGTATCAATATTTCCTTTTCTCTGCTATTAAATTCAAATACTGCATTCTTTCAAGACCTAAAAAGTGGTCACAAATGATAAAACTAATACTGTAGAAAATGAATTACAAGTATTTTTTACATAAATTTTAGGGGACAGAGAGTTTTTGGATGATGGGGACAGGGTGTTACACAAGCTTATAGTAAGTAGTCTGGCAGATAATTAGAGGCGTAACTACTTTTAACTTATCTGGCAGACATCCATCGTTTCTGTGTGTAACACCCTGTCCCCCAAAAAACAGTCACCCTCTGTCCCCATCCAGTATAATCACTTGTCTTTATTCACTAAAAAAAATCATGCAAAAGTGGAAAAACTTTTGTTTGTAACTTTTCATTTTCATTTTTATTTATTTTTAAAAAATTCATAACTCGTTCAAAAAAATAGATAGAAATATGAGAGTAGGATGGTTAGTTTTGTTGATTTTTTGAATCACATTTAATGAGTGAATTACAAAAGTTCTGTACATTTCATTTGTGAAAGATTGAATAAAAAAACAACAATTTGAAAATATTAGTAAAAATCACTTGCAAATACTTTATATCTATAGAAAATAGTAAAAAAACATTTCAGCAAAAGTTTTAGACCATATTATTATGTAGAAAAGATATTTATTAGCAAAAACAATCTATCTCAAATGGTTAAAAATGTGAAAAAAGTGTATATTTTTCTTGTTTATTCAACCAAAACATAATAAATTAACTTCAAATTTTGAATATAGAGATGTAAATATTTTTTCAGCAATACAGCAAAATATCCAAGCTTTAGCATTCGAATTAAGACAGAAATCTATCAAAAGCTATGCGTTGTTTCTGTTTTACATCTTTTATGATAAAATTCATGTCTGTGATTGGATAAAGATCTTAATCAGATTGCTTATAAATACACAGACTTTGTACTCCAAAAAATAAAAGCCAATTATATAGTCTTCCAATTAGTTGGATGCCAATAATATTCGTATCTGGGTTTTACATGTAACATTAAAATTAAAGGCAGACTGAGTGCAATTGTGTTTGTTAAAAAATTAAAGAAAAAAATAGGAGTAAAGTATATTAAAAAATAGAAAGATAGATAAGTTATATATGTGGGAGATCAATAATATCAGAAGAGTTTATGGGAGAATTTGTAGGAGAGTTAGTGACAGTAGTAGTAATTGTAGTAGTTGTAGTAGTAGAGCGTAAAAGATAAGACTTGTTCTTTGGGAACTGACCCCAATGATTCTAACTTGTGGAAAAGCAGTCAATGATACTCCCTTTGCAGATAGCATCAAAATACAGCTCATTTACCTCAGGCCTGGACTGATGTACATGAGGCTTCACTTTAATTGTTGTCTAGTAGCACTTATGTACATGGTGCAAGATCATTGGCAATGGCTTTCTTTTGAGAGGCTTCCAATCATGGAGGGGAAGGAAAGTTACAGACAAGATGTTCTGATCGTCCAAATACATACAAACAGACTCGTTATAGATGTCAGCTATTATGTGAGCACAGTCTGGAGCAGAGAACCACATAGAGGAAGGGCAAAATGGGATATTTTCTCCAAGAGCAGGATCAATCTTGGAGCCAAAGGCAATGACCTCTGTCACTTTGGCAACATCCATGCCAAAGTTTTACTCGTAAAGTTTACTGTGGGTTACCATCGTGGCCAACATCTTCTTCACCAAAGGAAACTGATCCTCTTAACCCTCTTTCAGGTGTGCAAATACATGGAAACCATACCAACCATCAGACTTGGGGTTAAACATCAACAAAATGGCAACTTGGTTGATTTGAGCAGACAGAGCAAAGTCATGCACATTTTTGTTTTGGTTTTTTAGACTAGGCAAATTGTATCAGTAGTCGTCTTGGAGATGTTTAGGACTTTTAAGTTTAGAGGAATATTTTTCAGCTAAGAAGAAGCAAGAAAAATGTAACATTTAGCATTTAATTTCAGTAAAATATCTTATTAGTTACCTTCTTCAAGAGGCTCTTGCTTTTTAGCAAATTGGATTTCTTTTTTTATTTCTTTTATGACTAGAAATAGTAAGCATTGGATATTATATTGTAATTTCACAAAAAAAACAATTATAAATTACTTTTTTTGAGAGGCTTCTTTTCTAAGAACTCCTTCATCACTTCTTTAAGTCCTTCTTTCAAAATACTTCTGATATCATTCTAAAGAAATAAAGAATAAATATGTATTAGATTGTGAAATCATGTTTGTGTATGTTGCATGCTTACTTTGTTCTTTTGCACAAGGAGATATCTGTGCTTGTGACGGACAAAGTCCTTTGGGAAAGTAGTTTTCCTTTTGATGTGCTTAGATCTTCCAGGAGCTTTGACCTCACTTGCCAAAGGAAATACAACATTTGGATGGTCAATTATTTCACCAGCATTGTCAACAAGTTCATCAACCATTGCCATAAGATTCTGGACTTGTTGATTCCCTTCACACTGATGAAACAATTGTTCAAGCTTTGTTATACATTTCACCCATGGGGCAGGCTTTTCAACATCGATTTTCTGTAGAGAAACGTCACATTCCAGTTGCTTCAAACATTCACCCAAAGAAGAAGACAGAATCCATCTTTCAGGAATGTCTGATAATAGCAACATACGATCTCTTGGCAGATCATGGCGACAAGAAAGACCAAACACCACTTTTACTCTGCAATTGCAAAGCTCACCAGGTAGAACATCTTCTAGAAGCTCAGCACAGATGGTGATCAAACCAATTCTGGAGACGTGGTGAATCAATCCACGGAGGCAAGGTTCATGGTATATTTTGGCATCTGTGATAGTTGCCTCATTCAACTCAAGGTCCTGATAGTCACCCTTGAACTGGAGAAGATATGAGCAAATTTGCTTAAATGAAAAGTTCAATGACTGAAGAGCCGGGATTTTTCTTTTCAGATTATTATGGCTACTCTCGACATGTTGTGTTATCACATAGTCAAAATGTTTTAATTGACTAGTGAGGTAGCCAGCCCACTTTTTCTTGCACGGCATCTGCTCATCTTCAAAGTACTTTTCCAGAGTTCTTTTTTCTATAATCTTCGTAGAATCATCATTATTGTCTTCCAGCTGCTCTTTACTTTGGAAATCTTTCCGAGATGACAGCGATTTGAAAAGCTCAAGATTTTCATCAAAGACATTGCGTTTATCTCTGAAGATCATTTTGTTGACTAAATGTGTGTACAACTCTTTTTCTTTTCCTGGCTTCATTGTTTTTTTTTTGTCATTTTGGCAATGTTGTTGATCATATGCCAACCACACAGAAGCTTCTTGGCCAAGGGGAACTCGGAATCAAGCGCATTCATCAATGCTTTACATTTGTCTATAACAAATATAGGGGCTTTATCAACCTCCACCAAAACAATTGCTTTCAGAGACTTCACAAACCAAACATAGCTCTTCTCTATCTCATCGGCTACCCATGCAAAGGCCACAGGAAAGCTCTTCAACCTTTCTCCACCTAGGTTACTGACACCCTCTACGCAAACCAATGGCATCTTCACACAGTTTGTCTTGTATGTAGCATCCACAATAAAGACATTGGGGAAACATCGAGCTCTCTTGATCATTATATCGTTTGTAAAAAATATATGAGTGAGTCTATTTCTCTCATTAAACTCGTAGAGAACAGAAAATCCCTTTGCTTCCATTGTTCTGATGAGCTCAGTAGTGCCATGGGCAGACTCCTCATCACCACGAGTAGCACTGTATTTGAGATTGTTGATATTGCTGATCCTCAGCTTTCTCATTCCTGTCACCTTGTCACTTGTTGCCTTCTGAACATCATGGGACTTGGCATGATTCTCCAACATTGTCTTTGCAATAGTGGCATCTTCAGCAGTCAAAAGAGACATTCTTCCTTGGTGAGAAGAAGCCAAATTCTCAGGGGTGACAGGGTGGTTATGGCAATGTTCGTTTTCCCCATAGGTGGGCAAAGGAAGATATCTTTCGCTCTTCTCCTTATAAGAAAATCTTAAGAGATAGGGGCATCCAGTAAGAGAAGAGTTGGGCGTCTTCTTTCTTTTCTCATCACTTATATTGCGCTTGTCACGATAAACACCAGCCTTTGAACAAGCAATGTGAAGAATAGGGAATTTTCTGTTCTTAATCTTAACGGTGAAGTTATTAGAAAGGGCGTAATTGTTTACGGCTTGAAGAACACTCTGCTTGTCAGGATAACCATTCTCGGGGAATGAGAGAGTTGTTTTAAGTGAGTACATCTTCTCAATAGGGGTATTGAAGTTGGTGTTCATATTTAATAAAAGAGCACTGTAGTTATATAAGTATTTTTATTGATTCATATACGCAATGTACGCAATGTATGCAATGTATGCAATGTACATAACGTAAAAAAGGCATCATATCTTGTTATTTGGAAATATTATTTTTTATTCTTACAACTACATATTAATGACTTTAAGAAAGGGGATGTTTTTATTTTTCTTGAGAAATTGGAATGATTTAAAGATGGGAACAGGAGGTTCTTCAAGACACTTTATAGCCAGGCCTTAGACTTGCAGTCATCTTATATTATGTGGTGCCGTTACCCCCGTTCCCTAAGATCACTGATTTTTTTATACTCATAACTTTCTGCTCAAAACTTGTAACTCGAAAAGTCCAATATGCACTTACTAAGCTTAGTATGTACTAAACTTATTTTAGTACGCAGAAGCTGCTTTTAAAACAGAATTGTCTTATTTTTAAGCCAGAAGACCATTTTAGATAAATATAGTAGTTAAAACTGCTTATCAGACTACAAAACTAGGAAAAGAACAAACATGGCCTACAGACTACTTATATTTTTAATTTGAAGTTAAAGAAGCCTTTGCCACCAAAAAGTAATGACTGTGATTACTTTTTAATGCATTGTTGTTTTTTTATTTTGTAAAAGTCTTTTTTAATTCTACTTTTTCACAAGGTCTAAATTATTAAAGATCTCTAAAAAAACACACTTAATAACTAGGAGGGCTAGTATTAATAAAATATGAATCAGCAAAGTTGACAAAAGAAAATAACTTGAGAAGAATTGACAGAAAAATATCTGCATCAAGTACAATTTGGTTGGCAAGATTGCTTGCATGCTCATTAAAGATCTCAGTAGATTTCAAGAATTGCAGAGAATCTGTCCTGTTTTTTCAGAAGTAGGAATCAGATATAATAATGTTAACACAAAGCAGGTTTATACTCTTTGATTAAAAGAATCAATTAAAGAATATACATGCCTTCATCAATATCATAATACTTTGAAAATAGTTTTTTTTGATAAAACAATATAAAAAATATCATATAAAAATAGATATATATATATATTATTTAATGAATGTATAGCTTAAGCTGTTACTAAATATCATAAAATTTAGTACTTCTTCTTTCTATACTTCTTTATATTCAACTTGTATTATTTTGATGAATAAAAACCAAAAAAAAATCAATATAAAACATCATGCATTTGTTGAACCAATCATAAAGAGAATACAAATACCTAAAAAGGTATAGATCTGTCATATTTAAAATATATTTTATTGGCTTAGATGCAAAATAATAGAAAATCCCATAAATTGTATTTGACAAAAAGTAAAACTAATAGGCTAAAACAAGCATGTTATTGGCTATAAAAGTTACAAGTTTGTAACTTGTTACGAGGTTGATATGTTAAATACGGACTTTTAAATAGCATAAGTTACAAACTCGTAACTTGTTACGAGATCGGAGATGTAAATCCTGCTATTTCCTAGTGTAAACAGAAAAAAATATTCAGTTTTGTTATTTCCAACAACACTTTTTAGGCTTTGAAAAAAATAATTGGAGTACAATTGTTTTTGTTTATTATAAGAAAAATACACTATATGTATTAATTTAGTATATTTATAAGTTTCATTCAAGTATTATTTTCATTTACTTTTTTCTACCACCAGATCTTCTGACAATTTGACTATATGATACATCTTTGCCATTTGATCTCAATTGCTCAAGAACAATAGTGAGCTAAAGTCTAATATCAGTCTGTTCTAAAAATAGATAAGATTAGTAGAGTCTATGACCCTTTACTATATTGCAAAGCTTTTTAAATGATATCTTGCTCATTCTGACTTCTTTTAGAAAATCATCTTCATTCATAGAATCCAGGAAATCAATTTTCTTATCTTTTGTTACCAGTTTTGAGATGTTGTTCTTTCTCTTGTGTAGATATCTACACGAGTCAAGATACTTCACAAGTTCATTATCAGATTCATTGTCATCAAGAAACAGCAAATACATCTGGGCAAAATCACTGTATATTTTACTGACCATATCTCCAATCAGAGCAAGATTCTCTCAGTCTGAAATATTCTGTTTCAATGCATTGTTTACATTTCTGCAAGACTCTTTGAGCTCACAACTTGCTTCTTCTTTTTTATTGTATTGTGACATATTTATATTAAGTTTAATAGAAAGAGATATATACTTTATATTATTTATAAAATTTGTCAATTTAAATGATAGTGCTGAGTTATTATAGTATAACTAGATTATTTATTTAAAAAATTGTATCTATCATGTATATTATAGCTGAGTCTTATATTGTCTAACTTTTGTACCAAAACGTGTTTGTCTGAAAACTAGGGACAAAATTTGGAACAAAATTTGTATTCTTTTAACTAATTATATCTATTAAAAAAACATTAACAAAATACTTATTCAGAGTTTTTCTGTCTGTCTATCACTATTATCAAATTAGATAACTTGGTCCTTAAGCCGAAAGTCGCGGTTTTAATATAAGTACTCATTAAAACCCAGTCCATCTTATATTCTTCAAAAGTACCTGCTTTATAAAGGCCACAATAATGATAGAGTATATATGCATTGCAGAATTTTTTATACAGACTTCTGACAGAATATTTGGTCATTTTTAACTCCCGCCAAGACTCTTCAACTTATATTGTAGCTTTAAATTTATGATAAAAGATAGTAAAGTTCTATAAATCTCTGGTACTCTCACAGATAACTGTATAAGATGTAATAGATAAATTGAGAAAAAATTGAAAAAGCTTTAATAAGAGATTGGTCTAAATTTATGCATCTTAAGTTCAGATAGACGATTTTGCATATTAAGGCAAAACGTCATACAAGTCTCTATGCTAATTGCTTTCCACGTTTCTTGCAAAGCATTTTCCAATTGTTGCAATGTGGTAAGCTGAGGTCGTCTTGTGCGGATTTTGTTATCAAGAAGACCCCAGATATTTTCAATTAGACTCAAGTCCAGACTGTTAGGAGGCCACTCCAAAATCTTCAATCCAAGGTCTTTCTTGAACTTTTCTGCCAAGGTAGCCTTATAATAACTTGCGTTATCTTCTTAATAAAGGTAGTCTCCCTTTTCTACATTAGGAAGACTTTGGTAGAAGGGCATGAATTCCTTCTCCAGAACTTCATTGTACAATGGGGCATTCATGTTACCCTTAAGCATAACCAGTAGTCTAACTCCTCCAGACCAAATACATTCCCAAAGCAATACAGAACCTCCATTTTCTAGAACCTTTAGAGTCAAGCAGTCTGGATGATATTTCTCTCCTGGTTCCCACCATACATGACTATGACCATTTTTCTTAAAAAGGGTAAAGGTTGCTTTGTCTGTCCAAATAACAGTATTCCACTGTTTTTTCCAACCTTTTATTTTTCTATACCAAGCACGACGTTTGGCAATGTGCTCCTTAGTTAGAAGAGGCTTTGATTTGGTTACACGGTAGGCTAGATTCATCTTGTGCAACGTTTGGCTGATAGTTTTTGTACTGACTTTTTTTCCAGTCTTTTCCTTAATCAAGTCTGCCATCTCAACTAAGTTTTGATGGCAATCCCGTTTGACATCCAAGAAGAGATGTCTTTTATCTCTAGCAGTTAATTTAGAAGGTCTTCCTGTTGGCTTCTTATTAGTAGCAGATCTGGTTTCGTTGTATTTTCTTAGGATATGTGTGACAGTAGTTCTTGGTATTCCCTTTTTTCTTGCAATGTCAGAAATCTTCATGTCATCTTCATGAAGTCCAATTAAGATTCCTTTTTTAACTTCTGAAAGCTTTTCAAATGGCTTGTGAGGTTTACTGCTTCGTTGTCTAGGCATTATATTAAAAATATTTTATTGAATTTAGCAGATTGAGTAAAGTGAAGTGTAAGGGTGTATTATGAAATAAATAGCGGAAATATAAAACGATCAAATTTTCTGTTCCGCGACTGTATGAACTTTGTTCTGATACTTTTTTAATTGTTCAAAAAGTCTTATAAAGTTTTTATCAAATGTCTTTAGAAATTTACCTTCGCATAGTAGTTTGTAACAGACATTGAGAGCTTCAGGAACAAGCTGAAAATCATGCCTCAACCAAGATGCAAAGAAGAAATCATCACATAGCGTATAACAGACTTGAGTTATACTTACTCAACGAAGCTCAATCTATTGAACTTTTCAGATTTTCTATGTCAGAAATTAAAAGTATTACCATGATACTTGGCCTGGAATCAACCTGTCATATTTCAAAAATAAGAGTCAGCAACATCTTTGGCTTTGCCTTGTTGATGTATCAATACAGTTCTTTCAAACACCTTTTTGGCATGTCTCTTATTTTTGGAATGGACCCAACAAATATATCAGCTGTTTTGAGAGGAATAGAAGACATGATATACAAGAAAATAAGATGTGGAATTCAGTTCAATATGCATCTTTTTCTTGGTGGTTTTTTGGATGTTTGTATCTCCCTTTGGTAGAATATTTTGAATAAAAAAGAGCTTAGAATATAAAGATTTAGCATTACTGCATATCCTCTGTCTTCTTTATAATAATAATAAAAAAAATAATGAATCCTTTTGACAGATAATCATGTATCTGAAAATGTAATTATTTTCAGTTAACTTCAGCCAAAGATTGACTTTAGGCTCTACCCCAAAAGGAAGTGTTTCAGATTTATGTTGCACAAAATAATTGATATAGACATAATTTAAATCCCATGTCCAAAGATAAAAATTTGTAGCCAATGATCAATCTTCAGACTAAGGACCAAGTTATCTATTATCTCTTTGATTTAACTAAATTTTCAAAAAGTGAAAGCATATAATTTCTGTAGTAAAGGCAGAACAGGACACAGATAAAATCTTTTCAACATTTTGGTTACATAAAGAAAGATATTTTACAGATACAATATTATTAAGACACTCAACTTGATGAAACACAAAGAAATATTTCTTTGTCTTTAATCTTAAATTGGTCAATTTATATGTTTGAAACCCCTTTTCAATATTCTCTGCATGTTTATACAGAGTTTGTAAGAAAATTATTGTATCATAGATTAATACATACATAAACTTCTTCATATATTTTTCTAAGATACTTAACATAACTTTTTGAAAAGGAGAGGAAGTTAAGTTAAGATCAAACACATAACATTGAGCTTGTATATGATTTGTTTTGTAACAAATCTAGTACGTTCAATAGATTTTTTAGATACTGATACTTGCCAAAATCTACTTATAGCATCCAAGGTAAAGAAATAGAAAGTATCATTAAGTGAATTCAAGAGATTATTAATATATAACAAAGGAAGAGTATCTTTGATTATTACTTGGTTTAGCTAGTACAAATTGACAATGTATCAAAAAAATCTATCTCATTTATGAACGAAAAAAAAAAACTGGAAAAGTCTACTAGCCTTTTGAAAAATAAACAAAAATCATCTCAAAGAGCTATTTGATCTCTTGACTCAATGATTCTTTTTCTTCCCAAATTACATGATATGGATAAGAATAAATTGGTGTTTTATACAAAACAAAAGTTGTATATTCTAATACCATTTTCAGTAGTTCACTTTATCTCTACTTTTATATTAAACTTAAATATTTAACTAAAGTTAGTCTTTTTGACAGGCTAACTTAATTCATTCTAAATATAAAAGACAGTTATTTTTTATTTTTCTGAAATAGAACCATTATTTTCCCTATTTTAAAATCATGTAATCTAATTCTTCTTTCTTTAATTTCAGTTTCTATTTTTTTTCTATAACTATTCTATTATCTATTTATCTTTGTCATTTCTAATTACACTATAGAAAAAAAGTTGCTTCAAATTTATTTAAACTGCCACAACCATATCAAATATAGCATACTTTAAGTTTTTTTTTTGTTTTTTGAGATTTAATTCAAATATATTTTTTTGATTTTTAATTTAGAATCTCATTTTAGATGAAGATTGTATGTTGAACTGCATATCAATTCAAAAAGTTTAATAAAACAACAAACACAGCTTATAAATTGCTTATATCTTAAATATAGATATATATAAGTTTTTTAAACTAGACTATATATTTATTCAAAATTATCAAGAGATGTATTGATATCGATATCAAGTTATATTTAAAAATTAGAATGACTATATTTGTACTTTGAAGGTAAAAGAAATGAAAGCAAAGGGCAAGAAAAAAAACTACTGGTAGTGACGTGAAAAGGTTCACATCACATGTCAAATAATTATATCATTAATATCATGGACTAGATCAGCTATCCCTCTGATGAACTTAACTTCAATCATTTTAATCTCACCAATTTTTTGGCTTTCCCAAATAGGGAAGAACAACTTGTGATATATACATATGTCTCACAAGCAATTAAATACACCAAAGAGTCTAGTCTCTTCCAAGACAGAATGAGAAAAGAACTTTATAACATATCTGTATCTTTGAAAAATATAGTTTAAATATGATTAATATTACAATAAGATAAGATATAGCTTGTGTTACTTACTCTTCCAGGTAATTGAGTACAATAAGGTTATTGGCTCAAACATGCCTGCTGTCAAAAGAAGTCCGGACTCTGTACACTACATTATTCTTCCACATCTTGATGATACAGACCATCTCAATAGTTTCTTATTTCATTTTTGTACTGTTCTAGCCTCAGAGACAGGCTAACAAACTCACTAAATTGTGATAGTTAATATCACATTTGATTGCTATGACAACAAGAGTCTTTCTGATTGGGTTTGATCAAAGCTGAGAACCAGTAACATTGTTACTCAGAACCTCAAAGTTGTTGGCCCTCCTATCAGTTAGTCTTCTTCGAGCTACCCGACCACCAAGGCAATGCTGTATCCAAGCTTTACAAAGGAGAATATTTTCCATGTTCTTCCTGGTATCCTTCTAGAACCCAATTTTGTCTTGGTATGTACCAATTGTACACTTGATTGGGTGGCAGCTATACGCCCATAATGGACCCATCTCTCTTACCATATAACCAAAAAGAACTAACATATACCAGTTCATTACAAATAGAGTAGATTCTCATCTTCTTTCTTGGATTTCACGATGAATGAAGAAATGTCATTGATCAATGACTCTATAAAGATGATTAAAACATTGTTTACAATCTATTTGACCAACTTACCTTTCCATGGCATGAATTTCTTCTTCTGTCACTTCCCATTGCTGAGCAATAGAGCATACTAAGACTAGGTCCAAAACAGTACGTCTGGTTATGGCAAGAAAACACTTATGGATCACAACTGTTGGCATAACAAACAGAAGGAAGTTGAGCCAGTTATTTTCTTCAGTGATCTCCAGCTGCCAGTGAAGTTTGCTAGAGTGTCTGATCTGAACTTGTCAATATAGCTGTCAATCTGATCGAGTCTAATATCCAGAACAAACATGTATACATTATCCTGTTCATTCTAGCACTGTTGTTGTTGCTGCTGGTCAAGATCTGCCTGTCAAACTTCATTGTTCTCAGTCTCTTTGCTCATAACAAATTTGTCATTCAATGCACTGTATAGTTAATGACCATTCTTATGGCTAATGAGATGTATCTTGTCAAGCCTGAAGAAAGTAGAACTTGTCAATGTATTGAGATTCCTAAAAATATTGGGACCATTGATGCCATATCTCTAAAAAGAAGATATTAATATTTCAATTATTTATTAATCATGTACTTACATTTCCTTCAAACTGACAGAGACTCTACACAGTTCTCATAGAAGCAGGTATCTTCTTGCCAACAAAACACATAGTATGAAATTGAGGAATATCTTTAGAAATGCAGGCTCAGCATCTATAGAAAGAATTATAGTAGGTCAGTTTCATCAAGTCTGACAAGGCTGGATTATTGCCAGTTGTCATGACAAGATGAATCTTGAAACTCACTTGCCCAGAAATTGTCTGAACTTTCAGACCAGAAGTTTGCAACATATGCAAATCTTTTACGATTGGTTCAAGAAAAGATACAATGTTTTTTGGGTGTTTAGGCCCAGGAATGATTGCCAGTTGAATCATATTTTCTCTCTCATATCTAAGTATATTTGATTAAAAAATTTATACATAGCATCTAATATTATATCTTAGTTTTGGATCAATACTGAGATTAATAACATGCAACACAGTTGCTGACATTTTTGAATTATCAAAAGAATTGACTTGATCAACAAATATCGATACCAATATATTGTTCTGACTAACAACACTACTCTGAACCAAATGTCAGACACTATTACTATCAAGAATATCAGATTTTGTAGAACCAACTCTATATGAAAGATGGTTTCTGTCATACTCTATCTTGGCTAGTTTTTAGGCATTATCAAGCTTGAACTGTAGCTGTTCAGAGAGAGACACAACCTGGAAGGTCTGAACAGGAATTAAAGTGCCTCTCTCATCTCGAAACCTTTGGCTATTACAGTGAGGGCACTACTCTTTCTCATCTGCATACTGACCAGCTTCTATAGTGTCAAAGTGGATACAATCTTTCTGGCATACGTCATATGTCACAGGACGGACAGTATACTTACTCTTAATAAGAGTATCCATCTTGTAGTGCGACATGAGTGCATTTATAGCAGCTATAATGTTAGTAAGTTTACATGTTGTGAATAGTTAATGCTGAATATATACTTATGCAAACTACACTCTATCATGTACTTATTCACAATTTTGACATACTTGTCAAAAACATTGCAAGACACATTATTCTCAACAAACATAAAGAATAATTCCATACTAGCTGCCTCTGCATGACTATTGGGCTTGTAAAAAAGAACTCAAGGAGCCTCACCCAAGTCACTTTCATTACTTTCAGAGTGATTTGATGAATTTCTATGTTTGACAACATTGCAAACACAGAAATAATTAGAGCTAGCTTCTTTTATATATATATTTACATGTGATTAATATTTTTTAGAAGCTCTTTGGAGTAGTTTAAGGGTTTTTTTCTCTCTTACCAGATGGAGATTTGATATCTATAGACATATCTTGGTCAAAATCAAGATCTACATCCATTGAATTTGTATGATGGGATATTTCTTCATCTGACATAAAATCTTTTAAATCGTATTATCCATCACTAGACAAGCTGCTGGCATTGGTAAGAGTTGTAAAGTAGCTAGAAATAATAATAGTTCTAACCAGATTGGCTTCGTACTCAAAATCAGAAAAATTGACATTAACTTTGTCAATGCTGTTTCCAGGTGACTGGATATTGAGATCGTTATTATTTATTTTAATTAGAGTATTTTTAAGACAATAGTCTAGGCATTAAGTGATAATAAAAAGGTTTAAGATGAAGGTTACAAAGAAAATAAGTTATCATATAAATGTGAATTTATATTTTAATTTTATATTATTTATTTAATACTGAACATGATAGATTCACACAATGTATTGCATAATTATGATCGTAAATAATAAGAAGAATTTTTCTTATGAGAAGCAAATCTTGTTTTTCCTTCCCTTTTTTTATATATAAATATGCAAAGCCAAGACTATTAGACAAACACACGCATAGAAGCTCTTGAGACTACTGTGTCTAAACTCTGGGCCCAGATCAATGGTTTACAAGGACCCCAACCTGCCCCTCCACAAGAGAGTAACAATTTTCTGTCAACTCTGGGAAATAGAGCAGAGCAACAGGGCACTGACAAAGCTGTTTGGGATATTCAAATATCTGGGACAGACGCCTGTAATAGGGGACAGATATTTGAAGCAGCAGTCGTGAAATCTGCTATTGAGTTTCATTTCACTGGAGACAACAAAAAAGCTGCTTTTAACATGTACGGGATAGCTGCCAGATTTGCCTGCATTGTAATCAAGATAGTCTTTGAGTGATGCCACAAAAATGGGCAAAGTATCTCCACATGTGATAATTTGACAACTATCTAAAAAAGATGTCTAGTTAGAAATCTGGAACTAAATGCTACTGACAAGAACAATCCTCTCTGTTGTAAATGAGTATTGGCTACTGCTGTAATTGAGAATAAGTCTGAAGGAAATAATATAAGGCCTCAGCTATTCCAGTCAAAGGTGTCTACCGATTACTTTATTATTTAACACACAGGTTTAGCATGCATGATAGTGATTATATTTCATATGATGATATCACCATAATATGGGATACATCAGTAGATTATTATAAGCATAATTATAACTCATAAACACATTTACTTTCGATGTTAATACTTCATTGGGACTACACACATTTATATAATTAATTATACATTAATTATCCCAAGATCACGTTGCTCTGATTAAGGCTCAGATAGGATCGATTACCTGACCTCAGTCATATAATTTTCCCAATCCAAAACAATATAAATAGCAGTAGTAGTTCAGTGTAGGAACCTCGTCAAACTTTGATACAAAATCTTTCTCAATAAACAAAACCTACACAAGTTCTCACGAATCTTCGTTTCTAATTTCAAATCTTGAATTCTTCCTCTTAAAAACTTCTTCAACTTCAACCACCACAACACTCTCAGTAGATTCCAAGAATTATGAGAAGCTTACTCTATACTCTCTCAGAAATGAAAATCTACTAGAATTTTATAACTAAAGTTTTAAAATATATACTATATTTTAAAAAATAATAGTAGTTTAAAAATTCATGTACTCTTAAATAATATATTATGTTTAAAGAATAGATAGAGTTTTTCTTTAGATAAAAATGACAAAAAGAAAAGCATACATTTATATACATATATTTAAAGATGTTATAACTAGAGCTTTTAATATATTAAATACATAAAGTATTCCTTTTTTATGTACTTCTTTATATACTTCTTTATTTATTAGTTCTATGAATCAAGAAATAAAATAAAAATAAAGATACAATAAAATTCTAATTTAAAACACCTGCATTTGTTAAACGAATTATTAGAAGAGTAAGAATATCTAAAAAAGATATAGTCTTGCCATATTTAGAATATTTGATTAGATTAGATGCAAAAATAATCTGAAATTTTATAAATCATATTAGATATAATTTGAAATCTCATAAATAGTATCTACTCAAAAGTAAGGCTTATAGGTTAATATATGGCGTATTATTAGTCTAAAAGAAAGTTGTCAATCTACAACTCTGTTGTAGATCCAGAGTTATTGAATATTGATTTCTATTGGCTTAGAATAAAGTTGTAGGTTAGCACCTTTGCTGCAGATTTGTAGTTTAAGTGCTGCTATTTCCTACAATGATATTTTAATTTACTCAAACACTACAAGAAAAAAGTGGGAATTCTACTGAGGATTCAGCTGGAGATTTAACTTGAGATTAAGCTGGTGATTCTTGCAAATTGCAGTAGAATCTCCAGTTCCCTTTTAAGTAATTTACTTTAATTGTCATTAACTTATTGATGTTAGATTTTATTCACATCTTGCTATATTTATCTATCTGTCATAACCTTATTTTAATTAGTAAAACAAGAATAGAAAAAAATTCTATTAGAAAGAATGAAAGACAAAAGTTCTTAAATTAGTAATAAAATATTATTTTGGTTTTTATAATTATTTTAATTAGATAAAACACATTCTATTATAGTATAGTCAAAGCTCAGTTTAGTAATATTTGATTTCTTAATAATTGCAATTTATTAATATCTTTTCTAGCAATTTTATTTGTAGTTGCATAGAGCAAATCTGCAATATTGCTAAAAAACAAAGATCTTTAATCACTACAAGATGCAACCAGTCACTGTTGACACAGTTGTGGTGCAATCACCAACTGAGCCAAGGAACGAGAGAAATGCCATGTCCATAATAAAATATACAATTTGTCTCTTATACCTGTGTATCAAAGACCGCTTTCAATCTTTTACCTTATTTAATTACTCCTTGTACTCTTCTCCAAATTATCCTATCTTATTATTATCACCTCTTTTCTATGCTGATCTCAAATATGACAGCATCACATCAAGAGAAATTCTTGTATAAAAATAGTAATTTTGGGTCTCTGAGCCTAAAATAAGGGTTTTTTATCTGTAAAAGTTAATTTAGGCTGAAAACTGTTTCTTTTTTCAGAAAAATCTCAAAAACAATTTTTTTTTGAAGGGTTGGTACTTCTAAAATCAAAACTCGTTGTTACTTTTTGAGAAGCACCTAATAGAAATACTTAGAGCACCCGTAGAAGTGGTATTTCAATTAGCATTAAATTGAGTGCTCATAAGCCACATCTGAAGTTAAAAGAAGTACAAAAATGGAGGGTAAACTATCAGTTACATAATAAAATGAGCACTTAGATAATTATACTATATGGTACAGTCTTCTTCACTAGTAAAATTCATTATTATTAGATATTTTTCTTTTATTTCTAATATAAAAAATGGAAGTAATTCTTGCAAAAGAAGTGACAAGATCCAAACTTGAGGAGGTTGATGTGAGAAAGATGCTCACCTGAAGTCAGATGTAGCATGCATTCAATTTTATCATCTTCCAAATTGTAGTAATGTTCAATGGGCTGGCATTCAACTTTTGCCAAGTTCAGGTTAGGCAAGAAAAGCTGGTAATGCTGAATGCGCAAAACACTATTACTTTCTACAGTGGTCCCTCGATAATTTCACGCCCCTTTAATTTCACACTTCGATAATTTCAAGGCTCTGAAGACCCAACTCGAAAAATAGGGCTTAACTTTCACGATTCTCGTTAATTTCACTTTCACGAAATTTTTTGGCCTTGAATCCTTACAGAAAAAAAAATTAGCCAATCAGACGAGAGCAATATAGTTATAGCTTGGTTTAAATTTTTTTAATTCTAGCTTTTCACGATTTTGTAATTGACATCAATGTCAAGTGCGTTAAGTTTTCATGCCAAACACTGGGTTATCAAGTTGTCATCTAGCTTACTTTTTTTAAAAAATTTTTTTTTCATTTTTTTTTAGAAATAAAATAAAACTATATGTGCTATATTTTGATTAAGTTTCATTTATTAATTGTTTAGTAAAGATTATTCACTTGAAAAATATAAATATAATTCTAATTTGTTTGTTACAAAAGTTTTTATTGTAGATTTTATTATTTCTATCTGTCATTACTATTTATTGTTATTTGCAATTGTTACTATTTACAAACATATTACGAAATCAAGCTTTGACTGTACTTGGCTGCTAACTTTTTTTTTCTATTTTTAAATGAAGAAAAATATATTTCTTATAGAAAATTGTTTTTATTTTATTTGAAAAAGAATAAATTTTAAAAAGACTTAAAGAAGCTGGTTACTTTAGTTTGCTTTGAGTTCGCGGTTTTCTGGAACTTGTTTCTAAGGCCTTCAACCTTACTGACGAAGTCTCTGTCAATATCCTCGTCTTCCAAGATATCCAAAAGCGTGCAAACACACTCAAACTTTTCCGAAGCAGAATAAGTTCTCTTGAAAGGAACTGCTGATTCCACTTCAGCAATTTCTTCATTGCTGTTGTTGTTGGCTGCATTGTCGTCTGCATCATACTCTTTCATGACAATGTCAGTGATCTCATTCTCATTGATCACTCTATGAGTGCATTGTCTCTCATAGAGTGGATCTGATTCGCTGGTCAGACAATCTTCAAGAGACAGAAGACCTGATCCAGCAATCTTGTCCAGGGTTTCTTGTAAACCCTCAACGAGAACCTTTTTAGCCAGACTTTGCTGAATCATAGCCTGGTTTACATCTATAAATTATATTTAGAATATTAAGAAAGTGGAATTAAAAGATTATACTACTATTATGACCAATAAATTATCTTACTACTACCTTCACTATCTTTGTCTTCAATAAAGTGAAAGATTGTTGCATTCCAGCAGTTCTCAATAGTCTTTGCCGAGACAGATTCCCAAGCCTCTCTTATCCATTTCATGGCCCACAATTGATCAATTTCAAAGATTTTATCAATTGGCCCGATTTTATCTTGATTGCCATTTTGAATCATGCCAATATACTGATATGCCTTGGCATACTGTTTACGCTTGAAATAAGCCTTAAAAGCCCGAATGATACCACCATCCAATGGCTGAAGGTGGGAAGTGGTGTTTGGTGGCAAAAAAAGAAGCTCAACGTTTGTAGATGTATAATCAACTATATGACCAGAGAAATTGTCGAGAATCAAAAGAACTTTGCGCTTTTGAGCTTTCATGGCATGATCAAAGCAACGGAGGAAAACATGAAAGATCGATCTTGTCATCCAAGCATTGCTATTGTAATGATACATGGAGAATCCATGATCACTTGCTTCTTGCTTCTTGTTGTTCTTGTTGAAGCAGTTTGGTCTTCTTGCATGCCCAATCATCAGTACATTGGACCACTTGTCCATTCCGTCTGCATTACACAAGAGACCTACAGTCAGGCGCTTCTTGTTATCTTTCCAACCAGAAAATTTCTGGTGAGAAATTGTTGTTCTTGGTGGGGCAGCATAAAAGAGTGCTGTTTCATCAAAGTTATATATGTCACAAGCACTATATCCCTCTATCTTCTCTTTGATGGCAGCCTTGTCAATCTGAAGCGATTCTATATCAGTAGAACCAGCCTCACCATGAATTCGATTCATTTTAATGCAATGACGCTTTCCAAACTTCTCCATCCAGCCTTGAGAAGCACTAAAGTTTTTAACGCCTATTCTTTCAGCGAAAATAGTAGCTTTAGTCTTAATCAATTCCCAAGTGATGGGAATCTGATTATTTTCAGCAATGTTGATCCAAAGAATCACTGCTTCTTCAATTTGCTATAGTTGTGTGACAATATAATAAGGTTAATTTTATTTTTTATATGGAGCAAAAATGCATAATGTTGAGATATATTACATACAGGCCATTTCCCCTTTCTAACGCGCTTTCTGTTTTTTACGTCGGCTTGCATTATCAAGCTCTGGTCTCCTCTCTTCAAAATCTTTGAGATTGTAGAAGCATCAGGAGCTTTTTGAAGGCCAAAGGTTTCCTTTGCCCATTCAGCCAATTGGGGGTTACTCATAAATGGCTTTTTCTTTTTAATATCACAAATCTCAATGTGATTTGCAATATTAAGTGAAACGTTTTTTTTGCTCATTTTTATTGTTTAGTTCTGGATTTGATAGATTTCATTAAAGTATCAAAAAAAATTGAAAATGATATTAGATAAGCATTATATAATAAGCTAAAAGCATACCAAAAAGCTGTTATTATTTGATTGAATAAGAATTTGAAACAATAATTGGTTACGAGACAGGGGGGTAGAAAACAGTAATGCAGCCAGGGGTTATATTTAACTAGAATGAATTTAAACAGAGGATTGAAGCATATCAAATCATTACTTGATATATTTTTTTTCTATTAAAGAATAATGTAAACTCCGCCCATAGTTGGCGGAAAATATATACTCCGAACTCGTTAATTTCACTCTTCTATAATTTCAAGACACCTGGCCTTCCCTAGGCCTTGAAATTATCGAGGGACCACTGTACCGCCTTTCTAAAAAATAGCCTGTTAGCATTATTACTGTAAGAAAACATGACAGAGACACCAGCAACTATTTTTGTTTTCACGTGATTGTTATCTACAAATTCCTAGTGTTTGCCAAAGTAATTATTGGAAAATTTAGTTCCTTGATCATTAAGAAAGGCAAACATATCAGATTCACCTTTTACTTGAGTACCTGTAAATTTGTTAATCCATAAGCTTCCACTGGTAATATATCTGAGTATGTTCTGCTTTCCAAACTTAAGGGCAAGATCCCTGTTAGAGCATCCACAGCATTATATGTAACTAAAATAATTATGTAAAATAAAAAAATCGCATTTAAAAGAGATAATATAGACCATCCACAGTGGTCTGAGTAAAATTAGCAGTGTATGTAAAAAAGCCCTGTATGTTTTTGTGAATTGTTAAATTTAAAAAGATGGTAATTATTATTGAGAAATAATCAGTTAAAACTTTTAGTTGAGCAATTTGCTGGAGATGAAAAATCTAAATTTTCTATCTAAATTAACATTCTTGTTAAATTTACACAGACCGCTGTGAATGCTCTTATCAGCACAACGGTTTTAGTACACCAAATGAGTTCAGATGAACTTGTTGAATTGTTTACCCTTTTCAGTCTCAAAGTGGAAAGCACAATCAAACCTCTTGATGTCTTCCTTCAAGTGCAGCAGAAGGTGTGTCTTCAGGGTTAAGCTGAACTTGGTTTTGGCATATACATCATATTTGTACAAAGACAACAAGACAACGAGCAGTATTATCAACATTGTTGAGATATTGATCAAAATCAGAATCGACCTCTTGAATAAATAAAAGAGATGATAGAATGCAAAGTTCCATGAAGGGCTTAGCAATCATACTAACTTCAGTGTTAAGAATAGGTGGCAAGACTTGCACCAGAATCTTGAACTTCTTGTCAAGATAAGACTCACTATGTCTAAGCTTCTTTCTGAAAGTTCTTGTGAAGTTTCTGAACCCTTTTGCTTGCTTCAGCAAATCAGATAACTTTACTTGTGAAGCATTGTTGCCCTTTAAAACTTCCTTGAACAGATGATTAACAAGATATTTATAAACTCTAAGAGTCACAGTATGCAAAATCTCTACAGGTGTATCAAGAGCAAGATCAAAGGACTGCAAACACAGTAGGTCGTCAGTACCAGTATGACTATATTCAAGATCAGCAAGAATAATTGCCTTATTGGTAGCCTTTTTTGTTTTCAGATAGGGATTATTAGTATTTAGTAATATACTAGGAATTGCCTTCTCTTTACAAGTTGGATCAGCGGCTGTAATCTTATAATGTTCTTTTGTTTTGTGCTGGCAGTCACAAACCAAATACTCAGAATCGAAGTTGGTATCTCCTTATTTTATTCTACGGAGAGTTTGAATTAGTATTTAATTTAGTCCTGTGGCTTTCTAACTTTAATGACAGATAGTGGCTTTTGCATCCCACACATGGCATTTTTTTTCAACAAATAATCACTTCCCTCTTTCTTAAAAACAAACTTCAATTATGTCTAACAACAATATAAACAACACTATTTATGATATTTCCACCATTCAACAAGTCTTGATCAGCTTGCCTTTGGAAGGAATCAAGATGCTTCCTTTGAATTCGACAATATTAGTAAAAGCTAGTGAATGGGAAGAGTGTCTGGAGCGAATCAATGCCTTATGCTCAACAAAATGGAATAAAAAGCATAAATATTCTGGAAAAGGTTTAGTTTTTGGAGAGACTAAAAAATGCCACCGTGCTGGCCAATATATAACAAACTGTCAATTACGTCTTGCCCAGAAAGATACAAAGGCATACTCTTGTACAGCTGCCTTAAAAATCATACAGCATCTCAACAACCCCAATGTTGTTACATTTTGCCAAACAAGGGCACATGTAAACCATGTTCCTGGAGACTGGGACGAAGTCAGAACTCTTCCTTTGCCTTCTGAAGCCGTAAAGATTATTGAAGATCAGTTGAAAAGTGTCAGCAGCTGTAAAAGTACAAGAATTTCAGTTCTTAGACAGATTGATAGTTGGGGAGTTGGCGTTAGAAAGCCTAATTATGAAGAAATTTACAACAGAATGAGAAAGGTTTGTCAATGAATATAACAGAGCTTTCGTATTAAATTAATATTTATATATCAAATAAATACTTGTATATGAAATAGATGACTACTTTGTTATATATGTTTGCTTCTGATGAAAATGCACCTATTTCCATCTGGTTAAATGTAAAGCTAGCAGAACAAAACTATTGCATTTTTGAAATCAATCTTTCTGTTTATAATGACGGTAAAAAACAATTTGTCTTTGGATTTCAATCACCAATGCAAGTTTCAATCATGAGAATCTCGCAATCTTTTTGTCTCAATGCCACCCATTCCATTTTGTCCAGAAGCGACAAAGTATTATATACTTTGGTCACTCGCCATCCTCAAACAGGAAAGGGATTCCCTGTTGCATACATGGTGACAAACAACCAGACAGCCATACCCATCAAAATTTGGGTTGACTACCTGCGCATCAAGAGCAGCTTCGTACCAATGAATATCACCATTGACTGTAGCATTATGGAGGTTAATGCAATCAAAGAAGCATTACCTCATGCTACAATTCACTACTGTGATTTTCATGTTCTTTGCGCTTGGCAGCACAACCTTGACAGCAAGATTAAACTTAATGCCTCTTATACATCAGAACAACTTGGGAATTATAAGACTGCACTAAAGAACTACCTGAGACACATTCTCATTGAGTCCAATGAAGACGTGTTCCTAAGGGCAATTGAAGATTTTAAACTGATGGTTCAGGATCAATCTCAGTTTTTGAAATATTTTGAGAAGAAATGGACCGAGAACAAAGAATTGTTGCAAAGATGGGGGCGCCCATACGTTAGCCAACAACATCAGAGATATGTGACAAACAACTATGTAGAATCATGGCACAATCAACTCAAGACAATCTACTTTGGTCGTGCACGCATCAGAAGATTGGATCGACTGATTTTTATCTTGACAAATGATGTGGAGTTCTATTTTGAACAAGAGGTTGAGCGTATTCACTTCAACAATGGTAAGATAGGTCCCATTGATAATGAGTTAGCAAGAAATTCTTTTGTTGCTTCAAAAATCCAAAAAGACATGCTCCCTTCCATGATTCTCAACCCTTTGGGTGAGACTGGTAACAGCATGGATGATTATAATGGTGAGTGGCAAATAAGATCTTTTGTAACAGAAGATAAGTGGTATACCGTCAATATATCAAATGACTTGATACAAAGCTGCACCTGCCCGAACTTTCTGACCCACCAGATCTCATGCAAGCATTCACATTTGTTGAAGCGTTACTGTGGGGCAAAATTCAGCTTCATCGAGCAACGGGAGATAGCAGGAGTGGTATTGAACCAACAAGACGCTGTAAATGCAAACGAGAACGAAGTTGAGAAAGAAGTAGAAGAGGAATTAGAGAGAGGAGGTACTGCTGAAGATAGAGGTGTATATGTCTTTGACAAAATTGCAGCTTATTCTGCAACAATGCATCATGGCTTTGTAGATCTTCAAACTTTGAAGACAATTCCTGGCTTAGATCAAACAAAGGCAGATCTTATAAAAAGAGCACTCGCAGATACTGTGAGGTTGATGGATGAATATAGAAGTGAGAACCCTTCATATTTTAGAAACATGAATACTCAGAGATAATAATAAAAATAATAAATATATATCATTAAAAGATCTTAAAAATACAAGAAAAAATATTTCTGATTGATATAAACAAATACAATTCTAATTAAATTTACCAAAAGTAAAACCTGTCACTACCTCAACGGATTTTCAAAATTCAAACTCTCCGTAGAATAAAATAAGGAGATACATCCCAGAGTGCATCTGAAAAAAACTTTTCAGAAATTTCACTTTCGAACCCAGCCGGCGCGGTAGGTGCTCCTGACAAAAACAAAGAACCAGGTCTGGAAGCCTCCACTTGGGCTAGTAAAGCCAGTGTTTCTCTTCCTGTAACTGCCCCAAAAATATCTGCTGTTCCATCTGCTTGCCGTATTGCAGCTTCTGTCTGTATGTTTGCTCTTCCCTCTGGACCTTCTGGTTATGAATATATTTATATTCCACGATCAAGACGTCTTAAGTACAAAGAAGTCTGTTCCTCTCTCTGCACTCTTGGTGTGGATTCTTCTCGACTTTTGGACATTAACTTCCCAGCCAGAGGTGTCATTGGCGTCCTTGTTCATGTCCAGTATGCTGATGCCTTTAAGGCCAAACTGATAACTGCTTCTGTTGAGATTTTGGACGCATTTGATCCACTTGACCCTGATAATGTTGCTGATCCCAAGTATGCACCTCTGTCCACTCATGAACTTGCCAACACTGCTGCCGTGCTTTACCATGATAAATGTCTTCAGGCCCTCCAGTTCTTGCGCCCTCATGTTGCTATCCCAGTTGGTCACTTCTTTTGTGAGGAAGGGTGGATCAGTGAAGATGAAATACCCACACGCACCACTCTTACCAATGCCACTGGTGGGTCATTGTTCAAACGTCAGCACAGCTCATCAGTCACTATGTCTGAATGAGTAATCTCAATATCGGATTATGGAATGCCAATGGCCTGCAACCCAGAGCCATTCACGATACCCTTCAACACTGTCAATCCTTACATATGCTCTTCATTACAGAAACATGGCTCCTCTTTCCCTCACGTCTTCCCACATCATGGTCACAGATTCACTTGTATGGCTCTCCTGTAGCTGGCACCTATAGGGGCTCTATGGATGTTTCTGTTCTCATCTCACCTCACTGTCCTTATGCTGTCACTCAAATACCTATGCCCTCAAAATATGCTCTGGCCGTCAAAATTAGCTCACTCAGAATTGTATGCTCATATCTTCCACCAACTATGCCCACTCATGATGTCCTACATGTACTCTCTTCCATTCCTTTAACACATGATATCATTCTTTGTGGTGACTTCAATGCATGACTTGGCTCTGTTACTGGTGACTATGCATCAAATTCTCGTGGACTGGCACTATGTTCTTGGATAGAAGAGAGATCTCTATCAGTTGTAAATGCAGATCTTGCACCGTGCATACCAACATATATTTCTTTCCGCAACAACTATGAAATCAGCAGTATTATTGACCTTTTTATAACTAATATGCCACTCATCAATCCTTCTCTTCATATTGCTACTGACTTGTCCCTTGGATCAGATCATCGCCTTTTATCACTTTCCTTTACCTATGACCTACAGCACTCTACCAATATGTCACCACCATTACGCAAGACATGGAACCTCTCACGTCTCAATGAACCTGATGTCCATGCTCTTTATGCTCATATCTTCACTCAAAACTCAATCTCCCTCCTTTCCACCTTGCAAGAAATTGTACTGAATCCGCCACTCACCAAACCTGACATTGATGCTATAACTGATGAGTTCAATTCACTCATTTACAACTCACTAAATAGCTTAATTGGACATCGACCCTCTCGCCCCAACCATTGGAAATCCTTCTGGAATGTGGCATTACAAACAGCAGCAGATCATTGTAACAAATGTTACAAAAAATGGCGCCTAGCAATAGGTATTGACAAAGTTGTTTGGTGGACTAAACACAAGCATGCACAGACTGAATTCCGATCCCAAGTTCAGCAAGCCAAACGCCAGTCTTGGCATGTGTTTTGTCAGTCTATGGAACGTGATTTCAGCAAAGCAACGTCAAAAATAAAACAGTTAAAACGCCATAGACAGCCACAACATACCTTCCAGCATGACGATGGACCAGCCGTAGCAGCAGCAACAATTTGTGACCATTTGGCAACAGTATATAGTGGACATATACTTCCAGCAACCCAACCACCAGCACCAACAATGACTTATAACAGTGTGCCTTTTGCCTCTGATGACTCTCCATTTAACTCATCAATTGTGGAGGAATTCATGCAATTTATGCCTAACCACAAGGCACCAGGGCCTGATTATATCAGAGTTGAAATACTAAAACCTGTAAAAATACATGTCTCACCCATTCTTGCTTTATTATTTACAGTTTGCTGGCAATGGTCATATGTTCCAAGTTTGTGGTGCCAAGCCCAGGTCTTCCCAATCTTCAAGAAGGGTAGTCCAACTGACCCGGCAAACTACTGGCCAATCTCCTTGACCTCTGTACTGCGTAAGCTTTTTGAGATGTGTATAGCCCCCCAGTTGCACAAGTACTCTCCTCCTTTGGATGTGACTCAAGGTGGTTTTCGTCCTCGCCGTGGTGCTTTGGATCAAGCTCTCTGTCTCCATGATCTGACAAAAGCCTATTATCACCGTCATAAGCACTACCCTGTTGTTGCATTTCTGGATATCAAGGCTGCCTATGATACAGTAGATCGACGAATCATCTGGCACGCTCTTCAAAAACGTTGTACTCCACCTGCACTTTTGGGTCTCTTGGTTAACATGTTTGACACTGCAAAAGAAGGGCCAATTCAGTATACTAAATCTTGACCAAATACTGTCTGAATGAATAAAATTCAGCATGAATTCGATCGGAATTTATGATGCCAATTTTTTAAAATTCGTGAGCTAAATGAATACAATTAGTATACTGAATTTTAGGAACACAAAAAGAAAAAGTTTGATATACTTTTATGTAATATATTTTGGTTGTGAAAATATAGACGCGCTTTTATCAGACCACAGATTTTTCATTTTATATTGGTTTTGGGTTTTTTTTCAAATACAGCATATAGCATTCAACATCTTTTTATTACTATATATGGGTTGTTAAAGAAGAGATTTGGTCAAGATTTGGTCAAGATTTAGTCAAGATTTACAGGTTTATGGGTCATTTTAAAGGTTTTTATTGGTTTGAAAAATTTTTCTTATTGTTTCTAGCTATTTCTATTTGTCTACATCACTAATCGTCTCCTGTTGCAATTGGGTAGAAACATCACACTCATGATAACGTCATTTATTTTAGTGGATATTGTATTATTCCTTTCGTATATCCATTGGTCCACCTCTGGTGCAATCGACTCCTACTGTATTCCATTGCTTGCTGTGGCATGCTTTCTTGGCCTGTTTGTTTACTTTTATAAAAAATAATTATAGGGTGGATTAGAAAGAATGTTCTAGGTATATTTATTTGAGAGCAACAGATTATTTAAAAAATATAAATGTACTTACAATAAAGTTAAACACGAGAACAGATGGATGTCTTTAACATAAAGATATATATATCAACGTTTTGGATAAATGTCTCAATTATAGTAATATTGTCTATAAAAATAATAACTTTTGTTAATACAATGCAAAGTAAATAAGACTATGATTTGCTTACCAGACAGTTCAGAAAACAGAAGAGTTGACAAACAGAAAATACAATGACCACTGGAAAAAAGTAGAAAAATACTGACGTGTATATATGGGCAAACGGTACTGGAATAACGTGATATATCATAGTTGATATTTTTTTCCACTAGGTTTTAAGGTCATCTAGCACTGTATGTGCGAGACTTACAAACACTACAGTATATGTAGATGGGGGGTTCCGCAAGTAAGGTTTGGTAGCACTTTTGATATACTCGTTATGCTTAATAAATAAATAAAAATATTTAAAACTACGGATTTATCTCGGTATTCTTGACACAGAACAGGAAAGGTCAAAGACGGATTACATCATGTATATTGCTCCAATGGTTTATCTGTACTACACCTCACCTTTACTGACCACCTTTACTGACCACCTATACTGACAGTTCTTTAAAACCTCCAATCATCAACAGCATAAAAACACGTCTTTAAAATTATGGACCAGTAATATGTTCTTTATTTATTTGGTTTCCCATTCTTGTTAGGTTGGTAATGGTTTACGCTTTTATTTTTATTGGAAAGAATAGAATGTTTCTAGGTTTCAAATCTAATAAAGCTATTCTATATCCTCAGCTACTTCTTGCTTGGCAAGCTTGTTATATTTGGGATGAAAAATTTTCTACAAAAAACAAATACCTGAAGAAAATGAGGTGCTCGTTACCTTTTTTTAGGGGTAAGAGCAGTACTCTTTGAGAATAGATAAAACATTAGTGATGGGAGTGCGTGCGTGTTTTATACTGCAAATTTTATGGACTAATTAATACTTACATTGGAAGTACCCAGTACAAATGGACAAAGAAATAAAACATTTACAGTAAAGCACGGGATTATGATTTCTTTGACTATAAAACGATAGGAAAGAATTAATTTTTGTGAATTGCGTGATAGAATGATTGATTTACATACCAAAGGCAAAGAATTTCTTTGCAGACCAAGATATTATCTGTAAAGTGGTAATATCGTCTCTAGTAGAGAATATACATTAATATACAGTATAAATAATATTATTGTATTTATAGAAGTAAATAAAAGGCTTACCATGGCAATGACGGTAGCATGGGATGGAAGTTCTTGAGGAATGGCACGTTCGTAAGAGGGATGTTCATCTATAATAGAAATTATATTCAGTTAGATAAATATTAAAAAGAAATAGATTAAAATAAAATAGAATATTACCGTGTCAATATCCGTGTTTGATTGTAGAGAGTATTTTTGGCGATGTGGCCTATATTAAAGAAAGAAAAAAGTCAGAATGATTGTATGGAATGATGGCATAAAGTATATTTACTAACCCTGGCTAATCCGGATGACTGTTGTGAAGATGGCGCATCAGAATGAGACGAAGAGTGAGTTTCTATGACATTAAAATATATTGTTATTTTTTAGTTATACATGAAGAAGTATATATTTCTTTTAAAACAAAGAAAGTGCCTTACCATAAAACCTTGCGAGTGTAAAGAGTGAAGAGAGAGAAACAGAGAGAATACCTATGACAGACAAAAAAATTAATTCTTTTGTTCTTTGTAAAGAAGTATTTTGAACCAAAAACAATCTTACCAGAAAAATTTGCAAATATAACAAGAATTGAAAAGAGAGAGAAAAGAGGGAAATAACAAAAAACGAATAAAAAAAGTAAAAAAAAAAATCTTAAAAAAAAAAGAAAAAAGTGTGTTTAAAACAAAAGGCTAAAATGATTTCATCAAGTCCCAAAGCAATATGAAAACCGATTTACATCCCAGTCATTACAAGAAGTATTAATAGAGATTCATATATCAAATATATTTTGAATATATATAATAATCATACCTTTCATATAATACACTTTCCCTTGCTCTTACTCTCTTGCTACTTACTACACTTATACTCCCAAATCAATACACTTGTTCTAACAATTCAAGTATGTAAACTTGATACGATTTATTTTTAATTAAATTTACATAAATTTAATTGTAGAATGACAGCAATAATAATAATATAATCTGAAACTAATCATTATAACCTTTCATTTTATTATATTCTGTAGACAATGACTAACACAAGACGTGAACGCGCAATTGCCCTTCGTCCTGTTGAGATTACCAATCAGCAGCTTATGGAAATACTTTCTACTGTGAGAGCTGATATGTCTACCGTAAAAGGACAGATCGGCAATGTTGAGCAAACTCTGACCAACATGAATGGCAGAATTGGCGTTCTTGCCACCACCAGCACCAACACCATCAGTGCCATAGATAGTTTGGCCAGAACTCCCCTTGCTGCTCCTGTGAGAGCCAAACTCACTGTTGCTGCACCTGTTGTCATCTCCAACCATGAGCCTACCCGTGAAGAATCTAATGCAGTTTATGTGAGTAACATATTATAAAATATTTTATCAATTCATTTTCTCATGATTTATTTATCAGGCTCATATTCACAACCTTATGTGGAAACCCAAACTTAGCTTGAGAACGCCAGAAAATATCCTGGCCAACAACCTCAAGCCCAGATGGGATACAAATGTTGCTTTCAACAAATCTCCCAACAGGGAGATAGCCGAGAGACTTCTTTCTAACCTTGAGCGCAGGTTTGGTTCCTCTAGTATGAGACGGAGTGACCTCCGAAAGAGGTTGCACACCAACTTCACTAGTAGAACCCGTCGTGAGAGAATGTCTGATGATGAGATAGCGGAAACAAACGCTCTTACACGAAGAGCAGCCCGTGCAGATGATGTGAGTATTATGCTAATATATATAGTTTATAGTTGAAAATTAAAAATAAAAATAACAAATTAACAAAACTTATTACTAGAATGAGTGTCGCCATGTACTGGCCTACAAAGACAATAAGGAGGCAATTGATCTTGTAATGCTCAGAGACTGTGCCAACACTCTCCAAAAAGCAGTAATGTCAGATGGAGAGTCTGCCGATGAAATGGATGAGGATGGCATAAAACATGTCATTCATATTGTACAACCAGGCTGGAGAAGCGATGAGGTAGATTAATTTGGAGTAATACGTTTGTATTGGTGTATTATTATATTGAGTGAATTATTAACGAATGTATTTCAGTGCAACCGTTTCATTGCACTTGTTGACACTTATGCTGTCCAGGCCATGGGGTCAAGTGCTAATCAAAGGATCCGTAGGATCACTACTAGTGTGTCCAACTCAGCAGTCCCAGATAACATTAGCCCCAATTTTCCTCGGTGGGCTCTTAGAGACGGGCTCTAAATAAAAAAAAATGTTTCTCTCTTTTTATCTACGTATTACTTTTTACATACACAATACTATCAATATATATAGGGAATTTGTTCTGTTTTTTTTTGTATAAGAAAAGGAAATTCAAGTGGGGGTTTTTTTTTATTTTAAGCATAAAGCTTTTTTGGCAAAGCAATTACTAACATCTTACTAACATTTCTACTTGTAGTAATCCTGGCTGTAGCAATCTCTAAAAAGATGCGGTGCACAGGTACAATGCAATGGCGACTATCGGGGGAGAAGGTGGGGAGACAAAACTCAAGACCGTCATCCTCACGCGATCTATCAGAGGAAGTATTAAACCACTTGATATATGCAAATACATGTCGATGATCATGAACCATGCGAGTCAGGTGGAGATTGCTGTTAGAAGGGTGTATAAAGGAGTGTGTGAAGAGATACTGTATTTGTCCAGCATAGGCTAGGGTATTTCTACCGTCACTACCAACAAACATTACGTGGACAAGAGAACCACAACTAGCTGAACCGTTTTTACCACGGTACTGTTGACCAAGTAAGTCAATGAACTTCAACTTTGTGATTTCATTGTCAACAAAGGAGTTTGTGAGCGTGGCATATTGGTAACTGACAAGGTCGGGAAGATCATAGGATGTTTTGTAGTGCTGAAGCAGATGGGCATAGTCGGTTTCATCCATCAGTGATGATTTTTTTAGCTGAAGAGGAAAAGTCGAAGGAGGGAGAGGTTCGTTACCCTTTGGAGGAAGATGTGGGTTGGACGATGCTAGTAAGAATGATTGCAATCGGAATGGACGGGAGGAGAGAGTAATGACTGTGGTGGTAGGTGTGAATTTCGGAGAAAGCTTTGAGAGAATGTTGAAAAAGGGGACGTGGCTAGAACTTTTCAGAACAGCATTGGCATAGTCACCCTTGAATGCGTTTTGAACAAAACTTCTCATATATGTTGCCTCAAAACTATCTTTTCCGTTTGTCTTTATATGCTTCAACAGGCCATTGTATCTCTCAAACCCAAAGAGCCAGTAACCGTACACAGGTCCAAAATCACGAATGGTCTCACGAAGGTGGAGGTGCAGGTGCATGTTGCAGGTGAGGATGGTGGGAGTGTAGAGTTCGGTAGCCTTTTTGCAAAACATTTCCAGATAGTCGTGGGCGCTGTTCACTTCATCAAATGTGATGCTTGGCTTGATAAGATAGCGGCATGCACGGACGAAATTCATCCAGTTGTTGTACATTTCAAATGGTAGAACACCATGCAGCAGAACAGGAGAATACACCAATACCCAGGATTTCCAGTCGTCAGCTTTCATGTAAGGAAAGCCTTTTCCAATCTTCGATGTCAGCTTTGTATAATCCCTCGGAAGGACCATTGTCTCTGCGATTTTTTCCATGGCAGCAAACTCTTTGGCTCCAATCGTTTTCTTATCGACCCACCGGTCCATCATTCTCTTGGGCGTCCCCAGGAATAAATTATGCATGGGATCAATGATCGTTCCACGTACTAGATCAAAGTATCCAAGGCGTTGCAACTGCGACCATCGAACACCATATTCGACCTCCAGCTGGTGCCTTTCTGAGGGTGTACTCGCACTCTTCCACTCCTCAGCATGCAACCTGTTCTCTACACCGCTACGAATATTCCAAAGCGAATAATCGAATCCACTGAAGTCCACCTGATTTGTGTTGGGCAATCTGGGGAACTGGGTTGTACACTTGTAACACGCACATGTACTATTGTGGGCTGTAAATCCACTTGTTTTCCTGGCAGCAGGGATGTCACACGCAACCATCAGCAAGGCAGCACGGACATTAGCACCAGAAGGGCACTCGTAGGTCGGGACTCGCATTCCAACATACAACTGCTTCATCTCGTCTACCATGGGCTTGAGATAGTTATTTATCTCCTCGCATCTTGGCTCCTTGGGACCAGGCATCAAACCAACCAGAATTGTGTTCTCAGGCTTGATCCGTACCTCTCGAGGCAGATTATTTACAACCAAGTAAATTGCACCAGAAGAGTAACTAACTCCATCGAACGGCTGGAACCAGTCTATGTTGAGTGTCAACATCAATGAGCGAGGACAAGCAACAAACAAGACACCACTTGCATCCTTCAGCTCTTTCCACATTGCTCCATCGTATACGTCGCACATAGTATTGACAATCTTAAGCTCCGTGTTCCAGTGACGGATTTGCTCTTCAAAACCAGGACGAAGGAAAAGAACAGACAAAGCTTGCTTGAGGGACTGGTACAAGTATGCTCGCTTTGATACCAGTGCACCTGAAGTTGACTCTTTCATCAACTTACAACCACAAGGAGAGCGTGCACCAACATTTGTGAAAACACAATGGGGAGGTACGGACATGTTTTCTTCATAGATGCAATGGCAGTTTGGACATGACACAAATCGCTTGATGCCTTTGGTGATAGACGAAAAGCTAGTCATTTTATGTAGCCCAGCCAGACTTTCGGGAAGTTAGAAATCTTGTCCATAAATCTTCAAGAGCTCGTTGATGAACTCAATCAAGACAACAGAACCCTTATTGACCACGTAACGAGATGCAAACAGTACTGTAAAAGTAGCAATAAATCTGTGCACTGGATTCTCGGGCATACCAGAAGCAGTAAAAGGGTCTTTTTTTTTAAAAAAAAAATTAACACACATTTTTTTAGTTTTTTTTTATGTATTTAAAACTGACCCTCATTGTTAAACTCTTCAACATAAATCTCGGCAGTGTCTTCTTCGCCATTGTCATCACTGTCATTGTCATCGGTCGTGTCAGACTCATCACCATTGTAGTCATTACCAACAAAGACGTCATTGTCAAACGTTGAGACGGCATCCAAAATAGGTGAGTTGGCCTGACCGTCCATTGCTTCCACAGAATCGGATTGATACGTCGGGATTACTACAAATATGGAATATAATAGTTTATTATTAGTTTTTCTTCTGTGTTTCATATAAAAAATGTCTTACTTTCAGTATCTACTTCCATGCTTCTCTTTTCAGCTATGTTTTTTAAAATAATAAAAAAATAAAAATAAAAGCAATTATTACTCGGTAGACAGATAACAGCACTGAATAAATTATACAACTCTTGAATATCTTAGTACCTTCAAATCTAGCTCTTTTATTATGATGCTGAGCAGTATGTCTCGATACTCGGGAAACTCCTTGATCATTATTATTGCATCTGGTGCAGTGGCAATCAGTGTTGTGCATTTGAATAGAAGGAAACATAGTGTATGTATTTTGAATTATAAAATAAAAAAGGAAACAAGAGTGCTACAAATATTTCATTTGATACGGTTTTATAGTAAACCAAAACGTATTTTTTATTTTATTTTTATTTTATTTTATTTAAGCCAATAGAATACATCAAAACTACACCCCCAACTTGATGAAAAAAAACTGCTGAGATGAAAAAAAATCCTGACATATCCACTATGATCCGACTACCTGGACAATATGTTAATTGTCCTTATTTTTCTAGTGGACATTGTCTATAAAATATAATCTTTTATTAGAATGAAATAAAGAGTATTAGACTATTTTTTGCTTACTAATTATTCAATACAGTAAAAGAGGCGTCATGCGGGAAATGGAGATATTATCTGTAAAATAATTTCTTTTCATTAGAATTACATACAAAGAAATAGAATGATTATTTGCTTACTTGTCTGTCTGTAGAGAATAAGAGTTGGTATATAATCAAAAAAAGAGGACCAAGATAAAGACTAGTGACTATAGAGTGTATTGTATACATAAGAAAAATAATAAATACAAGTTGTATCTTGAAGATGTATGTTAATATTTATACAACGTACCATTTTGTAAACCCTCCCAAGATATATGTCTTTGTTAACGGGCCAGAAAAATCTAAACGGAATAATTAATATATAAATCATGAATAAATATTCAAGTATATTTTTATTACTTTTTATCGTTATTTTTGAGGCAGTTAAGAAGGACTTGGTGTTTTAAGGCATAGAGTATCATGCTAGAATAAAAACAACAAGATGATTAGGTCTTGAAACTTTGATGTGAGTTGATGCTTACCATGTTAGACATTAAGAAAGAAGTAAAGAAGAAGAAAGAAAAAATTAAAAAAAAATGGAGAAATTCAAAGTTATAATTTTATGACCATTGACCCTGAGAAACTGATAGAATCAATTGAGCAAATTGAAAGTCATTTAACCTATCCCGATTGAGACAAGACATTATATACTAAACCATAATCTCTCACATCTTTGTAATGGATGTAAGCTATTACAAATGCCTTTCCAAGTCGGCTTATAAAGAAAAGTATAATATAGAGATCAAAATGCTATAAAGAGCATCATCAGAAAAATAATCTTTTGGTGCCTTACTTTCCACCTTTACGTATGTTTTGATTTATTCTATTATTTTAAAGAAACCTGACTCTAATTATTAAAGTATTCACATTGTTTCCATTTCTTTTATTAGCCTTAAATATCTCAATTCATGTCTTCTAATACGCAGCAAACCAAAAAAACGAAAAAGATGACTACAAAAAAGTCTGTTCAACAAACCGCTGGGACAGCAGCAAGCACAAGACAATGGGAAATTCTTCCCAGCTTGACAGTTAGCGCAGAGCTAGATGGTACTGTCCTGTCCACTTTGTCCACCATGAGCACCTGACTGAATGAATCTCATTCACTTCTGGAGAAGGTCTACCACAACATGGGACCAACCAATGGCCAGAATAACAATTCGAACCATAGTCCCATCGGTCAGACTCTTGCTACAGGAGAATATATAAAGTACCGCCTTCCAACGGTTTCGGTAGGATATATACTAGTAATAGAATATTGCAAAGTTACTTACATTATATTTTGCAGAGATTGATCCGTTCTCAAACACGAGCAGTTCTGGCAACAATGACATTGACAGTCAATGAGGGCGCCTTCTCGACATCCAACTGTCCCATTGCTGATGTAGTGCAGAGCTACACACATCAGCAAGCTGAAGTAAAGTCTGTTTCGTCTGCAGTTGTGGAAGGGAAAACCCGAAGACATATTTCGTATATGCTTCAAAGGGCAAAAGCTTTGGCAGAAAAGATAGCTCAACAAAATCGGATTACTCGATGCTGGTCCAGAAAGAGAAACGTAAGTATAGTCAACAGTTTTTGTATAAACTATTTTAACTTTTTTTTTCAGATTCTTGCAGACTACAAGGCAATTCACTTAGCTGACAAGGCAAATCTTGAGTCTAAGTTTGGTGAGACTGTCGTTGACCTTCCAGACTATGACATGTTGTCTGATATTGAGTCAGATGAGGAGAAAAATAAAACTAGATATACTCCTAGAAATAGACATACCTTGGTAAGGCTCTCATGATAAAAGTTATTTTTTTTAATATTTCTAACTCAAAAGTATTTATATTATAATGCAGGTGGATGAATACTTTACTTTTTTGAAGAAACAGAGACTTGCTAACAAGAGACCAGACGTCATTGGCAATTCTGTCTATCCAATTATTTTGAGAAACACCAAGTTATCAAACGAGAAAAAGGTGCGTGTTGCTGCTTGGATTCACACACGTCAACAATAAATCATTATTTTGTTTACAAAGCGCATATAGTACTTTAATGATTTTTATTGATTGTGTTGAATGATGTTGGGTGAAGTGGTAAAATATAATCAGGCGGTATTGTCAAGATGAGAAGCAATTAATATATAAATAAAAGGAAAAAGAAAAAGACAAAATCAAAAATCGAAATAATAAATTATTATTTTATTTTATTTTATTTTATTTTAAAGCCAATTAATAAAAAAAAATATATATACAAAGCAATTATTTAATTATATAACCCTGATTGTTTTATCCTCATTTTTTTATTGGAAATTATAATACCAATATTAGCAAGAATATGTAATAAAGGCTAAGAAAATGGTAAATGTTGGGTATTAAATATACAAGTATTTTGTCTTTTATATTATTGATAAAGGCAAGAGAAATAAATAATGGTTTTTACTATTTGTTAATAGTTAAAAAAACTGGTAATATAATTTACTATTGCTCTTTTAAATACTTAATAAAGAAGTAATGTTAAAACTAAATAAGAATACAGAGATAAATAAAGCTAAACTTTTTTACAGTCAAAAAAACTCGTATTATAATTATTTATACTGGTAACCTAAATAGTTGTTATTTTTTTTGTTTTTTATGTGACTACTTTTCTAGGCAGTGGAATAACCAGGTGCTTTTGCGTCCCACTCTGCAATTTATGCGTAGTCAACGCAAAGCACGAATGCAGATGATGCACTGGAACAATGCACAAAGCATCTTCTTCTATAAATCCCTTATCCCACAACTGCAGATCTTGATCAGCTAATGGCTGATGACTACTTGAATGGTAGGCGGGAAACCATTTAATGAATGCAAACGTTGACACTCTTTTGACTTCACCGATCTTGATGGTATGAGTAAATAAATAATTTATTTGACCAGGGAATTCAGATACATTGTCATTTGTTCTCTCAAGAAACAATACTCCCACAAAAGACTCGCACTTCTTCTTTTCACCACTGCAGTACTCTTGCCCCAGCAACGAAATCTTCTTCACCTCTTGAATCTGATTGTTCACAAATACATCCTCACCCATTGGAATTCTCCCTACCACACAGAAGGAAACACTTGTACTCCAGTAAGCCTTGACATAGAATTCAAATAACCACTGATAGTGATCATCCTTCATCATAGTCAAAGGCTGCAACTTGATTGGCAATGTGGTCGGGGGCAATGCCTCACCTCCAGTGACATTGTACCATGGATTGGTAGCAGCTTGCTGGAACATTGCTAAGCTAAATGGCAACGCAGGAGAGTGGCCATCATCCAAATTCAAGGGAGAAGAGCTGTCAGAATTTGATTTTACTTGGGCAACTCCCTCAAGAAACTCTATCAGTGGTGATGAAAGATTGGTAGAATACGCTCAAAGAAAGCTACCAATGAATGCTTTCTCCAGGAAGACTCTCATGAAAGTGACCTCAAGACTATTGCAACGGTTCGTCTTGATGTTCTTCAACTTGCCATTGTATCTCTCAAAGCTATACAGCCAGAATGTGTATACCGGACCAAAGTTAAGCATTGACTCATGCAAGTGCATATGCAAGTGCATATTTGGTGTAATGCTGCTCTCTCCATAAAGAGTCTCACACTCTTTTTCGAATTCTCCAAGGAGCTGGTGTGCACTGTCAATTTCTGAATATGTGACTGAAGGACCAGTCAACTTTCGGCATGCTTTTACAAAGAGAGTCCAGTTTTTGTAGTCGTCTTCAGGCAAAGCGTCTTTTAGTACCACCAACGAATAAATCAGACACCACGATTGCCACTCATCTGCCTTCATATACGGGAAACCAGATTCGATCTTTGTTGATAAAACGGCATACCCAGGAGGAACAAGAATACCATTGGCAAGACATTGCATATGGACGAGAACAGCAGTTGGGAGATACCTCAGGTCTTTCCAAACACTGATCATACGCTTTGCTGTCCCAAGAAACAAATTGTGCATGGGATCAACAATCGTGCATCGGACGGGATCAAAGTAGTGTAGGCAATGCAACTCGGAAAAACGAGTGCCATGCTGCTTCTCCAAAACAGCTCTCTCTGCATCAGATTCTGCGCAGAACCACATCTCAGCTTCGGTTGCATTTTCCTCTTTTGTTTGGGAGACCCAGTTCTCATGATCGAATCCAGAATAATTGATCTTACTTGTTCCAGCAACAACAGTGAAATGATGCTTGCATATGTGACAGGCGTTTGTACTTGCAAATCCTGTAAATCCAGCAGTCTTTCTTGCAGCAGGTATGTCACAAGCAACACACATAAGAGCAGCGCGGATACTAGTACCATTGGGAAACTCTGGAGTTTTCATAGTTATGCCGCCATATAACTCTACCAGCTCGTCTACCAGAGGTTCCAAGAAGTTGTTCATCTGGTTGATCTTTGCTTCCTTTGGACCAGGCATGACACCGACAAGGATAATGTTTTCCGGCTTCATTCTTTCTTCCCTAGGCAGGTTGTTCATTGACAGGTACAAGGCCCCACTTGCATGTGTACAACCCTCGAACGGCTGAAACCAATCCACATTCAATGTCAACATCAAAGAATGGTCGTGATTCACAAAAGGCTCGTCATCTTCATCAAGGAGCTCAGACCACATTGCACCATCATAGACGTCCAACAAGGTACTGTTTATGGTTTCCCTTGATCTCCATTGAACGATTTGATGCTCAAACCCAGGTTTGGCAAAATGCTGTGCCAATGCATTCTTGAGCAAGTTGTATGGAAAAACCATGAGAGGGACGGTGCAATCAGCTTTGGTGTCAGAGAAAAGAGGATTTCCGCAGTATGTTGGTGGTGTGGTTGTGTATTTTTCGAATGTGCAATTTGGTTGGCGATTGCCTGGTAGGTAAATTGCAAAGCACTTGTTGCAGATGGTGTATTTGACGATGCTTTTTGTCATGAAATTGAAGCCGGTCATAGTCTTTAATGCATCAATGGTGAGTGGGAGATCGGTATCCTTATCAAAGGCAACAAGAAGATGGCAGAAGAATTTCAACATAGCAGTTCCACCTGCTTGAACCAAGTAAAACGCCTGAAAGATAACGCCAAATAGAGCCATGAATTGGCTTGTTTGAGACATTTCATGAATTTTCAAAGAAGCAACTACAAAGGCAAATATTTCTGTTAATTATTTGTAACACAATTTATGTATATTTCTTTTTTAAATGTATGCATACTGGAAGTGACCATGTCTTCAAAATCTTCAACACCGGCAACCTCAACTTCACTCTCATCTTCAGACTCATTGCTTGAATCAGGATTGTCATTGTCAGAAGCCAATGATGTTGTCTTGACATCAGACTTTTTGAATTGAAAAATCTCGTCTTCTCTTAAAAAAGATACACTCTGTACAGTAGTTTTGGCTGATACAATAGAATAATTGTCTTCATCCATAGTAAAACCAGACTATTAGCTATCTAAATTATGATTTATTAAAAAGAAATTTTATACTCACAATCAATCGATGTTTCAGATACATCTACCATCAAAATGTCTGTCTCTTCTTCAACAACTTCTGTATTAACTGATAATTAACAAAAAAAAATATTAGATTACAATTTATCCAGTAATACACGTACTACTCAAATGTCATTTATGTCGATTTTTTGGGCCAATGTCTAATAACTTATCAGCATTGTTATGACGCTTAAAGGTCTGTGCATTTTGCAAAATTCTGCCAATTGCATTTTTGGTACATGATGAACATGTACACATAACATTGTAGGTTTTAGTTGTAGAATTCATAACAGTAAGAATAATATTAATAATAATAAAATAATAAAGAGGTGTATACTATATTTTATTTTCATCTTTTATATGTCTCTTATTTTTGTCATTAATAATGAGTTGATATATCTTGTTCACTATGTCATTGACTACATTGAGCTTACCATCCCTATTAGTATAAATTACAAATGAATTTTGATACAGCAATTTTTTCTTAAAAAAGTGTGTCTGATTAATAATGGGGCTTCAATTTAATAATTACTGATATAATGGTATAGTTTTCTCTTTCATGTTTTTTAACATGACATCAATTCTCGCTCATTTTGACAAGTGGTCTTTTTTGGATTTTTTTCATATATTTTTTATAACATCAATTCTCACTCTTTTTTTCAATTTTTTTGATATACTTTCTTATTAAAAATAAGTTATATATCATACATTATTATATTCTAATAAAAATCAGTATTTTTTGCAATGTAATAAAAATATTATTGAGTCTAAATTAGGTGCATCTGGAACAACAAGTTTTTTCTTCCAGAAAAATAATTAAATACTACATTTAACATTTAATATTTTATTTTTATTTTTTATTTTTCTGCCAAGTCAATCGAAACATATATTTTTTAAGACAATTGTGCGCTTTATTGTCTAATTAATAAATATTTGTGTTTGTATCTGTGTTTATTTAATATAATCAGAAAAAATTGCGAATTCACATCTCAAGAAAAAAATATATTGAAAAACGATGGTGTTTGAAATATTATTATAAATTTTGCCAAAATTCAAAAAATAAAATTCGACCGAATCCACCCTCCTTTTGCAGTGGTTGGAGCAGTATTCATGTCCGCTCCTTTTTATAAATTAAATACAAATTCAAAATGGAATATAATACTTATATAATTCAAATGCACAACACGAATCTATGCAGCATATATTCAAATAACGTTGGCAGACTAAGGAACAGGATTGCTTTCTGCCAGAATAATACTTTCTCTATGATTCTAGACTTCTTTCTACTTGTTACAAGTATACTAAGTATTTAGGGGGTAACTATAATAGAATCATGCTGAAATCTGTGCTTTCAACATGATATTCGCTTTCTTTCTACTCAAATAAATCATATAATTTTTGCAGTGTTTCTAATTCATTCTATAATTATTTTTTATAAAAGTAAACAAACAGACTAAGAAGGTGTGCCACAGCAAACAGCAAAATACAGTAGGGGTCGATTACACCAGAGGTAGACTAATAGATATTCAAAAAGAATAATACAATATCCACTAAAACAAATGACGGCATCACAAGTGTGATGTTTCTACCCAATTGCAACATGAGACAATTAGTGAATAGACAAATAGAAATATACGGAGTATTAAAAAAACGCAATTTTCTCTCAGCTGACTAAATTTCAGTCTAATATGCACTTCTTTGATTTAAAAAAAAGTATCAAGGAAAAAAATATACATCTAAAATTAAAATGATATACAGTAGTTTATATATACTTTCAGAATATATCATTAGACTTGATATTTATTAATAGTTTGTTGGGCGGCCTTTTGTGTCAATTACTGTCTGGCATCTTCGATACATACTTGAAATCAAGCTATCCAAATATTTCTGAGCAATTTTCTTCCATTCCTTCTCAAGAGCAGCATAAAGATTTTTCAGGCTGTGCAAGCTGTATCTTTTTTACCAGACTCTTTTGCTAACATAATCTCATAGATGCTGAATGGGATTAAGATCTGGGCTTTGAGGAGGCCAGTCAGCCAAGCTTTTGAGCTTATGCTGCTTCTTTCAATTTACAACAACATTGCTTGTATGTGCCTTGGCGTTGTCTTCTTGGAGTACCAAGTCATCCCAACCAGTTTGCTGCTGGAAGGCTGAGAGAGAAGGAAGATATGCCTTTTCTAATACTTCAACATGCTTCTTGCCATTGGCTTGTCCGTTTATGATTTTTAAAGCCCCGACACCCTTGCTGAAGAAGCATCCCCCAACCATGAAAGAACCACCTTCACACTTCATGGTTGGAGAGATAAATGTAGTATGAAGACCAGTGTTGTTCTTGTGGAGAACTCTTTTGCGGCAATCATAACCAAAAAGTCAGAATTGTTTCTTATCAGTCCAAATAATCTTTTCCCAATCCTCAATGCTCCAATCAAGATGTGCATTGGCCCATGCAACATGTTTCTTTTGATTCTCAATAGATATTTTGGGCCTCTTCATCATTCTACAGGAATATATGCCATTGCTGCGAAGGAAATATCTTAGAGTGTTTGCTGATATGAGATTTGCAATGGCTTTTCTGATGTAAGACATTGGTTGCATCGGATCCTTTGAAATCTCATGCAGAATCTCTCTTTTATCTCTTGCATTTAACTTCTTTGGTCTCCCTGGGTTCTTGACTCTCTCATACCACCCAGTTTCTTTGTAGTACTTAAGCATTCTTGAAATAGTATAAGGACTAACATTAAGCATCTTAGCAATGTCACATTGCTTGATGCCATTTGTAATGCTCTCGTGTACAATAATAGTGCGAGTTACATTGTCAGTTTTTTTTTCCTTCAGTTCTGGGAGTAGGTGTCATATTAGTGCTTTTAGTTTTTTGATTGCTTTATTAAAATGTAAATTTAGAAGAAGAAGAACATTGTGCAAGTTTAGAGAGGTTTTGGACTATAAATTCTTGTGTTATTTTTCAACACTCAATATAGCTAGAAGCAATAAAAAAAAATTTCAAACCAATAAAAACCTTTAAAATAACCTACAAACCTCTAAAACTTGACTAAATCTTGACCAAGTCTTGACCAAATCTCTTTTTTAACAACTTATATATAGTAATAAAAAGATGTGGAATGTTATGTGTTATATTTAAAAAAAAACTTTGAAATCAATATAAAATGAAAAATCTGCAGTCTGATAAAAATGCATCTATATTTTCATGACCTAAATATATCATATAAAAGTATATCAGACTTTTTCTTTTTGTGTCCCTAAAATTCAGTATATTAATTATATTTATTTAGCTCACAAATTTTAAAAAATTGACATCATAAATTCCGATCAAATTCATACTGAATTTTATTTATTCACAGTATTTGGTCAAGATTTAGTATACTAAATTGGCTCTTCTTTTGCAGTGTAGCTGAATCTGCTCTCCACTTTGCAGCTGTGTAAATAATTATTTGATGCGTGTGGTACTTGTATTCATGGCAAGTATTGACAGGTGATATATTATTACTGTTTTTGAGTTATGTATGGGTTTGTAGATGTGAAATAACATCTTTTTTTTTATAAGAGAGAAAAGACAAACTCAAAATAGAATATAGAATTAAAGATAATAAAATCAATAATAAAAAAGTAAAAGAAAAATAGTATTATTGATCAATCTCGATAGATTTGACTCAATATACTTGGATAATCAAACAAGTAAAATATCAAAAGCATTAAATATTAAGAGAACTTGTTGTCAGAAAATAAGACAAAAAAATCAATATTTATTAGATAAAAGTATTGTAATATTTATAGCTTTGCAATTGACTTGTTGAATAATTAAATAAATAAATTATTAAAAAATATAATAAAAAGTTGTATAATTGATAATCTATTAAATGTGATTTGTTCTTTACTATCATTAAATACAAATAAAATGAAATAATTGTTAAGTCATAATCATGAAGATAATTATGTCTGTAAGAAAATATAATAAGAATAATGTTAAATCCAAGTTGATTTGTTCAGTTAAATATAGTAAGAAAATAAGATGTTGTATTTGTAGAATCTGGGATATAAATTAACTGACTTAGAAATACGTGACTCAAGTCAAAGTAGTAATCTGAAACAACGCCAACAATAAGTAGTTGTTATTCAAGAGTCAATACACTTCCTTAAACTATTGCGGACAATATAATATGAAAATATTTTCTCAACAGACAGTAACAACAGGAACAAATATCAAGGAACAAAAGATAAATTTTTCTAAGTGAAAAAGATAGAAAAGAGATAGAAAACATCAAGCTAGAAACAGCATCTTTTAACAGATACAACAATTTCTCAATAAACGACCATACAAAAGTCTCATTTTATTCATTGTCTCCATATTATCTCATATCTCTTCAATCTCAAGTTTATTATAATTAATCTAAAATACTTTATAAGATATGATGTATGGTTATATAAAGTTATTGTTAACAGTATGATGCCTTTTCATTGTACTTATTGGTATTTTGCTCTAAAAATAAAAAAATTGCTTTCTATCCAGCCTCAGCCGCCATCGGAAAATCAAAAAATAATAATAATAGAATATAATTTTCTAGAATTATGAAGAATTCTGCAACATCACCGCACTGCCGCACAACCGATATTTGTTACACGCTAATGATAATTACACTACCCCGTGGCATAAGCATATTGGAGAGATGGCCGAGTTGGTCTAAGGCGTCACGTTAAGGCCGTGATCTCTTCGGAGGCGTGGGTTCGAATCCCACTCTCTTCATTACCGTTTTATATTTACTTGTTTTTTGCATTCTATACTGTGTTTACGGAGTTAGAAAGCCTACGAAAAAGTGTTGGACATTATTTTGAAAGTCTATATTTTCTGGTAGATGATAAAGTATTAGCTGAAATTGAGGCTTATCTACCAGAAAATAAGACAAAAAATACAACTACCAGAAAATAAAAAATGCGATAATTTACTAAGTCGTTTTGAAAGTTGTTTCAATTTACAAAACATTTCTTTGAGAAAAAAGCTAGATAGTTATAATTTTATTCTTGTGTATGAGATCTGTAAAGATGAACTTCATATTTGTTTTTTATAGACTGAAAGACTTGTAGAGAGCATTGATATGCATCAAACAAAGTCTGACCATCATCTTCAGTCATATACTGTTGCATAGTCAGTAGATCTTGGTTTGCATACTGAAGTGTTTGATTGATGTCAATACATTGCTGTATAAAAGCAGATGTACAACTTATAGCACTGGAAAAATAGGGTAATTTCATCTGGATCAAATGTACCAAAAATGTAGATGATTGAGCTGATATCATCACAATTTTTGTGATATATCATTTTGAGCAATGGTACAATATCATCTATGGTGCTGATGCGTATCATCATAATAACGGGTACACGAAAACCCAATGTAGAACGATTGTCAGTCCGCAAACTATGGAAACTGAATAAATATTGTAGTTACGCTTTACTCCTATTGAGTCTACCTCTTTATGTGTTATATTTTGAGGTCTATAAAGAGCTAGCGTCCCATATTATTATTTTTACTGGGTTTTTTTATTGGCTGCAGAAATGCTTTAAAAACTATCAAAGAGATAATTGTAGGTTTTTTACAATATAAAGAAATGATGATAGTTGGTTTTTTATACATGCTCAAAGTGATGAAACCACTACGGCGGAGAAAATGGTAACATGTTACCACTTTGGTAACATAACTGCCATTTTTTACTTAATAAAAAATGGCAGTTATGACTCTGTATAAGGCCAAAACAGGCACTGTTACCATTTTTTACATAGTAAAAAATGGCAATTATTTATTATGTAAAAAGCCAAAACAAGCACTGTTACCATTTTTCAAAAAAAAAATCAAGCATCCTTCCTTTCCTCTATTACATTCTTTCTTTTGTTCTATTGCTTTCAATTCTAGCACAACCTCTTGTTTTTCCTTTGCAGCTTTAACAGAATGGTCTGTTTTTTATTATACAATATTGAATCGGGTTTAATTGAATTGAATCTTTATTTCAATGCATGTTTTATTAAATGAAAATGATAATAATAATAGTAATAATGAAAAAACAATTCCATCAGCCACTCGCAATAAAAAATGGTTCTGTTTAGCTACTGCAAAACGTATGCAGTAAAACACTACTATTCAAATTGTATTTCATATACTTTGGGTATTCTAATATATCTTAGATAGCACTTATTATTTTTTACCAATTTCTACAAATATACTAATATTAGAGAAAAAACTTAAAATAAATAAATAGGTATAATATTATTATAATGCTTACCTTTATATAATATGCTTACTTGTTCAGTAAAATAAGCATTTACTCTAAGAATATATATATATATATTAAAGAATGTATTAATATTTAAGATCTATATATAAGAAAAGCAATAAAACATAAGCACTATAGAAAGTCGTTATCATAGAAGAAGAAAAACTTGAGCAAAGATTCAAGTCATGTAACATGAAGCTAATTCGAATCTGATTCATACAACTGGAATGAGCATCTTGTTAGAAAGCTTAACGTGTTTATTCTACTCAATATACTTACATATAATAGAATGACTCCCAAGTATAATATATTAGTACAAAAATATTACTATTAATTTTTTCCCCAAAAAAAAGGCTATATACTATTTCCTTTTATATTTGAATGTAGCGGAATTGTAGATGCTGTACATTAGCTTCAAATTCTTGTAATCACAACATTAGCAATCATATGAAAGAGGTCAATAAATTTTTTACATGAAAGAAAAAAGGAATAAAAAACATAAAAAGAAAAATGACGAGATAAGAAAAAAAATGCACTAAAGACAGACTAAAAAAATCAAACTTGGCCAATCACAGCAGCCAAACTACGATCTTCGGCTTCTCTTGCAAGCAGGCTCGACACTTGCTGTGGGTGGAGGAGACCTACATAAAAGAGTAAGAAGTTTATATTAGTTTTGTATTAACAGCGCATGAGAAAAAGCAACAATGGTAACTTACAGCACATCTGCCATTATGGGCGACTCAACATCACCAGTTTCTGACATATCAGGAGAAGAAAGCAAAGAATCACTTATGTCTCGCTGTGTCTATAGCATAATAAAAGGAAACGATGTTAATTAAAGTTTACAATATATAGATTTGTTAATTGATAAACTTACTTTGTTCTTCTCTGCCATTCTTCTCTTGTGCGTCTGGTTGTCGCTCTTGAAGCTTTCCCGAAGAAGGCTTCTTGCACACCACATTCTTTTACATTGGTGGATGTGCAATCCACCATTCTTCGCCAACCTCTCCAAATGCATCATGTAGTATTCCCTGTTTTTCTCTGGGATATTCTTCCATTCTTTTGAGGCCGCAGGATAGTCTTTGTCAATGATATCATGCTTTACCGTATGGCCTAATGTTTTGAGATGCAGTCTTTTTACTGTCAAATCATGGTCTGAAAGAGGGACTAATGGGGGCAAAGGCTGCCCTTGTGGAACTTCTTTGCAGCGCGCCTTCCAGTCCTGCTCGTGAAGAATCTGAAGCAACAGATTGTATTTTTGCGCTTCGTTTTTTCCTTTGAACTTGCCACCAGTATTGATTACTTGCTTACCGAGCTGATCAGGGTACTCTGTGAGCTGGGCTCTTTTCACAGACTCAGCAATGCGCTCAAGAGCTACAAAAAATGTATGACAATATTAATAAAGTAAATAAACATCTAAGCACAGAATATATATGACTTACAACTCTGCTCAATAATGCTTTGTTGCATTGTAGTTAGATCTTCCGCACTGAATGCTGGCGCAAATTGATTGCTGAATTGCCTTTGAAGCTCGCGCAATGCTTGCTTGATTTCAGCAAGATCAACCTCAATCTTTTGAATTGAGTTGAGGAGAGTTGTGTTAATATCGGACATGTTTAAGTTTTTTTTTAGCTATAAGCAGTGAGTTGAAAAGAAAAGGTGATAGTTTAGACAAGTAGAATAAGAGCGATTTGAGTTTGAGAAAGGCAACGATTTATTACAAGCAATTGATAGCTATTTATATGAAAAAGATACAGACAGATGTACAAACAAAACATATAAAAGAAGGGATGCTTATGCACTTGTATGCACCTGTCTGCACCTGTCTGCAGTAGCTCATGTGAACATGATACAGTCTTTTCGTGTCGACACAACAAAACTGTAAGAAATATAAAGATAAAATGAATTAGACTTTAAATCAATATTATATGTATAAATGTTCATACTTTGCACCGTCTACATATTAAACGTTTTAAAGTATATGATATAATAATATAACTCTATACATATTGCAGATATAGCATGAAATTTGGTTAAAGTTCTCGATGACAAAACCCTGTACCAGTTAAAATTATAACTTTAAATATACTCTACAGTAGCTATATAACATCTGAACATCATATAGTTAATTAGCCCCTTTTTATCAACATTAAAGTAAATGTTATGATACTCAAGTTCATATCATACTTATTACCATTATCAACTAAAACGCGTTTTGATTGATGCTGTCATCAATGATAAAAGTAATTTTAACTGTCATTACTATTATTTACCAAGGGGCATTTTTGACTGAAGCCATACATTTTTGAAAAAGGTGTGCTTTAACTCACATCGGCACTTTCAATTAACACCCCTTTCGATCAGTAGTGCTTATCTTGATGATGTCAGTAAAAGAGTATCAGACTATAGCCCTCATTATCTATATCTATTTCTTTAAGTTTTATACATAAACAAGAAAATAATGCTATTAGCTAAATATATATTCACTATCTCAAAAATATTATTAGTACAACACAGATAATATAAATATGACTTTTCTACCAATGTGTTTAGACAGTACTACTTTTTTTTAACTGTTAATTATTAGAAGGCTGTTTTTCTTTGCCTTTGATATTAGAGAGTAATTGATAATTTATTTAAAAAAAAACATAAATTATTTGGTCATTAATTATCCTAAATATACATATACCTCTTTATAAAGCCCAAAGAATATCTAATCACTCACAAGTAAAGAGTATGTGTCTGTTTCACCGGTGCTCTTTTAATGGTACCCCCTTGTCAACCAAGAAGTATTTTAACTTACATCATAATTATTAATGAAGAAGAATCTTTCCAACCACGGGAATTATTTACTGACAGGTGTTTCACCTAGCATTGACATTACTGTAATCATTGCTATATCATTATTATGAGAGAGAAAAAGAAAAAGAGCTGCAAGCATTTTGGTTAAAAAATAAAGAGTATATAAAGATGTCTTTTACATTTAATAAATAGCACCAAAATCCTCTTCGCAGCTTTATTTTATATATTACATACGTACCAACCCAACCAATATGTCTTCTTCCAACGCCAGCCAGCAGAGAGATAGAATATCTACACAACAATACCAATGTGATCAATGTGTCTTGTTTTTTGATAGCTACCAGAAGCTGCAAAACCACAAGAGAATTCACAGAGGAGATTCAGCAACAATGACTGAAATTGACCAGTCTATTCTGGATGATGTTGACATGTACCATGACGAAAATGATACTAGTAATGAAGATGAATCTGTTAGCAATTCAGGTAATGAAAAGAGCTGTAATTGTATTATTTATTTTCCAATTACAAAATAATGTATTACAGAATATACTATGGAGTCTATGGAGCTTGATAATACTATTTCATATAAGTGCGCATGTAATTTTGAGGACAGTGAGGGTGAAGCTCACATTTACGACAGCAGCCGAATCAGTACAAATACTTTTACCAAGGCCGAGTTGATGAGTATTCATCTGTATCAATTGATGCTACAGCATAGAATTGCTAGAGCAGCATATAGAGACATTGTTCAATTTATAAACACTGTCATCCGAGACCATGACGATATAATGATGGGTAAAATATTATATTTTCTGTTACCTTGTACTTTAATTCCAGATCACTAACATGTAGTGATATCGT